AGTCCATGGGGTTGCAAGAGATGGACACGACTTAGTGACTAAACCACCACCACCACAGTTGTCTGGTTGAATTAGTGGTTTTTTGAGTCTGTCATTTCTTTTGCTATTTCTTTTTAACTGTCATTTTTTTCCAGTTATTCACTATGGAATTTGTTGGTTATAACAGGAAGGAAGGGAATCTCTGGAGAACAGTCATTTTGAATATTTATCTTATGCTACCCTCATAGCTTCCCAGGTGACGCTAGTTGTAAAGAACCCACCTGCCAGTTTAGGAGACATTAAGAGATGCAGGTTCGATTACTGGCTTGTGAAGATCCCCTGGAGGAGGGCATGGCAACCCACTCCAGTATTCTTGCCTGGAGAAGCCTCATGGACAGAGGAGCCTGGGGCACTACAGTCCATAGTGTTACACAGAGTCTAACACGACTGAGCGACTTAGCACATACCCCTGTAGCATGTTGTGAATTTTTAAAAATTGTTTAGATAAGGCAGCTTTGGTGATGAAAAAAATCTTTGTGGCGAATGGAAAATCTGGGTGTACTGCAATTCTGGAGAAAGGAAGAAGACAGCAGCAGGAGGGCAGAAATGAAGTGTAGCAATAGCTGGAATAGAGTGGAAATACAGTGCTGAGGCACAAGTGATTTTTCTGGGATAGGTGACCTTCAGTTCATTTCAGTTCACTCGCTCGGTTTTGTCCGACTTTGTGACTCCATGGACTGCAACACACCAGACTTCCCTGTCTTATCACCAACTCCTGGAGCTTGCTCAAACTCATATCCATAGAGTTGGTGATGTCATCCAACCATCTCATTCTCATATATGACTTTAGGCAAGTTATTTAATTGCCCTTTCAGTTTCCATTTAGAGGAAATGTGATTGATACTAGTGCCTCCATGATACTCTAAATTTGAATGCCTGTCATAACAAATACTTTGAACTGTTATAGACAACAGAGAAACGAGAGTGGGACTGGTTTCTTGGTGCTGCATGACAGTATTGCCTTGACATGTACTGGGTAGTGTCTAATTGCATGGTTCTGCTTTAGAGATTCTGGTTAGGACTAACCTGGAAAATGGCCCGATTTTTTTATCTTGCTCTTGTGTCCTGTGCTCAGTCGCTCAGTTGTGTCCAACTTGTTGCAACCCTGTGGGCTGTAGTCCTCTCTGTCCATGGAATTTCCCAGGCAAGAATACTGGAGTGGGTTGCCATTTCCTATTCCAGGGGATCTTCCTGACCTAGGGATCAAACCTCCATCTCTTATGTCTCCTGCACTGGCAGGCAAATTCTTCACCACTGCCCCATCTTGCTCATATGTGGTGTTATAAATGAATTTTTAATAACATTAGGGATGCTCAGTTGAAAAAGGAACCCTGAGTTGAATTTTCAAGATGGATATTTCAAGATAGAATCTAAGAGGGCAGGTTTCAGTTATATCATCAATATTGTGGTAGGCTTTCTGACGAAGATATATGATGCTAGAAAGACAACTCCATTCTGCTGGGAAAAAAACTTAATATTCATTTTATGTGGATGATACGAATATTTAACAAATTTGTAACACTGTGTGTTAGAAACTGTCTTCGAGCTTAGGGAATAAAAAAGCTGTGTTTGTCTGGAGTACTTTTTCCTATTTTTGCCACTCTGTTTTTGTGGGGGTTTATGTTGGACCTGTCAGTTTGACAAGCAAATCCTTATTTATGTAATGATCTTAGTTTGTACTGCAAATTTTAACCCCAAGTGGGCAATTTTTCTACTTGTATTTAATGCATAGATCTTTATTTTGGCTACACAGAGATTTTGTGGGTGACAGTATTTCAAGAATTTGTGTACCATGAAGCCAAGTTTCACATAGTAGCTGCTTTTTCTTTTCATTGACCTCTTAACCATCCAGTTACTGCTGTGTGACAGATTACTCTGGCACCTCATTTCATCATGCGCACAGATGATGTCGTTAGAGATTCAGGGAGTACAGTGGGGTTGACCTGCTCTGTGATACCTGGGGTCTCGCTGGGAAGACTCAGCCTTATTTACTCACAGGTCTGATGCCTGGGCTCGGATGACCTAACGCTAGAACTGCTGATCAGAATTCTTATTTGAGACCTCTCTCCATAGCTCAGCTTCCTCTTCCTCATAGCATGGCAACCCCAGGGTTATTTGATTTGTTAAATGGTGGCTCCAAACATGATTGGTTTTAGTGACCAGCAAACAGGGCAGAGATGCATTGCTGTTATGACTCAACCCTGGAAGTCACATAGGATCATTTCCACAGTCTCTTGGTTGTAGCCCGCTCAGTACTATGGCAGAGGAATTAGACTAGTTTTTAATGAGAAGTGCCAAGGTCATGTAGAATAGTACGTGAGTCGTCTTTAGAAAATGTAATCTGACGTACATCTTGGGTTGGATGAAGAGCAAATTTCCTATTGTGTAGAAAATTGGAGCTTTTCTATCATAAGATACCTCGTCCTAGGATAATAATAGATGCACACTCAAGGATTATTGTAGGTGCAAGTTCTGACAGTATCCTGAAATCTGACAATCTTTAACATTTTTGTGTAGCACAAAATTTTATTTTTTTTATCACTGTTATAAGCTATATCTTTGCAAAATAAGTGTACAAAACAGAAGGAAAAGATTCTACCTATAATTCTACCACTCAGGTACCTTTCTTAACACTTTAAAAAATCTTTATATGTATGTGTACATAAACACACACATACACACACACACAGTTTTTAGAAGTTTTTTAAGTTCTCCAAACATTTAATGGTAACGCTAAGTATGTAAAACCATCCCCTGTGGATTTGTAGAACTCTCATTGTGTGCTAATGTCCTGATTTAGCAACAGTTTTCTTGAAAAATGTATAATGCCATTAAAAGGGGGAGAAAATGTGAAGTATAAGCTAACAGCAGTTTTTCTTTTGCCTGGTTGCTAGAATTTTTACTGTGTACTGGCACTGAATTTCAGGCACTCCTGTTTGCGTATTTTCTATTTGTATATTTCTAAGTACTGGAATAGAGATTATAATGCTATTATTACATCATAAATCATAATTAAAAGCAAATCTTTAACTTGTTTAGTTTTTTATTTTTTAAAAGTAGCCTGTCCTTTTAAAAACATGCTGTCGTTGTTCATCCTCAGTGTTTGAGGCAGTTTAGTTTCTCTCTTATGGGGTTAGATGTACCGTATCAGTGTAAAAATCTTGACTCATTTACTTAAAGACTAAGCTTTCTTTTTAAACAGTAAGTACCACAAAGTCTCTCATGGTTGGAAGAAATTCAGAATAATATGGTTCACTTTCCTAAAGTGTCAGATTTTTTAGGTAATACATGGACATGTATTAGTAGTTTTCTTTTGTCTGATTACTAAAGAAAATCTCAAATTGGTGACAGTGTAATTCTAGACTTGAATTTTATATGAATTTAGTTGGAGGCTTTTTTTTTTAATGTATATGTTCAATGTTTTGATTATTATAAATGTATTTTTGGCTGTTCTGGGTCTTCATTGCTGTGCTGGGGCTTTTAGATCTGGAGAGCGAGCTTTCCTCAGTTGCTGAGAGCAGAGGCTGCCCCTGATTGTGGTATGTGGGCTTCTCCTGTTGCAGAGCGTAGGCTCTAGGGTGCAGGTTCAGTAGTTGTGCATAGGCCTGGTTGCCCTGGGGCATGTGGGATCTTTCTGGACCAGAGATCGAACTGGTATCTCTTGGATTGCAAGGTGGATTCTTAATAACCACTGGGCCACCAGGGAAGCCTTGCAGGCTTACTGTTTTGTAAATAGTTCACCTAAGTAAGATTGAATAGTTTCATCATCCATTAATGTTTTAATGATTGTACTGATTTTATTTACCTTTAGTATATCTAAAGTGTGATAAACTTTTTAATTTAAGGTAAAATGATTATGAAAGTTGAATACTGTTTCTGGTACAGACAAAATGGATCATTTGAAAACAACTTTCTAACATTGCTTTTAAGCTTGTTTCTGTGCCTCTGAGTTTTATCAGAACTTTAATTTGTATCTGTTTTCTTGATTTTTTTTTTTTTAACTGTTCCCGAGGGTAAGGAATAACTATATGTTTGTAATCTGTTGTGATTATTATTTAAGATTTTTCTTCCTTAATTTAGATTTCTGTTTATTTCTCCTCTGACCCGTAAAACCATTTTGAATATACCTTATTACCTGAGTATGTTTGTGGGGGAGTTTTTAAAATTTAAGAATAGTAGCCTAGGAAACCTCCATCATTGGGGGTGGAGGGATGGGAGAATGATCTTAAACCAGAGGCTTAATTTTCTTCCCCCACTCTTGCTCATTTAGTTACGTTTGTGAGAAAATAACAAGAGCAAAGCTGTTAACTAGTGTACTGAGACTGTAAGTGATATGATAGCTTGAAGTTACTTCATTTTTAAAGGGAATGATTGGGGCACATCAAAGACAGTATGCACATGTGTTTATTCAGAAAAACAAATACACAACGTACGTGAATTCTTTGGTGAGGAAGGGAGGAACAAAAATTTAACACTTAGTAACATAAGGTACCTGGTAGGGTCACTTGAGTGTAAGTGGAATCCTCATTGAATTGTGGCTGTCACTCATGTGGATGGGTATCATATGCTTGGGCCATTTGATGCACATCTTTTTTGAGAAACCCAAGGATGGTGGGGGGAACACATGTATACCTGTGACTGATTCATGTTGATGTATGGCAAAAATCATCATAACATTGTAAAGTAATTTTAATTAAAATAATTTTTTAAATAAACTAACTTATCATTGACTTATAATACAATATTTGGTATCAGCATGGCTGGGATATTTAAATTCATTTTTTAAACTCACAAACTAATGCTATTTTACATACTAACTTAAACTGTAGTTTATCTAAAAAGTATGTTTAGGGCAAGATTTCAGACAAACTTAGAGAATTATATGGGTTTGTTATTTTAGCATTGTTAAGCTGGTATATACTTCCAGTATGTAATATAATTATTTTTTTCTTTTAATATAGGGCAAACTTGATGATTATCAGGAACGAATGAACAAAGGGGAAAGGCTTAATCAAGATCAGCTGGTAAAGATGTTATATTTTATTTAGATTTTATGTAACTTATTTTAATAAGATTAATTTTGTGTTTCTTTGTGTTTCCAGTAAAAGTTGTATTTTCTTTTTGTTATTTTAGGATGCTGTATCTAAGTACCAGGAAGTCACAAATAACTTGGAGTTCGCAAAAGAATTACAGAGGAGTTTCATGGCCTTAAGCCAAGATGTGAGTAAAAGGTGGCATATATGTTTATAAAATATTGAAAATGAAGGCAGAAAATTTTGTTGTTTTTTTTGAGTTTTAGCTTTTGCATTACTGTTGATAAGTTCTCTGCAAGGTGGGGAGGATTGGATCCAATTATATCTCAGTTACTTTACAATTCTGTAAAGTTTAATGTAACACCTGGAAGATGCCCTTTAAAAGGACTGAGTTTCATACATGACGGACATGTATCATTGGTTTAAAAAATTATCTGTGCAATTATATACAGTCAGCCTTCTCTATCTGCAGGAATCTGGATCAGAGGATTGATATCCTAGGTTGGTTGAATCCACAGATACAGAAGGTGTACTGTAAGGTACTTGGAACATCTATAGATACTTTGGCATCCATGAGGTGTGGAGTAGTGTGTCCTGGAGTTGAGTCCCCTTGGATACCAAGAGATGGTTGTATAAATGCGGTAGACTTTTATCTTCCATGTATTCCTTTATGCCTCAGGACTATCTTACAGTACTGTTACCTATCAGAAAATAGCCTTGTTTATATAATTGGTTACTACTTTCTCCATTAGGGATCTTAAGGTATGTGGCCGGTTGATATGTTGCACTTGTTTCAGCTCTTGATCCAACGAAGGGGTTGTGTTTTTCCTCAGCATCTTTTGATGTGACCAAAGTCTTTGGGAACAGGATAAAAATTAAATACGAGCAAAGTCAAATACTTCCTTGAAAGTTGAGACCAGAAAGTTAATATCCTTCTGAATTAGTGTTGGCTCCTTGGAGAAAGGCTTGCAACAACTTTGAAATATAAACTTGCCTCTGATTTGTTGAAATAAACAGTGTATCATGTGATGAGAGACAATGTACTACATAGATGAAAAGTTCTGATTCTGGAACGGAGCTGCCTCTTTGAATCCTGATTCTGCCACTTTTACTTAATAGTTGTAAGACTTTAGAGAAGAAAGGATTACTTAACTTTCCTATACCTGTATCAGTCAAGGGTTTCCAGATAAAGGGCCAGTAGTTTAGAAAGGAAAGGGAGAAAAAGAGAGGGATGAGGCTGTCACATTGCTTCAGTTTTCTAACCTGTAAAAAATAATACAGTACCTACCTCATTATAGGGTTGTGCTTAGAACAGTATTTGAAGTGTAACTAATGGTTCATGCACTTAATATTATTGTTACTTATTAGATTTGATTGAAGGTGGGAAATATTGATGATATTCCTGAAAATGGAGTAGCGGTTATTTGACTTACATCCAAGTAGGGATTTGTTCCATTTAGCTTAGGTCGGAGCCTCGGGCCTGAAGAACCCTGCCCAATTTCTTGTTTCTGATTTTTTTTTTTAAATGCGTCATAGAAGTAGAATTACCTACCGTATACAATTTAATATAAAGAATCAATTTCTGAAGCTACTGTCACAGTGTAAATGAAGGTACTTGTATCTTCCTTTGATTTTTTTAACACTGGTTAAAAAAGGAACTTTTCACTGGGCCTTTAACTTCTTTGGCAGTCTTTCATTTTAACTCTGATCCTTTGTTGCATTTTCCACAGTTATTAAACATGTTTTTTGTTTTGTATTCAAGAGCTTCTTTAACCTAGTTCAAACCTACCTTTTCTAGTCTTCATATTCTTCCCTACTTGAACTTCTCATTTCATCCAAAGTGGTTTTCTTTATATAGTCATACTTCTTTTGCTTTCTTAACTTATTTTCTCATTCCTGCCTTTCTTCCTAGAATGGAAGTGGTGGATTATTTGGGATAAGAGAGTAGTAGTGGGTTTGACATCTCCTTTTAAGTCAGTAGTAGGCAATTGAAATTAGAATTTTGAGCCATTTTTTATTAAAGATAGATAGACATAGGTAAAAAAATTTTTTTAATTGTGGCTGTGGTAGGGTTTCTTTTTTAAAATTGACTCTGAACCTTAATGAAACTTTTTATTATGGAAAATTTTAAGAACTAAAGACTATAATGAACTTATATTTACCTATATACCTTATATATATATATATATATATATATATATATATATATATACCTTATATTTAAATTACATTTAAATATATACCTTATATTTAGCTTCTACAGTTAGCATCGTTTCATGAGCAATTATATTTTACCTATACTCACACTTACTTCCTCATTCCCTGTCTACTAGATTATTTTGAAGCAAATATTTGTTTCATTGGTACCATTTCCATAGTGTAATACCTTCTAGGAAAAGATGTGTTTTGAATTTCTAATAAATAACTACTTAAAACAGTTTAAGTTGGGAGTCATTCTTTTGTATGTCAGAGTCACATCTAACTCAGTGAGTGAAATGTGTCTTATTTACTTTGGACCTGAAACTGAAGTAAAGGAATTTTTATAAAATTTACTTCTATGTCTTATGTTTATGTCTTTATGCAGATTCAGAAAACAATAAAGAAGACAGCACGTCGGGAGCAGCTTATGAGAGAGGAAGCTGAACAGAAACGTTTAAAAACAGTACTTGAGCTGCAGTATGTTTTGGACAAACTGGGAGATGATGAAGTGAGAACTGACCTGAAGCAGGGTTTGAATGGAGTGCCAATATTGTCTGAAGAGGAGTTGTCGTTGTTAGATGAGTTCTACAAATTAGCAGACCCTGAACGAGACATGAGCTTGAGGTATAGTGGTATAATAGAAACTTCGAAATGTTGTGTTGAGTTGACAACTGAAAAGTAATTAACCAGATGTTTTATTATTATTAGGTTGAATGAGCAGTATGAACATGCCTCCATTCACTTGTGGGACTTGCTGGAAGGAAAGGAAAAACCTGTATGTGGAACAACTTGTGAGTATCACTGACAACTTGAATTTGTGACTAAGAACCTTTAAAGTTTAATTTCCTATTTAAAAGTAATGTTAATTGAAGAAAACTTTAGAAATATGTAAGTAATATTCATCCACTGTTTACTTTTTTACTTTATTGGTTTGTTTCCTTTTTGTATGTTTTTATTTATTTTTTGCAATTTTTTGTGTATGTGTAAACCAAAACATCAGCATCAAACAACCAGAAATTGGTAAAGATGGGAGTCCTAAATTAACATGGTTTTGTTCTTAACTTATTCTGTTTCAGGGGGACAGATTAACACTAAATTGGCTTTCATTGTTTTTGGTGTTAAATGGGGACTGGTTTTTCCTTATGGATGAAATCTTGTGAAGAACATTTACTCCACCCCATGCATTCTATTCATGGTCATTGCTTTAGTCTTTTTTAAATTTTTTCTTAGACTTCTGCTAATTTCGGATATTCTTTTTTTTGTATTTTGAAAAAGCTAATTAGCTAGACCAGCATTCTATATATGAGCACCTTAACTGTAAATATGCAGGTTTTTTTTTTTTTTTTAAGGATATTTTTAAGTTATACTACTTCGGTAAATTAGGAATTTTAGATTTTAACCACTTAGTAAAAGGGACTGGATTGTTAGTTGTTTTTAATGTTGATTTATGGAAGTAGATTTTTGAACATACTAAGGCAAAAGTATCTGTATGCCTTGTTTTTAGCTATTATGATTGAAAAGAAATGACAAGATTTTTTGGCAAAACTGTATGATATAATTTGGAGTGTATTTGCTTTAAGGAAATGGGTAAATCAAATATGAGGAGCCAATCCTTGTGTATCTTTTCATGTAAGAAATCCATTTTCTTGATTTGTTGGCCTGTGTTTGTATTTCTTGGTTAAAAAAAAAACTTCTTGATTTAGTTCTGCTACAAATATGTACTGAATTCCCCACTTAAAGTTTGATTAGAAAGTAATTGACATGGGTGTGAATTTGTTAGATTCAAAAGTAGCTTTAGGTCATGTCTGATAAAATTTTCATGAACTCTGTTGAGTAATAAGGGTTAAAGTCTAAGCCTGTCACTTGTTTTGATGTTATTGTCTACCTAGCCTCATTCTTGAATCTTAGGAATGTAGCACCTTTATAGTTAATAGAAAGGTGTAATTTACTCAAATTAGTGTGGTTTTTTTTTGCATTCAGCTTTCATAAGTTTTTAAAACAGTTCTGAGGCAGGAGATTCTGAAGGAGAGGGAGAGAGAACACATGAAGTGTTCTGTTCAACATTCAAAAAATTGTTAAATAGTTTATTTGGCCATGCTGCGCATCTTGTGGGAGTTTAGTTCTCTACTAGGGATTGAACCCATATCTTTGGTAGTGAGAGTACGTAGTCCTGTCCACTGTATGTCCAGGAAATCCCCAATAGTTTTATATCAAAGGAGTATAGGATTAATTTTATACTCCTTTGATGTAATGTCTCTGAAGTTTTGATTTTTCTGTATAGTTACCTATTAATAGTTCTTGATCTACATCTATTATACAAGGCCAGGAAATTAACTCCTGACATAGACCTTCACCTGCTGCCCTGACACCTTTATGTACCAAGTTCTGACAATTATATTTGCCTTTTAATTATCTTTTGAATCTACTTCTTTCTCTACTTTTCTTCTTCTCTTCTGTAATGCTGTCTCTCACCTGAATTCACCATCCATCCCTTTTTAGAATCTTCTAATGGTTTTATTTTTCATATATATATAGTTTGTAAGACCTTGCAAATTCTGGCCCTTAACAGTCTTGAGACTTATCTTTCCTTAGGCTTTTTCCTCATTTCCTTTGCTTCAGCCTCAGTGCATACGTAAATTGACTTGTACTTGGCACCCTTCTGTGTACAGGGCTTTGTAAATGCTGTTGCCTCTGCCTTGAAATACTTTCTTCCTCTCTGCTACTCATCTTCCAGATCTCAGCTCTTGTAATCCTTACACCAGGAAAGCCTCTCATGGTTTCTGCTTGATTAGGTCTAGTGCATGTACTTATGTGTAGCTCTTTTCACAGATGTTACTTTACTGTTTTTGTGAGTAGTTGAGAGCTCTTCTCTACTGGACTGTTAGCTTAGGGAAGGCAAATACTACGTGTTTCACATAGCTTTCTGTAGCCCCAGTGCCTAGTACACTTTTTAACATATAGTTAGGTGCAAAATAAATGCATATTGAATGAATAAATGATAATCGGGAGGGCAGATACTATGTCTTTTACATACCTTTCTGTAGTGCATAACATGTAGTTAGGTGCTAGATATATGCTTATTGAAAGAATAAATGATTTTATTTTGGACTTTTTTGGACTAACTTATTTAAAATGCTTAAAATTTAATACAAATAATTGCTTGTTCTCTTTTGTTCTGTAATTTCTTTTGGAATTTAATGTTTTAATTTTTTAAGTAGCAGTTGATGGTTTTTTTTTCACTGCTATATCTTGTAGAATGTTTAATCTTTTAAGTCAGATAGTCTAAGATTATAATTCATAATGTGTTTTTAGATAAAGCTCTAAAGGAAATTGTTGAGCGTGTTTTCCAGTCAAACTACTTTGACAGCACCCACAACCACCAGAACGGTCTCTGTGAGGAAGAGGAGGCAGCCTCAGCACCTACAGTTGAAGACCAGGTAGCTGAAGCTGGTGAGTACTCAGGTGGCTATGAACTTTAGTTTAGGGTCTTGGTTTTACTTTCCTTTGCCACAGCTTCAAGCTAGACATTTATTTAGTTACATTTGTACACTTAGATTTTTAGAGAAACTTGAAGCATGACCAAATATTGACAAAACACATTAAGAGAATTCCCAGAGGTATTAAATATCAGCTACTTATCTTACTGATCTTTATCCCTGTTCTTGCCGCATTATTGCTCGGTTGGAATATGCATAAGGGGGCAACTATTGTATATATGGCTTTTCAAGTCGATTTTTGAGTGATGTGTGCTCATTTATTGTGGCTTATTACCATGCCAGTATTTAAGGAGAATGGTATGAGGTTTGTTGTTGTTTTCTATGCTGGAGAGTTAGAATTTCTCAGGCGCCAGAGATGTGTTCTGGCACCTAGTGCATCACTAATATGTAGGTAAACGTTTACTATGAGGACTTTTATGATAAGTTGATGAATAAAATTTTGAGCACTGTTGGAAGCATTATCTAAGGAGTATTAGTTTTGTGATGGGTGAAAGCATGGATTCTAGAATCAGATTGCCGGGATAAAATCTTGGCTACCACACGTGTTGGCAATGTAAAACCTGGGCAACTTAATGAACTTCTGTACCTCAGGTTCTTCATTTAGGAAGTAATATGTATACAACGGTAAGCATTTCTTACACGTGTTAGCTATTAGGTTGAAACTAGACAGGAACATTGCAGATTGGTGGAATTTACGGTTGCAGATCCACATAAAGAAATTTAAGTCAGAGTTTTATTTGTGTTTCTGTTTGCGGGGAAGGGGCTGGCAATACCTTGGTTCCCTGAGCAGGGATTTAACCTGGGCCCTGACACTGAAAGCACTGAGTCCTAACCACTGGACTGCCAGGAAATTCCCAAGTAGTCTTTCCCAGCCCACCACCACCACTTTTACCAAGTAGATTAGTGTGGAGACTAGGATGCTGTTTTATTGGCATTATATTTGATCCAGAATAATTACTGTTGAAACTGACGTAAGCCTGGAATACATGGTAAAAAAAAATGTGTTCTACTATTGTAAGAGTAATAAAATACAGAAACTATTAACTATAACTTTGTAAATTCAGATTATATGATGGGGAACTGGATTTAAATGAATTGTTAACTTTAAAAAATATATTTTACACTCTTTTGTATCATTTTTTAACCTTTTAGAACCTGAGCCAGCGGAAGAATACACTGAACAAAATGAGGTTGAATCAACAGAGGTATGATTTTTATTTTATGCTAGCTTTTTCTTTCTGTCTTTCAAACAGAGGTCTCAAACATTTACTTTGCTTTGCAGTATGTAAATAGACAATTTATGGCAGAAACACAGTTCAGCAGTGGTGAAAAGGAGCAGGTAGATGAATGGACAGTTGAAACAGTTGAGGTAAGAGTTCTCTGTTAGAAGGTTGTTTTTTGTCTTTAATTAGTACTTTTTATCTCTCCTAAGAACAAATTTAGATTTTCAAGTATTTTGCATTATAAGTACATTTATTATAACAACAAACTCATTATATAAGGCTGTTCTGTTTAAAAGGTGATTTGTTTCTGTGGGTATTTAATATAATCACCGCTTTACTGTTCCAATTACAAGAAAATATACAAATGTCTATGTAGTTTACATGCTCAATCTATTAAAGTACACAACCTGTTAATCAGGTTGCACTGTGAAAACCTGGTCTCCCGCATGGATAGCTTTCGGAAAGACTGCCTGACAGGGGATACATTGAAGTGTCATTTCAGACTCTTCTTTACCCTGATGCTGTTGAGTACCAGGTTCTGTTAGCTCAGTATTGCTTGTAGAGGAACTAAGGTTGTGACTTGCCCAGGCTTAACAGCCAGGCAGAGAAATATGTAAATTTGTAGTAATAAAAATTAGTGAGATTTCTTAGAGCAGGGAATTACTTAAAACAATAATTAGGAGAAATTATTAGGAAGATGATAGGTAGAGTGAAATTTGGCTTCTTTAGCAATTTAGACAAGGTGTGATAGAGCTTGATCCTATGGTACTGGTGGAGAGTGAAATGATAGGAACTCAAAGTTTAATGATAATAATAGCTAACATTTTCCTGAATGCTTAGTATATGTCAGGTACTGAGATAGATATATATTTGATATAGGTATATAGGTTTACTTACTGTAGAAGGCTTAACAGTTTAAGCAAAATACTTGGTTTTAGGACATAGACACCGTAGTCTTTTTTTTTCTAAATCCATTTACAAAATAAACCTGAAATGCTATTAATATGTGGCAGCCCTGTGGAATTGGGAACACTGTAGGAGTGAGAGCATTGATCAGAATGTTAACTTTGACTTAATTTGGTCAGGTTGACTACATTCAAATCTGTTATTCTGTTTATAGTATACATGGTGTGTGTAATTTGGGGACCAGTCATGATGGTAATGGATGGAGCTCTGTCATTCTACCAACCTGTCCTCTTCTGCTTTAGGTGGTAAATTCACTCCAGCAGCAGCCTCAGGCTGCATCTCCTTCAGTACCAGAACCCCACTCTTTGACCCCAGTGGCTCAAGCCGATCCCCTCGTGAGAAGACAGCGAGTACAGGACCTTATGGCACAAATGCAGGGGCCCTATAACTTCATACAGGTAGGTACTAGTCAGATACTGCGCAGATTGGTTAAGTGTTTACATTAACTTAATTACATTATATCCTACCTAAACTTTATACATTATATCCTACCTAAATATAAATTGCATTACATCCTAGGATTCAATGCTGGATTTTGAAAACCAGACACTTGATCCTGCCATTGTATCTGCACAGCCGATGAATCCAGCACAGAACATGGACATACCCCAGCTGGTTTGCCCTCCAGGTTGGTAGTGATGTATGTTTATGTGAGAAATACAGAACCAGTGTTTTTAGGTTATGTAAAGTTCGTGAAAATTAATCTTTTTATTTTTAATGTTTTACTTTCAGATCTTGAATGTTTTAATTTGGTAAGAAGTGTTAACTCTTTTTCCTATAATACGAACCATAAATGTAGTTCCATCGTTATTAGTGGTGGATTTTTTTTTTTTTTTTTTTGGTAACTTTATTGGCATATGGACGTACAGAAACGTACATGCAGATTTAAAGTGTGATGAGGTTTTACAAAGTTGAACTCACCGGCACCCAGAAGTGGAACATTATTAATACCCCAGAAGCCTCATTGTGTTCCCTTGTAGTCACTTCCCTTGCCTCATGGCGGCCATATTCTGACTTACACACCTAGGTGTGTTATACCTGGTTGGGGCTTTTTTTTGGTGTGATGAAATTTTGCTTGGCTTTTTAAATTTCAAAATTAACCTAGGATTGGACTTCCCTGGTGGTCTAGTGGTTAAGACTCTATGTACCCAATTAAAAGGAGTGTGGGTTTGATCCCTGGTGAGGGAACTAGGATCCCACATGCTGCATGACCAAAAAGATGTTACCTATATTTGGAAAAAGGAAAGACCAAATTATTTTTTAAAAATTAATCTAGGATAAAAGATAGGTGTCTTTCTCTGAAGGATGATTGCAGCTTTTTAGAAGGATTTCTGAACATTTTATTACTTAAAAATGAGATGGAGTAGTGAGTGGGTAAGGAAATGCTTAAGAGAAAAGTGGAAGAGATGGACTAGAAGACAGCTGAAGTTTCCGTTTCTCACTAGTCTCACACCATTATTTGAAACAGCAGCACAATAAATAGGGTTGGTGCTTTTGTATTGGGTTAAGGGGAGCATCTCTTGAAGACTGTTAGTAATTCTGAGTCTTGTTTTTTTCCTATAACATGTCAGCATTAAGGGCATAAAAGTGGAACAGTAGGAGGTAACACATTTAATGTTAATCTTAAATGTTACAAAAGGAGTTGCTGGTAAAAGCATGTTTAATGAACACAGTTAAAGCGGCAAGTTAGGATTTTTCTAAATGAAAGGGAGTTCATATCTTTACCAAGAGTTAGAAAACAGATCAGGGACTCACAAAGTTACTAGTGTTCACTTTTTGAGCTCTACCAGAGGAAGAAAATACATAGTTTTCTTAGCTATGTCAGTCAACACGTGCACCACTGATGTAACCTGTAAAGCTACTTAGATTTTCAGGTGATGGTAAGTCAACTTAAGACTCTCCAGTGAAAATGGATGATTTCCAAATGACTAACCAAAGATACTGTGTTTTTGATTATCTGTTTAACCATAATTTGGAAGATTAGTGAAAGAATGATGAAAGTTGACAGTAACATGCACACTGAATTGAATATAGGCTTTTTAAAGATAAATTTTTATTTTTTCCAGTGGAAGCATTTGAAATTATTTTGAAAGTTGATAGTTAAAATATTTCTGAATATTATCTATCTCAAAGTTTTGACTAAGAGTAATGCTCCTTTGTAGTTAACTGCTTTAAAAAGCTCTTTTTCAGGGATAATTCTAGCATTGATTCTTATTCTGCTCTATACCCATTTGTTAGTATTGTTTCACTAACACTGCAAAAAAAAGTGAAAGGCATGTAGCAGTTGATTAATAATGAGTATCAGTTAATTGAAAATGCTCACTTGAAAGCTAAAATCCTTCCTGTACTTCCCCATTTACTTTCATAATTGCTAAATAGTTTATTTAGGATTTGGCTATAGAAAACTGACTTTAGAGACTTAAGTAAAAGGTATTTATACATCTCTGAAGAAATCTGATTTTGTATGACAGTATTTTTTTGGTCAATTTTACAGTTCATTCTGAATCTAGACTTGCTCAACCTAATCAAGTTTCTGTACAACCAGAAGCTACACAGGTAAGATTGATAAATATTTTTTCAGTTTTTGTTTTTAATCTGTTCTTAGCTAGCTTATGAAAACCAGGTGTGAGTTTGATCAGTGTCAAGTCTGGCATGAGTAGCAATCAACTTTTATTTCCATGTTTACATTTATTTTTCTTTTAATGAACTAATAAAAACAATTTATTTGTTAATCCTTGTTTTTAATTTTAATGAAGTTTTTAAATTTGAAACAGTTTGAGAAGACATAGTTTAGATTCCATAATTTTAAAATTTAGTGTAGATATTATGTACATTTGTTGGGAACTTTGTAACTGGGCTTGGGTTTATTAACTTCGAGCTTTAATAATGTATGTATTTTTCCAGTTGTTAGATTTTATAGTCTCTTTAACATGAATATCTATTTCTTAGCCCTGTATGTAATGAAGTTGGTTTATAACAGAATGAAGCTTTGATTTCTTTACTTCTCTGTTAGGTTCCTTTGGTTTCATCCACAAGTGAGGGATATACAGCATCTCAACCCTTGTACCAACCTTCTCATGCTACTGAGCAACGACCACAAAAGGAACCGATTGACCAGATTCAGGCAAGTTGGGTTACTAGGTCATATAAACTTGATGAGGCACTTGAATTGGGTGGAGCCAAATAACTGTTAATGCAGTATCTCTTTGTTTTGGACCTAATGCATTCACAATATTATTTTTATTTCATAAAATAGTTGAGTTTATTAACATACGTATGGGTCTTAGTTTACCACTAAAGTGTATCTGTTCACTCTGTTTAGGCAACGATCTCCTTAAATACAGACCAGACTACAGCATCATCATCCCTTCCTGCTGCTTCTCAGCCTCAAGTGTTCCAGGCTGGGACAAGCAAACCTTTACATAGCAGTGGAATCAATGTAAATGCAGCTCCATTCCAATCCATGCAAACGGTAAGCAGATTAAGTAAACTGATATTAAGTGCCTGGTGTGTACTATCTTCATGGTAGAGTCTCAGCAGAAAGTCTTTAACTTTGTGCTTGAGTCTGCATCTACTGTAACTAGGGTATGTTTAATTGAACATAAAACTCTTTTTTTTTTCTGTTCACAGAGATAAACTTGAATCTTAGGAGTTATGTGCCTACATCTTGTTTTGTAGTTTCACCCTTTAAAGTAACAGAATTTTAAATTTGAATAAAGTAGACTGATATATATCATTGGTCTTCCCTTGTGGCATAGTGGTAAAGAATCTGCCCCCCAATACAGAAGATGTGTGGGTTCAATCCCTGGGTCAGAAAGATCCTCTGAAGGAGGAAATGGCAATTCACTCCAGTATTCTTGCTTGGAAAATTCCATGGATAGGAGCCTGGTGGGCTACAGTTCACAGGGTCCCAAAGAATCGGACACGGCGGAGCGCACACACACAACACAGAGCGTTACCTAGAGATCAGTTGTTTACACTTTGTCATGTTTACTGAATCTTTTAATTTACTGAATTGTCTCTCAGAGTAATAGATGTTATGATACTATGCTTTGGTTCTTCAGAGAGCATCTCTAAATTGTAGGATTTCTAGAAAATAATGAAAATACTGTGATCAATGGAATATAGCTAAAACAGTGCTCACAGGAAAATTCAGAGTTAAATGCTTAAAATACTAATTTTCGATTAAAATATAATAAAATACTCAAGTTAAAGTTCATAGATTTAGTTTATCTAAGTGATAATGTATCAGGGGTTTGCATATTTTAAGATTTCTCATTTGTAATAGCATTTCCATTTATAATAGCATTTCCAAGGATTCTGATCCTCTGTCTTCTCAGATTTTTAATCTGTTTATACTCTGCTAAAAAATGCTACATGACGTGTGTGTGTGAGAGAGAGAGAAATAAATGCCTTGAGACTTGTGATGTTTGTTTACATATCAGTTAAAACCAGTATTAAGATCTGCCATGTTAAAAGTAGGAAAATGATTAGCATAAAGGGAAGAACTAATCATTTACTTTATTTACTTATAGGTGTTCAATATGAATGCCCCAGTTCCTCCTGTTAATGAACCAGAAACTTTAAAACAGCAAAATCAGTACCAGACCAGTTATAACCAGAGCTTTTCCAGTCAGCCTCACCAAGTAGAACAAACAGAGCTTCAGCAAGAACAGCTTCAAACAGGTAGGAAAACCAGTGTCGCCTCATTGGCTGCTTGCTTTCCACTGCAGTGACTTACACTGTTAGGCGAGTTTGGACTTTAGAGTGGCAGTGACCAAGAGTTTTTATTTTGGTAGTAGTCCAAAACAAATTTAATTTTTCATTGCTGATTCTGAGTACAATCAAGTCCATATTTGCTGTATGTGAATTATGTGTAGGTTTTGGGAGACCATGTGCCCATTTTCCTTTGGTTAGTGAGTTTTCATAATAGCCTATTTCATTGGTGATTTTAGTGGAATTAAGCTTGTTATTTGAATAATGATCAACTTTGGTTTTAACTGCTAATTAATTGAAGCCTGGTAGCATGATATCTGGCAGCAAGTCAGTTATAGAAAGTTAAGCAGTAAAGGCATGGTGAGGCTAAATTTAGTAGACTAGGTTAAACAAAGTCCTTGCCAGCAAATAAGGTCATAACTTGGCCGGCTACCATATCTCACAATAGTAGGTTTCTTATATTTGTAAGACATAAATATATATTTTTTTAGGTCTTTGGTGATTAAATTCAAATAGAGATTTAATTAGAATCCTACAACAGACTAGTAAACTTGACTGATGTGAATAATTGTCTGATTCTTGACAGACTTGGGTCAACAATAATTTTTCTTACATATCCCTATGGTAGTTAGCATCACTAATCAGAGTTTGAATCAACCATAGTCAGATAGAAATTTGGCAGTTATGCAGTCTGTGCTTCTGATTGATAAAATTGGACTTCTCATTCTCAGGCTCCTTTAATTATTCAGTGCCACGTAAAGGCATACCTTGAGGAGATTGCAGGTTTGGTTCCAGACCACTGCAATAAAGCAAATACCGCAATAAAGTGAGTCATATGAATGTTTTGGTCTCCTAGTACATATAAAAATTCTCTTAACACCATACTATAGTCTATTAAGTGTGCAGTAATAGCATCATGCCTAAAAAAAAGTGTACATGCCTTAATTAAAAAATACTTTATTGTCCCAGAATGCTAACCATCTTCCAAGACCTCACTTGAGTTGTAACATCAAAGATTGTTGACTGCAGATCACCATAACTTATCTAATAATGAAACAGTTTGAAATATTATGAGAATTACCAGTATGTGATTTATCATATTGATAAATTGATTTATCATTTGATTTGGTTAGTTTTGCCTTTCGTGCCAATTGAGTTCAAGCTATCTTATATTCTCCTCAACTTCACTAATTGACTATGAAGCATTGGTGCTAGATAATCTTTTTTTACCATGCAAAATATATGTTATTAATGAAAATTGACCTCAAACATTTACAGATGTTTTCAATAAAAAATAAATCAGCCCATATGCTTTGCTCAAATACAGCCACGCTACCACTGCAATCTAGGCAGCCATCAACTCTTATCTAGAATATTGCAACTCTCTCCCTTGACTCTTACTTTACGTTAGCCCAGTCTGTTTTCCACACAGTAGCTAGAGTGATTTTAAAATGTAAATCAGATGTCTCTCTTCCTGTTCAGAGCCTCCCAGTGTTTAGAAAAGAAACGCAGTCTTTACCTTAGTTGACGAGGTCCGTGATCTAGCCCCTTACCTTGATCCTGTTGTGTGTCCTGTTTTCTCTGTCATGTGCCCAAACAGTCACAGACACAAGTGCTCTTCTTTCTTTATGTAAAGAAAAAGTCCTTTATGCTTTGTTTTCTTTTTGCCTGAAACTTTCTTTCACTGATGTTTGCATAGCTTGCTTTGTGACTTTTAAGCCTGTGCTCAGATACCACCTCACAGAGACCTACCTGCCTTCACTGCCTTGTCCAAATATAATGTGCTTACTTTAGTCATTCACTTACCCTACTTGGTATTTTCCTTGATCTCTTATTACCTGAAACAACATAGATGTTCCCCCCCCCCCAGATGTTTTTATTTGTATGTATATTGTATTCACTTATTATTTCCTACTATTAAAAGTTCCTATGGGCAAGGATTATGTGTTGGAAACTATCTCATCCCTTGTGTCTAGGACCTGGCTTGGCATGTTGAGGGTGTTAAACGATACTTGTTGAATAAGTCAGTGTATCCCATCGTTTTAGAAGTTTTTTGTATTTTAATATTTATTTGGCCACACCAGGTCTTAGCTGTGGCATGTGGATCTTTAGTGGCAACATGCTGGATCCAGTTCCCTGACCAGGGGTTGAACCCTGGCCCCCAACATTTGGAGCGTGATGTCTTAGCCATTGGACCACCAGGAAAGTCCCCCATCATTGCAGAAGTTTTGAATTAGTATCTCATCAGGAACGACATGAAAAAAAGATCTGCAAGGATATTTGATTTTTTTTTTTAATGTACTAAAAGTGCATGCTTATGCTTTATATGCACTTAACTAGGACCTTTAAAATAAAGATCACACTTGTTCTGCTTTGAGTTTCTTACAGTGAGATTTGACCAAGGATAATATAGTTCTTACAAAAAAAGTCAAAAATTCACTTCTTCTGACCATTTTCTACTTGCGTATGAATGAATCTTTTTATTTAAAAAAAAATTTTTTTTTTGCCACACCATGTGGCATGGTGGGATCTTAGTTCCCCCACTCTAGGGGTCAAACCCGTGTCCTAACCACTGGATCGCCAGGGAATTTCCTGAGTGAATCTTTACAGATAGAAAATGTTACTGGTACTTGTGATATTTGCTTTATAATTATGCTTTGAGAATGTAGTAAAAGATAATTTATGTAGAAAGATCACCTTGTGCTTAGTGTATTTGATCCATTACATAGTTCAAAAAAGAGCCTTTTCTTACTAGGCATTCTCTAGTTTTTTTCATTGCAAAATAGCATCCTAAGAACTCATAAACATGATGGATTTCTTGAAGATACAAAGTAGGTCAGAGAAATTTTCAAGACTCAAACTACATTTTCTCTGCCCAAACATACAAGATTTGGGCTGCCTGGAGGCTGCTGACTGTTTTTCTTCCTGGAGTATGGGCCTTCCTTTGGTCTATACCTTCCTTATCTCACAAAGTTACTGTTAGCATTGTTTTTTCTCTCCTGTGAATTATGAACATTGGGGTAATACCAGGAATGGTATTACCATTGCTATTTTATTTTTGAAGGTGTCTAGATTTTAGGCTTCTCCCCATTGTGGAAGGAGGAGGGATCTAAGGTATAATAGTATGGACCTTGTAGAACCTTCACTTCTGGGGGTTAAGTGCCAGTGTGAGTACTATTTAATTCTTTTCTAAATTGGCTGTGCATTAAAAATACTTAAAATGTACTCAAGTATTATGACAAGGTATATGTTGAAGGCCTCTGCTGATTTGAGTATAGCTGCTTAGCTATGGGGAGGTATGGTTTTATATGTTTTAACAAATATCAAGGGAAATTTAGAGGAATAAGAAAACTAGCAATGGGAGGTTTATAATGAAAAGAAATAATTAAATGGTACAGAATCTTAAATATTTCAGTACATAAAATATTTTGATTATTGTAGGTCATTTGTGCTACACAGAGGTGCCTCTCAGAAGATGTTTAAATAATACAGCCTTTCAAGTCATTTGGAAGGATAGAATGGTGTGCTTTCACACAATGTGTGCTCTCAGATTTAGAGTTATTGTGGAGAATTTCATTCTCTTAGCATATCTGAAGTGATTCAGCAGCAGCAGCAGGGGTAGGAGCAAGACAGGGATTTCATTAATGTGTAGTCTTCTCTGTTATTAATATGAAAATGTAAGGACAGAATTAAACTTTGAGGAGACTGTAAGACATTTCTTTCTTTTTTTTTTTAAAGACATTTCTTAAGCGAGAAAGCATACAGAAATCAGGCAAATTGTAATGAGCGTGTGTGTGTATGTATACACATGTATATATGTATTTTTTTCTTTCTGTTATAGTGGTTGGCACTTACCATGGTTCCCAGGACCAGCCCCATCAAGTGACTGGTAACCACCAGCAGCCTCCTCAGCAGAACACTGGATTTCCACGTAGCAGTCAGCCCTATTACAACAGTCGCGGTGTGTCTCGTGGAGGTTCCCGTGGTGCTCGAGGCTTGATGAATGGATACAGAGGACCTGCTAATGGATTCAGAGGTAAAGACAAAAACCCCCAAAAGAAAGTTCATATTCTTTTCTGATTTGCACAGTATAAAGAAATATGTCATGTTTTTTATGAAAAAATTGTATCTCTCTGCATTGGCTTCATATGTACAGTGTAAACTTTTTGTTTTTTTTTGGGTATGTGTTGATAAGAGTTATTTAAATCGGCAGAATTGGGACTGAGTATTTTGTATGTATTAAACCCATATCTGCCACTGTCCTGTGAAGGATAGTGCTTTCTATAAATTATGAGACCTTATGGAGATTTGTTGTTTTCTGTGTGTATATATGCAAGGATGGGTAACTATTTCATCTTCTAAGGCAATAGAGACAAATTAGATCAGGATAAGAAATTAGAAATTAGTTTGAATAACTAGCATGGCTTACAGTTTTTCAGTTCTTCTTTGGTCAGTAGTGAGAAGGTAAAAACTCCTTAAGAAGATAACAAAAAAAAATTTATTTTTTTCTTCTTGTCCTACATTTTAGGAGGATATGATGGTTACCGCCCTTCATTCTCTACTAACACTCCAAACAGTGGTTATACACAGTCTCAGTTCAGTGCTCCCCGGGACTACTCTGGCTATCAGCGGGTAGGTGAAATTGTTTAAAAATATAAACCTGACCTAAGTACCGAAATGAAAGGGACTAATGTAGTTGCTTGACGAACTAGAGTAAGTAATTTGGGGCTAATTTTGAACCTCTGTATAAGATACCTCTTTGTGGAGAATGATGACTTTTGCGCTTCTTAGCACTCAATATAGGGATTCATTTAATAGAGTTTGATAAACAATGATTTTTATGAGCAAAGAAGTGTATCTCATTGATCTTGAAAATAAGAGAAGTACTATTACAGAATATCTTGTAGCAATGCTATGTTTAAACGTCTAAAAGAATAACAAAGAATTCTGTATTCTATAAAAGGCTGTAAGAATAGAGTAAGCATTAAAAATTACCTTTTCTTCAGTACTAACGAGCTTGTCTTTTAGGATGGATATCAGCAGAATTTCAAGCGAGGCTCTGGGCAGAGTGGACCACGGGGAGCCCCACGAGGTAATATTTTGTGGTGGTGATCCTAGCTCCTAAGTGGAGCTTCTGTTCTGGCCTTGGAAGAGCTGTTCATAGTCTGCATGTAGGTTACATGTTAGGAATACATTTATTATTTCCAGAGTTGTTGCTAGGGATTAAATGAAATGCTCTGTTTCTAAAACTTATCTTGAACCCAAATTTAATTTTTTGAGTGATTATCCCTGTTACTATATAAACTGTCTTGAAAACTAGAACATTTCTCCTCCTCAGAAAGTGTTTTTCCAACTGCAAATTATTTTTCAGGTCCTAAAACCTGCTAAATGTTTTTAGGAAGTACTTACTGAAACATTTTTGTAAGACATTTTTGGAATGAGATTGAACATTTATATAAATTTATTATTCCTCTTTCATTTTTGAAACATGCTTATTATATTTTAGGGCCAGAAACCCTTTAATGGCCGGATAAGCCATAGTTACATTTAGAGAACCATTTAGAAGTGATAGAAAATTGAAATTTCAATGCCTTTTGGACCACTATTATGGATATAAATGTCATTATTTCTGACTTTTAAACAAAGCCTCCAAATTCATAACCAACTTGCAGAACTATACTTAAAAATTACAGGTTTTAAGAGTTTTTTGTTTTGTCTCTTAATATAGGAAAACGACGGGTAGGAAGTAAATCTGTGTAACAGTTAGAGGTTAGCATTTCATATGATCTGAAGTTCTAAATGGTTCTCTGATTTGAGGGAAGTTGAACTGATTTCCTCTAGATATTGGCCATAATATGTATACAAATGTATATTAAGGAGGAATTACAAAATTCTTTAATTTCAATGCTAGTAGAAACTGGCCAGCAAAAAAGGTGCATTTTTTTTTTTTTTTAATTATGGATCACTTGGGAATTACTGACTTGAAGTATCAAAGGATATTTGCATGTGAATGTGGGTTATGTTCTTTCTCACCTTGTAGCATATTCAATGAAAGTTGAGTTGACTGGTAGCTAAAAATATGTTTTAACAGCATGTAAAAAGTTACTTTATCTGTTACAAGTCATTATACAATTTTGAATGTTATGTAGTTTCTTTATAACAGTTTAGGTAATAAGGTCTGTTTTTCATTCTGGTGCTTTTATTAATTTTGATAGTATGATGTTACTACTGAAATGTAAGCTAGAGTGTATACTAGAATGTAAGCTCCACGAGAGCAGGTACTTTGTCTGTCTCTACTGCTGTATCTATTTCCAACGCCTGATGACAGTGCCTGGCACATAGTAGGCACTCAATAAATACTTGTTGAATGAATGAATGAATGAGTACTGGTGGAATACTCCATTAGCTCTACTCTTCTTTTAACTAGAGAACATGAGCAAATTTGCGCATGACAACCTCCAGGACAGGTGAAACTTGAACACTGAAGAATTGACCTCTTAAACCTAATAATGTGGTGACAAGCTGCCCACATGCTTCTTGACTTCAGATGAAAATCTGCTTGAAGGCAAAACAAATAATATTTGAAAGAAAAACCAAATGCCATTTTTGTCTTCTAGGTCGTGGAGGGCCCCCAAGACCCAACAGAGGGATGCCGCAAATGAACACTCAGCAAGTGAATTAATCTGATTCACAGGATTATGTTTAATCGCCAAAAACACACTGGCCAGTGTACCATAATATGTTACCAGAAGAGTTATTATCTATTTGTTCTCCCTTTCAGGAAACTTATTGTAAAGGGACTGTTTTCATCCCATAAAGACAGGACTACAATTGTCAGCTTTATATTACCTGGATATGGAAGGAAACTTATTTTTACTCTGCATGTTCTGTCCTAAGCGTCATCTTGAGCCTTGCACATGATACTCAGATTCCTCACCCTTGCTTAGGAGTAAAACACAATATACTTTAATGGGGTGATATCTCCATAGTTATTTGAAGTGGCTTGGATAAAGCAAGATTGACTTCTGACATTGGATAAAATCTACAAATCAGCCCTAGAGTCATTCAATGGTAACTGACAAAACTAAAATATTTCCCTTGAAAGGAAGATGGAAGGAGTGGAGTGTGGTTCGGCAGAACAGATGCATTTCACACCTTTTCCGGTTAAATTGGAGCACTGAACATTTAGATGCATACCAAATTATGCATGGGCCCTTAATCACACATACAAGGCTGGGTACCAGCCTTAGGCTTTGACACGGCACTATTCATCCTCTGGCCAGACGACTGTGGTTTAAGACACATGTAAATTGCTTTTTAACAGCTGATACTGTATAAGACAAAGCCAAAATGCAAAACTAGGCTTTGATTGGCACTTTTTGAAAAATATGCAACAATTAAGGGATATAATTTGGATGGCCGCTTCTGTACTTAATGTGAAATATTTAGATACCTTTTGAACACTTAACAGTTTCTTTGACAATGACTTTTGTAAGGATTGGTAGTATATATCATTCCTTATGACGTACATTGTCTGTCACTAATCCTTGGATCTTGCTGTATTGTCACCTAAATTGGTACAGGTACTGATGAAAATCTAATGGATAATCGTAACACTCTTGGTCACATGTTTTTCCTGCAGCCTGAAAGTTTTTAAAAGAAAAAGACATCAAATGCCTGCTGCTGCCACCCTTTTAAATTGCTATCTTTTGAAAAGCACCAGTATGTGTTTTAGATTGATTTCCCTATTTTAGGGAAATGACAGTCAATAGTTTCACTTCTGATGGTATAAGCAAACAAATAAAACATGTTTATAAAAGTTGTATCTTGAAACACTGGTGTTCAACAGTTAGCAGCTTATGTGGTTCATCCCATGCAGTTTAGTGTTAACAAATTTTATGGTTATCTCCAGCAGCTATTTCTACAGTACTTGCACTTATCTTTTGTCTAACCCTAACTGAATTATCTGTTTCACATGGAGGTATTTATATTCAAAGTGGTGATTCCCTCCCATAGATGTATAGGGAGAGTCTCAAGTCTGATGATGATGGACAGTTTAGTAATTTATGTATGATGTTGAAATTTGTGCTAGCAGTTGGAGCACTAGTTCTGTGTGCCTATGAACTTAATGCTGCTTGTTGTATCCCACTTTGACTTCATGGGGAATTAATCCCACCTTACATTAAGCAAAGGCTACTAAGTTAATGGTATTTTCTGTGCAGAAATTGAATTTAGTTTTCAGCCTTTAGCTAAAGACTTTTTCCAGTAGGTGCTCAGCTACTTAAACCCATAAAACTATTCTCAAACATTCATCATTAGACAACTGGAGTTTTTGCTGGTTTTGTAACCTTCTAAAATGGATAGGCTATTGAACATTCCACATTCAAAAGTTTTGTAGGGTGGTGGGGAAGGGGGGAAAACTTCAATGTTTATTTTAAAATAAAAGAAGTTCTTGACTTTTCTCATGTGTGGTTGTGGTACATCATATTGGAAGGGTTATCTGTTTACTTTGCAAATAAGTATTTCTTCTGCTAGCACCTCCCCTTGTGTGCTTTAAATGACATCTGCCTGGGATGTACCACAACCATATGTTTGCTTTATTTTAGGCGCATAGATAAAATATTTGTGGTTTACTGGGTAATCCCTAGATGATGTGTGCTTACAATCTTTCTATATATAAAACTAACTTTGCTATCTGTGTAGAAAATAATTTCATGACATTTAAAGTCAGAATTGAAATAAGTTCTTTATACAGTGATCTCTGAATCAGTTCAGAGATGGGATGGGGGAGAAATGCTTTCTAGGTTTCAAACTTCTATGCATTAGTACAGATGTCATGAATGTGTAAAGGTATTAGTAGGTTGATTTTTTTCTATGTATGTTTTTAAAAGAATCGCTTGTTCTTTTTGACATATACCTTTTTTTGGCATTCTACCATTGTAGTCTAAATTTAAAACTTTTATGCCTCAATTCAGACTATATTTTTTAAAGGAGAGCCTCTCTATGGGGCAGAGAACTTTTTAAAAGTCCCATTAAGATCTGAGTCTTGGTACTAAGTGTTCTGTATAATTTGTGGATGCTTGTCCTCCCTGCAGGAGGCCTTGCGTGGGCAAATGCATATTCTAGCAGAGTTGAAAAGAGATGGTTGTCACATGTGGCATTGTGGCTTGGTGTATAGCAAGATGCCATATATAAAGTACTTTCATTTAAATGCACAGTGTCAATCATCTCGTGGATAATGAGACTTCTGTTTCAAAGCTTTAAGGTACAGTGTCATTGGTTACCTTGGCTAGGGCAGTTTTATTTTTAGATTTAAATATCCCTAAAGAATATTATTGAAAGAGGTTTTCTGATCATCGTCTTGTCATATTAAAACAAAACCTGTTAAGTATTTTTAATCAGCTAGCTTCTGCTGTTCTTTAACCTCCTATGTATATATATGATTCCTTGATGTGGGAGACGTCACTTAGAGACATGAGAATGTGTATTTATTCTCAGAAGGTTAATTAACAGATGTTCTGTTAACAAGCAGTTCATAAAATGTAGAAAGTAGTTGAATATTCAGCCTCCTAAGTGTCTTAGGAGATTTATATTGTTCATTATATTTTCAATAATATATCTTAGGGGGAATGGGATACAGGTAAGCACAAAGTTAAAACCCATCATTTTCATCTTTTAAGTTTCTGAATTTCATCTCATTTGAGTTCTCATTAAGCACTCTTTGAAGTTTTATTGACTGTAAGTTATGTTAAAAAAATCAGTATTGCTCTTAAGCGTATCCCTTCTAAAGAGTTAATGGGGGGAGGGAAAACCCTCAGGAATATGAAAATAATTTGTTAAGGCTCATTCTATACCCTTTCCCATTTTGAATTCTACAAAAATACTGGAAAAGACTAGTGAATGTTTTAAAATTACATTAGATTAAATAATATTAAAACCTGATACCTTAATTGTCCTTGAGTGAAGTTTGCTTTAGTTGTTTATACCACTGAGCAAAGCTCTAAGTGAAGAAGTGCTACTTGTGAGAAGAGAGGAAAAACCTTAAATTTGTTAGTCTCACCTTATTAGACTACTACAGTTCTTCTCAATTGGGATCTTAATACCTTAAACAGCGGTTCTGAAGCCTAATCCAGTCTCATGCAGAAGACTGGCTCCTTGAGTATGTAAGTAGTGAAAGATAACCTGATCCAGTGAAGGCAATAAGTGTTCTTTTTAGTACTGGTTTTCTGCAAGTACTGTATTTAGATTAGGGAGCCACTGTATTAAGTCAGTACACCAAAGCTTCATCCAGCAAATTTGGGTCCTCTTTGCCAGGTCACCATTCCAAGCACTAAGCGTTCAGTGGTGACAGAATCACTGGTTCCTGCTCTCATCAGTCTGATCAAAGATGTTGATGTGATGATACTAAAATACAGCAAAAGCCATGATGCAGCAACATAGTTGGTGATAGATATTAAGGCTGTGATAGGATATGGCCTAGTCAAAATGATCAGGAAAGACATTTTTGATGTGAATAGTTCAGACTTGAAGGATAAGAAGTAAACTGATAAAGAACGGGAGAGAACTGCATGTCCAAGTCAAGTCTCCAGTGACTGAGAAACTGACTCGAGTGAAAGTATAGATATTATAGAGCTAGAGAGAGACTGAAGCAACAGGTAAGGACTACTAAGAACAGCTTTGTAGTTTTATTCCATGGTAAATTTTGTCTCTTGAGAGTTGGAAACTGGTAAGTTTTAAGCTGTGTGTATAGTGGTTGGGATTGGGGGAGGAGAGGATGGGGGGTCACCTAGTAAAATTGTCATTTAGTAACACTCAATGCAGGGGATTCCCTGGCAGTCCAGTGGCAAAAGCAAAAACAACAGTGTTGAGAGCAAAATAATATGGTGCAAGAGAACTATTGGTGTAGCCCATGTAAGAAATGATTACAACATAAAGTGCAGGGTGGTTGTGAATGGGTTCTGCACATTTCTATCTGGCCATTGCTCAGTATCCTTTACTGAGTTTTCCAGGACTTGGTTGCAGACTTCATCCTTGGCTAACATTCTTCCCTAGTTGATCTTAACCAATCCCATGACTGACTACAGTCATTTTAGTCACTCAGAAGCGTTTCTAGGTCCCAGACTCCCCCAAACACATGCAAACTTGATGTCTTGATTTGAATGTCATGAGTATTTCAGATTTATCTGTTCATGAACGTATATCCAGTTGCTCAGGGCATATACCTTGGATATCACTGGTTTCCTTTCATACCTTGTACCTATAGTCCTTAAGCAAATGCGTATGATTCTACCTTAAAAATACATCCTAAGTTAGCCAGCACTTGTGACCACCACCACTATCAGAACAGGTAACAACAGTAGCTTATGGTGGTTCTGTTTCTAGTCTTGCTCTCCTGTAGTATAGTTTTCTTGCGTAGCAGTCAGATTGAGGGCAAGTAAGATTTTGTCACTTCCTTGTTCAGACTCCAGTGGTTTCTGTAGAAACCACGCCACACCTAGAATCCTAAGTCTGGCCCATATGCCCTTCAAATATCAGGCCTAATTTCCTACTGTTTTCTCTCTTACTTACTGTACTCTGGCCACACTGGATGCTTTGTTGAGACTGTCACCGTCCTGGGAACTTCGTGTGTGGAAAGCTTAACACTCAACTGTTAAAAACAATGTTAAGGCTCATTCTTTTTAAATTAAGGTCTTTGCTCCAGGTTACCATTTCACAGTCCTTCCATGTTTTCTTTGTCCCTTAGTTTTTACTCACTGGATACTTTTTTCTGAACACCTTGTTCTACCTAGACTATGTTAAACTTAGAGATAGGAAAATTTTGTTCACTTTATCTCGTCTAGCGTATTGGCATTTTGTTGGAATTATGAAGTCATGGGTGTTGGACCACATGGATGGTGCTGATTATATTAGGTTTGTAGCTACAGAATTACATTTTGATTTGACGAAGGAGTTTAAGGTAGAAAGGGAAATGAGTTCGGCTGATAGAGGCATCTGAGAAAAGCAGTTAGAATGTGTTAAATAAAACGTTCTGGTCCCCAAATTAATGACTATATGTGGCCTTTTAAGTCAACTGCTTGGCAGTTCGCTTAGGAGTGGGGTAGAAGAAAGGAACCAAACAGCAGAACCCCAGAGCTGGTTTTCATAAACTGCATTTGCCAGCCAGGTACGGGCCTGAAGAGCCTGCAAAGTACAGCGGCAATAATAGTGGGTAGAAAACCTACGGAATCCCAGACAAATAAGCCTACGAGGTCATGACTGAGGATGAGGAGGGTCAAGTGAGCTGTGAGAAAGATCTTACTGAGTTTCCCTATCTTGTCACATGAGGACGTTATTTAAAATAAGAGGACTCAAAATTATGCACACATTTTGGGAGCCAGTCATCTCGCATAACCAGGCTAACACTCAAAACCCGGACCTGTCTGGGCACCCGAGCTAGCCGCACGCAGTGACAGGCCATGCGGGTGCGAACGTCTACTTGTTCTGCTCTCCGTAGCCACGGTATCTTAATTCTGACCTGAAGAGGCAAGCGACAGCCGGCACCACTGCTACAGCCCGCAGAGACAACCGTACAGCCTTGGTTGCTGCAGCTCCGCCCCGCGGGCTTTGAGGTCATCACTCAGCGACCGGGTTGAAGAGGTCCCTTCTCGCCGTCGCCGCTCCGTTAGTGCGCCGGCGCACGCCCCGCCTTTAAGCGCCCGAGCGAGACGCGCGTCGCGGAGGAGTGATCTGTGAGAGCCAGCTTCCAGGCATCCGTTAGGCTGCGCCCGCCTCTTCCGCAAAAGTTCGGTTTCTCCACGTGCTTCCGCTTTGCTGCTGGCTGTAGTCCGCTGGGCTCCGGGCGCAGGTATCTTCCATGGGATGGCTGGGGGCGGGTGCCAAGGTCGGTGTCGGCGTCCTTCTTGGGCCTGGATGAGACTGGCTCCAGGACGAAGGCTTTGCATTTGTGCTGGTGCCCGACACATGCCGACTGCAGCTCCATCACGACTGCCGCCTCATCCGGGTGCTCCTAGATGACAGGACCCTCTGCTTCTAAGCGCTCTTGCGGGTTGTGTGTCTTGATCACTTCCCTCTAGGGGCTCTAGTTGGGGTGGGGTGGGGTGGGTTGAGTGGGTGAGTGACAACACTTTTGCTTTCCGCGGAGCTTGTCCACAGTTCCTGATGGCAGCACCTGGCATTGAACAGAGACAATCTCATTTCATCCAGATCCTCCCAAGCTAGTTGCTACATCTTTCGTTTATACTCCGTATTCATCAGGAACACTCAGTACTTTATTTTGTTTACCAGTGCACCTAGAATGATGCCTGGCGCATAGATAATATGTATATTTGTTTGAGTAATAGATGAATACTGAAAAATAACTTTCTTTGACATCAAGGCCTTCCTCATCCACTAAGCCTACCTTGGCAACTGCAGCCCACAGTAATCTCAGACTTTCACCTGTCTGTAACAATTAAGTTTTACATCTAATTTTATCTGTCTTTAGGCAGATTATCCCTCATTTCTTTCTCTTAAATATTTTCTCTAAGGAAAATGAAAACTCTTTGAAGTCAGGACTTTATCTGGTACTACTTCAGGGACTCACACAGTAATAGAACAAAAAGCAATAATTAGTTGTTGGTTGGTGGTGGGTTTTTTTTGTGGCCAACAACTGAGCTCACAAGCTGGTTGGTGACCTGGAAACAGTTCAGACTTTGAAATCAGGAGGGCGCCTGAATGTGAATCATGTCTCCCATCATTTTTCTTCCTTGGTGGTATTTGAGTATTTATACTGGGTTCTTTCCTTATCAAATAAGAGCCATTGGTTGTGACATAGTATTTTACAGTAAGAAAGAACTGCTAAAATCCATGTTTGGATTGAGAGTTTAGGAAGACAATACAGGGTTAAGTTTCAGTTAATGAGCTTTGTGTGTAGAATGCAGCTAGCACTGGAGTATCTTAAGTAACATGTCGTTTGTATTTTTACATTGTAGAAGCATAATTGATACTTCTGGTGTTTATTGGTGTATCTATTATGATAATGATGCAATGTTCTATCATTTGTAATCACAATAACTTGAAATCTCTTTGTACAGGCTTAGGTATAGTTTTCCTTCCCTTGAGGAAGCAATTGTACACATGCCATCATAGTTATATTCATTGATTTCTTCTTCTGGTTTTGTTAGTAATATATGTAAATTAGGAAAAAAAAAACCAACCCAAACTCCCCAAAACAAAATAACAAAGTAAGAATCACCCATTATTTCACTGTGCGTTAATAAGTGCATTTCAGTTTTTAAAAAAATAGATGTGTATATAATGTATATACATATATACATATACATATCTTGCCGTATTATCCTCTAATAAGCATCTGTATTCATATCCTTAGATAAATCTTGAAAGTGATTTTGAACAAATATTTTTGAAAACTTCCTTATCTTCCCATGGATATATCATAGGTTTTATTTATTCTTTTTTTTTGAACATTGTTTCTGATTTTTAAAAAACTCCTCCAGAGGGGTGTGAATTATAGCTTTCCATGCCTGTGGGAACATTTTCTTCACCTTTCAAGCCTAAGTGAAGTGAAAGTTGCTCAGTCGTGTCCATTTCTTTGTGACCCCATGTATTATACAGTCCATGGAATTCTCTAGGTCAGAATACTGGAGTGGGTAGCCTTTCCCTTCTCCAGGGGATCTTCCCAACCCAGGGATCAAACTCAGGTCTCCTGCATTGCAGGCGGATTCTTTTTTTTTTTTTTCACCTTTCTTTTTTTATTTATTTATTTTTATTTTTATTTTTTTCATTTATTTTTATTAGTTGGAGGCTAATTACTTTACATCATTGCAGTGGTTTTTGTCATACATTGAAATGAATTAGCCATGGATTTACATGTATTCCCCATCCCGGTCCCCCCTCCCACCTCCCTCTCCACCCGATCCCTCTGGGTCTTCCCAGTGCACCAGGCCCGAGCACTTGTCTCATGCACCCAACCTGGGCTGGTGATCTGTTTCACCCTAGATAATATACGTGTTTCGATGCTGTTCTCTTGAAACATCCCACCCTTGCCTTCTCCCAGAGTCCACAAGTCTGTTCTATACATCGGAGTCTCTTTTTCTGTTTTGCATATAGGGTTATCGTTACCATCTTTCTAAATTCCATATAGATGTGTTAGTATACTGTAATGGTCTTTATCTTTCTGGCTTACTTCGCTCTGTATAATGGGCTCCAGTTTCATCCATCTCATTAGAACTGATTCAAATGAATTCTTTTTAATGGCTGAGTAATATTCCATGGTGTATATGTACCACAGCTTCCTCATCCATTCGTCTGTTGATGGGCATCTAGGTTGCTTCCATGTCCTGGCTATTATAAACAGTGCTGCGATGAACATTGGGGTGCACGTGTCTCTTTCAGATCTGGTTTCCTCGGTGTGTATGCCCAGAAGTGGGATTGCTGGGTCATATGGCAGTTCTATTTCCAGCTTTTTAAGAAATCTCCACACTGTTTTCCATAGTGGCTGTACTAATTTGCATTCCCACCAACAGTGTAAGAGGGTTCCCTTTTCTCCACACCCTCTCCAGCATTTATTGCTTGTAGACTTTTGGATAGCAGCCATCCTGACTGGTGTGTAATGGTACCTCATTGTGGTTTTGATTTGCATTTCTCTGATAATGAGTGATGTTGAGCATCTTTTCATGTGTTTGTTAGCCATCTGTATGTCTTCCTTGGAGAAATGTCTGTTCAGTTCTTTGGCCCATTTTTTGACTGGGTCATTTATTTTTCTGGAGTTGAGCTGGAGGAGTTGCTTGTATATTTTTGAGATTAATCCTTTGTCTGTTGCTTCGTTTGCTATTATTTTCTCCCAATCTGAGGGCTGTCTTTTCACCTTGCTTATAGTTTCCTTTGTTGTGCAAAAGCTTTTAAGTTTCATTAGGTCCCATTTGTTTATTTTTGCTTTTATTTCTAAAATTCTGGGATGTGGGTCATAGAGGATCCTGCTGTGATTTATGTCGGAGAGTGTTTTGCCTATGTTCTCCTCTAGGAGTTTTATAGTTTCTGGCCTTACATTTAGATCTTTAATCCATTTTGAGTTTATTTTTGTGTATGGTGTTAGAAAGTGTTCTAGTTTCATTCTTTTACAGGTGGTTGACCAGTTTTCCCAGCACCACTTGTTAAAGAGGTTGTCTTTTTTCCATTGTATATCCTTGCCTCCTTTGTCAAAGATAAGGTGACCATAGGTTCGTGGATTTATCTCTGGGCTTTCTATTCTGTTCCATTGATCTATATTTCTGTCTTTGTGCCAGTACCATACTGTCTTGATGACTGTGGCTTTGTAGTATAGTTTGAAGTCAGGCAGATTGATTCCTCCAGTTCCATTCTTCTTTCTCAGGATTACTTTGGCTATTCGAGGTTTTTTGTATTTCCATACAAATTGTGAAATTATTCGTTCTAGTTCTGTGAAAAATACCGTTGGTAGTTTGATAGGGATTGCATTGAATCTGTAGATTGCTTTGGGTAGTATAGCCATTTTGACAATATTGATTCTTCCAATCCATGAACATGGTATATTTCTCCATCTGTTTGTGTCCTCTTTGATTTCTTTCATCAGTGTTTTATAGTTTTCTATGTATAGGTCTTTTGTTTCTTTAGGTAGATATACTCCTAAGTATTTTATTCTTTTTGTTGCAATGGTGAATGGTATTGTTTCCTTAATTTCTCTTTCTGTTTTCTCATTGTTAGTGTATAGGAATGCAAGAGATTTCTGTGTGTTAATTTTATATCCTGCAACTTTACTGTATTCGTTGATTAGCTCTAGTAATTTCCTGGTAGAGTCTTTAGGATTTTCTATGTAGAGGATCATGTCATCTGCAAACAGCGAGAGTTTCACTTCTTCTTTTCCTATCTGGATTCCTTTTATTTCTTTTTCTGCTCTGATTGCTGTGGCCAAAACTTCCAAAACTATGTTGAATAGTAGTGGTGAGAGTGGGCACCCTTGTCTTGTTCCTGATTTCAGGGGAAATGCTTTCAGTTTTTCACCATTGAGGGTGATGCTTGCTGTGGGTTTGTCATATATAGCTTTTATTATGTTGAGGTATGTTCCTTCTATTCTGCAGGCGGATTCTTTACCAGCTGAGCCACAAGGGAAGTCCAAGAATACTGGAGTGGGTAGCCTAACCCTCTAGCGGATCTTCCTGACCCAGGAATCGAACCAGGGTCTCCTGCATTGCAGGAAGATACTTTACCTACTGAGCTATCAGGGAAGCCCAAGGGGACATACCCTGGGTCAACTATTTGATAATGTTTTTAAGCTAAATCTTAAATGGCTTATTATTAAGACTCTTACCAAGACAGCTGTTTGAAAACAATGTTATCAAAATGTCCTTAGCATTGTAACTAAGATTAAAAGCATGAAAATGTACAAAAGATACATAGCAAAGTCACACAGTTCTTTTAATCTATACATTTCTTGAGGTATTTTTTAGAAGTCCTGTTTCCTGAGTTTTTCTTCTCTCATCTCTTTTTGTCTGAGCCTCAGTGATGCTGTGATAGAGTCAGATTACACGTTTGCAGTTGCAAGCCTAAGTTTCCTAATATAAAAAACAAGGCTGATATCTTCCCTAGGGAGCTGTTGAGGGTTAAATAATACTTATAAATGTACGTAGTTCAGCTCCTGTCCCACAGGAGGCAGCCAGCTAATGGTTTTCACCCAGAGCCTGGATGTTCATGACCAGTCGTGTTTCCTTTCCTTCTGTTTTAGTGATAATTTTTCACCATGCATCGGAAGAAAGTGGATAACCGAATCCGGATTCTCATTGAGAATGGGGTAGCTGAGCGGCAAAGGTCTCTTTTTGTTGTGGTTGGAGATCGAGGGAAGGATCAGGTAAGACCTGGTAAATGCTTCCTGACTTTGTGTCCTGTTCCAGAGAGTCAGCATGTTACGGACCATCTGGGGATTTACACATAATGACATTAAGGTCTCTTTGGTTTTCTTTCTTTTTTTTATTTATTTTTATTAGTTGGAGGCTAATTACTTAATAATATTGTAGTGGTTTTTGTCATACACTGACATGACTCAGCCATGGATTTACATGTATTCCCCATCCTCTTTGGTTTTCTTTTAAGTGAAATGCCTCGTGGGAACCTTCCTTTTATTCTTGAAAGTGATGAATACTCAGTAGTTAGAGTTATTAGTAGATAGGTTAACAGCTTTTGATACTGAGTACAAGAGTAAGTGTATGTGGTCTGGTTTTTAGTCCCAGCCTGGGCGCTGCTTGCCTTGTGGTCTTGGGCCTGGCCATCCCAGAGGTCTCTTTTGGCCCTAGGATTCCGTGGCTTTTTTCTTTCGCAGGTAGTCATACTGCATCACATGTTGTCCAAAGCAACTGTGAGAGCTCGGCCTTCGGTGCTGTGGTGCTATAAGAAAGAGCTGGGCTTCAGCAGGTAAGTCGTGCCCCTTTGAGTGTCCCATCCCATTTCCCATCCCTGCTCCTTAGTTAAATGCCAGGAAATGATTCTTTGACCTAGGTTTTAAGGGATTGTTAGTAAAGGTGCCGTCTCTGATGACACTTCCCAGTAGAGCAAATAATTGAGCTGATGTTCATTCTTCATTCCTGACAATAAATTTCAAAATCTTTTCATGCTTTTTTATGTTCCCAGCCCAATTCCTTGCTTTCTGCATGCCATTTTTCTTCCTGGTGTTCTCAGCTGATCGAGCGCATCTAATAATGCTGGTTCCACCTGATGCCTAATGCAGCAGCTTTTCTCTTTCTCCTTCTTTTCAGAGCTCTTCTACTAGTCTGCTGTCTGACAGTTGGCTGGTTTTGTTTTGTTTTGTTTTAATTGTGGAACTTAAGACATAGTAAATATGAGATCTCTAACACAAACACACTTAGGCACAAATGGAATCTATTGAAGTACAGTTGACCCTTGAACAGTGTGGGTTTGAGCTGCAGGACTCCACTTATATGTGGATGTGTTTCAGTAGTAAGCTCTACAGTACTCTGTGGTCTGTGGTTGGTTGAATTCTCTGATACAGGGGAGCTGTGGTTACAGAGGGGCCGACTCTAAGTCAGACATAGGTTAACCCCCAGGTTTTTCAAGGGTCAGCAGTATTCGGGTTAGCTCCTGAAGCCTCTGGGGGTGAGACTTCAGCTTTGCCTTGGGGATGGCGTATAGCCGCAGTGCTGACACCCTGGTTCCTGCTCTGTCCTTCGTCTTTGCATCACCCCTCGGGTCTGCTCTGTTCTTTCCCACTTTAGGACAGCTTTCTGCCTTCTGTGGTCCCCATTGCAGAAATCGCCCATGAGGTTTACGTGGTTTGGGTGCAACAACACAGAAATCTGTCTTTCTCCCAAATTCTTTTGGAAAGATATCCAGCCCTGGGCCAGAGGAAATGGGGTGGGCCACCTAGTAGGAGCCTGGCGGTTCTACCTACACCCATATGTGGGGAGCAGTTTGGGGTGTGGGGTACTGATCCTTGGCAGATACCCCACTATAGCGTCACCTCAGAAACGCTCTCCTTTTACCCTGACTGCCTTCCTAAGCACTTCCCTCTCTCTGATCTCATCTCACCCACAACCCGTTCGGCTGTGTGGTTCTGTCCTTGGGCCTCTTCCCCCTCCACTACCCCCAGAGTAAAGTTTGTCTCTCTAGATGCACTCCGACGGTGCATCTCCAGCCCCGGCTGCTCTCTGCTCTGGCGAAACCCCCTGCCTTTGCCCCTGCTCCCTCCCCCGCTTGGGGTGCTGCTTCCACCTCTCTGTACTCACCTGCTGAGGTGCTCGCCCGGGGTGCTCCCCTCTGTTCAGGGCCTGCGTCCTGCAGGAAGCTTTTCCTGAGGCCCTCAGACGTAGCGCATGGCTCCACTGACCTCTCTAGCCCCTGTCTCTTTGTACAGTGCTTGGCACCTTACCTTCTCTCTCCCTCAAGATGTGATCGCTTGCCCCCTGGTAAGTAAGTTCATTTAGCGAGGAGGCCTCTCCTGCTTATCTTTATATTTTCATATTTTCAAAGGATCTGCTATGTTTTACTAGGTGCTCAATTACTATTTGTTGAGTGTATTGTTAACAGGCTCTAACATTTTAATTTTACTTAAGTACCAAAGGCTAAATTTGATTAGTTCTTATCCTTTGGTCTTTAAGAGACTTGATTCTGCTTAAAAGAAACTAGATTTTGAATTAGATAGTTTTGCCTTTAAAAATATTATAAAAGCTTTATTGTAAGAATATGAAAAATACAGAAAAATCACAAAGGTGAAAATAGAAAGCACCATATTTTCAATACTTAGGCATTGTTAGCATTTAGCTGTATATGCAGTATGTATTTTTAAGCCATAATTGGCATATTCTTTCATAATTGGGCAGGTAAGCATTTTTAATACAGATTGAGAATAAGGCCTGTTGCCTCTCAGCAGAATTTTCAGTTTCTGGTGCTCTGATTCTCACGGCTGTACACTTGGTAAATGTCAGAATGGCAGTTCAGGGTATTCTGGGCAGATTTGCCTTTCAATTTAACCCACCTGATCTCGCTTTTTAAAAGATCCCTCCTGTGCCTCTTGTAGCTCTCCCAGCCCTGTCTAGATGTGGCAGAGCATCAGGTTAAAGCTGATGCTAAGTCATGGCTGAGGAAGTGGAGGCCCAGGAGGAAGGCCTTGGCCTTACTCTTCAGTTAGAAAACTGAGATTAAATTTTGGTCCACTGCACACCTTGGTTCTGGAGTTTTCTTGTTCTCTGTTTTCTCTGAAAGAAAGAGCTGGGACTTCCCTGGAGGTCCAGTGGTTAAGACTGTGTCTCCCGGTGCAAGGACTGTGGGTTCAGCCTGTGATCCAGGAGCTAGGATCCCATGTGCCTGGAGGCCAGAAAACCAAAATATAAAGCGGAAGCAGTATTGTAACCGGTTCAGTAAAGACTTTAAAAATGGTCCGCAGCAGAGAAAGTCCTAAAGAAGTTAACTAACACTTGAGTATTCAGAGATGTTTAGGACAAGAGAGAGGTTCAGGGATGTCTGAGAGATGTCCAAATTCTGTTCTAACCCGTGTATCTTCTGTCGGTGTTGTCTTAGATTAGAACTGCCCTTGAGGACTCCATCCAACTATCTGGGAAGGAAGTGGATGAATTCATTTAGGAAAAATAAATAAAGTAACCCACTGTCATGACGCCTCTCCCAGGTTCTCTGGGAAGGGGCGCTGTGAAATTGAAGCATTGGCTTGAGACTGAGATAATGAGCCCACCAACATTTAGTTTCAAGCTCTGGCTAAATGTGAGGTTTAGGGACTCCCATTACCCTTCTTGTTAAGTGAAGTATCAAAATGGCAGGGTTCGCAAACAGACTTACACTATCTTCCTCTGAAGCCCTTCTCTTCTAATGCTTCTCCAGTTTTGTTCTTTTTTTTAAGCTTTAAAGCGAGGGAATTAGCCCTATAATTTCCAAGTTCCCTTCTAGCTCTGAAAGTCTTAAGTGGGTGATCGTTGAGTCTATTCCCTTCTCCCAACTCTAGCCCCTCCAGTTAACTGGCTCTTATGGGGTTCGGGGGGTGGGGTGATTGCAGTCATCGGAAGAAAAGAATGCGACAGCTGCAGAAAAAAATAAAGAACGGGACGCTGAACATAAAGCAAGATGACCCCTTTGAACTCTTCGTAGCTGCCACCAACATTCGCTACTGCTACTACAACGAGACGCACAAGATCCTGGGCAACACATTTGGCATGTGTGTTCTCCAGGTGGGTGATTTCCCCCAGCCCGCAACTGGGGGCAGAGCCCCGAGGGGTGCTTGGGCTGCCTGGTTACCCGCGAGAACAGGTGTACAGAGAGGAGAGAAGATTCACGTGTATCCCCCTTCCCCCAGACTTTATCAGTGGAAGACTTGGCCACTTTCCCAAGGAACTTGATAACTCACCGCCATAAAAAGAACATTTTCTATCTAAAGCAGCACTTGTCCAGAGATAGCCAGACTGGTAGTGATGCTCCATCACACCTGAGTCTAACCAGCTTGATAGAGCATGGAACTTTGCATGACCCTAGAACCCCAGACCTTGTTAGAACCAACTGAAGGCTTTTGTTTTATTAGAACTTATTGTGTTCTTAGAACTAACTGAGACCAGGCAGGAATAGGACTTGTTTTAACTCACTGGTTACAGACCTGAGCACTCTTACATCCTATCCATAGTGCTTGGCTGAATAACCTGCCCCTACAATCAACCTTCTAATCCTTAAAGTCTCCTCACTCCACCACCACCCCGCCCCCCCCCCCCCCCCCCCCCCCCCCCCGCCACTGAAAACTATCTGGTGAGTTTCTTTCTTCACTGGTATGTATTTTCTCTTGCCTGGCAAGTTCATAGATTGTTTCACATTTTTCTTTGTTTTGAGCTCTGGTGGTCTTTGTTTGATTCTTTGACACCTGTGATTTCATCCATTCCCCCCTCTCCTGCCCCCGAAAGAAAACATTTAAGCACAAATTTTCTCCACATTTAAGCTCAGGTTCCCACTGTTTGATCATGTATTTATTATATGCATGCACTGCTATAATTACATGTATTATAAAACATACCTTTTAAAATATAAATTTAGAAATGAGATGGGAAATTCTGAACAGAAGTTCTGGTTTTTTCTTTCTGCAGCCCAATGGGTTGTCCATGCATTGCTGGGTTACATCCCACCTTGGAGGCTGAGGAGAGTGTTTTGCCTGTTCTCGCCCCATCTCTGACTGCTAGGGAGTTGCTTCTGCTCAGCAGTTCCCAGACGCAGTGATGCTGGCTCCTTTAGGCAGTGGCTCCCCCATGTGGTACAGTAGAGTTTTGTCAGTTTCCGCCTATGAACATAGCAGAAAATGAATGTGAGGTATTTCTGAAATTCATGTGAGAATCAATGAAGACTGGAGAACTTCTTTCCAAATAAGATTTTATCAGGGATGATGGGAAACACTTTGACATATAAAACCAGATACACCTGTTCTCCAGGGCTGGGCTGTCTTCTGTGGTCCCCTAAATAAGGACAGTGTGTGTGTACGGGAGTCCTGGTGAGTTGATAGTGGGTATCATCTTAAGTTTGTACTCTGAAGCCCTCCTTGCCTCCTGGTTAAGCTTCCCTGCTGTGCTCTTTGCATCATCAGCTAGTTCTAAGGTCTCCTTCTTCCAGGATTTTGAAGCTTTGACTCCAAACTTGCTGGCCAGGACTGTAGAAACAGTGGAAGGTGGTGGGTTGGTGATTATTCTCCTGCGGACCATGAACTCACTCAAGCAGTTGTACACAATGACCATGGTAAGTCCCTGTTTTTTTAAACTTGATTGTAGGGGTTCAGGTCAGTCTGTGTTTTTCTGCTTTCCTATAAGAATTCTTACTGAGCAACTCCAGTGAACAGTTAGCATCATCTCTGGGCTGGAAGCTCTTTAATTGCAACTAAGGCAAAAGTGATTGCAGAGAAGTCTCAGTGGCCCTGGGTGTGCTGGGGAGTGTGAATCAGGCCTTTGCTCTCAGGCATTTGCAAATACTACACCAGCGAGGTGTAGATAGGATGCAGCTGTTGTGCAGTTAAAATTTCTGAGGTAGTATCCCACAGAGAGCCACGCCAGGGCCTGCACTTGTGTACTACGAAAAGGGGACCATGTCCTGACGTCCTCCCCTGCCCTCTCCCTAGTAGGTGATAAAGGAACACTGCCATCCCACTCCCAGGTGGGCAAGAACTTCGACTCCAAGCAGTGGGGGCGGGGTGGGGGGATATTTTCTGCCCGAGCTTTGGACCTGGCTGTAATTGAGGAAGGCGTCCCGCTGGATGCACAACTGGTTTCTGACTCATCGGCTCTGCCACGTGGGTGTCGTGTTCTGCACAGCAGGTTTTGAATCATGTCCAAGGCCAGCTGCTCGGGAACTGTTAGGATTGGCCTCGGGGTTTCGTGAGCTGCCTTCATCTGGCGAAATGGGCTTTCCTCAGATCTAGAGCCCACTTCTCGTCTCCTCCCCCCACCACCGCTTCACCTCACCCCGGCCCCTCTGGCCTCAGAGAGGTCCTCAGATGTGCCCTCTCCCCTCAGCACACTCAGCTGAGGGCCTTCCCAGTGGCTTTTCTCACGGGAATGTCTGCTGGCTCACTTCCTCACTGCAGTCCAGTCCCTGCCCAGATACCACCTCCTCAGCGTGGCCCTCTCTCTCACCCCCTGTAGAATCTGTGTTTCTCCCATCACCCCTCAACCTGTTTTATTTGGCTCCAAAGCGCGTTGCGGCCTCTGAAGTTAGACATCACTTGTTTACCATCTGGCTTCCTGTGCTCGTCTCCAGACCTCATGGGAGCAGGGACTCAGTTTCCCCCTGGTATACTCCTCGATCGTGGAAGAGCGCTGGCCTCAGTAAGCCCTCCTTAAGATATCTGTGAACGAAGGCGTCTCTCTATTCTCCCCCTGCTCTTCCTTGGCCGCCTGCTTGCCACCTCAGAGGGCCTTCCCTCACTGCCCTGTGTAAGCAGTCCCCCTTCCCACCCCACCCCATTAGCGGTCACTACACCTTGTTTTTCATTCGTAGCATTTGCCAAAATTTCTGTCTATTGTCTCCATCCAACCGTTTGATGAGAAGCTTCATGAGAGTAGGGGTCATGCTTTACCAAGCTCCAGTGTGTACCCATCATGTCTGGTGTTGGCATGTGCGTTTTGCTGAGCAAATGAATACATTTTGAGATGCTGGATAAGATGTGGGAAAAGCTAAAGATGAAGTGAGGGGATGTTTGTTGTAATGAGAAACACTGCATTTAGCGTCTGATTCCAGCTCCAGCGAATCGCATTCAGCCAGGTTAGCACAGCAAGTTAGGTAGGAGTGAATTTCGATTCTAGCAGCATCGCTGCTGCCTCTTTTATCCCAGGGCTGCTTGCTGAAACTTCTTCACGTCCGGCCGCTGATTCCCAGTGCCATTAGCCTCTACTGATGGCCGTTGTCTCTTTTAGGACGTGCATTCAAGATACAGGACAGAGGCCCATCAGGATGTGGTGGGAAGATTTAACGAGAGGTTGGTCCGAGCCCATTTTCCATTTCCTCAACTGTGGGAGCCATGGGGCCGGGGGGTCAGGGGGGTGGGGTGCGCTGTGCGTGTCTGTCTTGGACACAGCTGGAAGCCATGCTCTGTCTGAGGGAAGGTGGCACAGGACCCGCAGACGGTGAGGTCCCCAATCGCAGTGGCAGTCGCGCAGCTCACTGGAAGTGGTAAAGTGAGTGGAAGGCTGGGGCCTGGATTCTGTCTTGCTTCTGGCCCTCACCAAGTCGCTGTCCGCTCTGGCTCTTAGCCTGCGCAGGTGTCAGAGGGGTAATTTGTCTGGATCCCTGTTTCCCCAGATGTGTTTCACAGAACCCTGGTGTTTAAGAGGGATCTTATGACAAAAGGGTTTTCTGGCCCACTCTGTCTAGGAAATGGCTGATATAGTTTTTCCTTTCTGAAGAATCATGTGAGCCTGTTGTAGCCTCTGAAAACTCTCACAGCACAAGGGACCCCAGTTTTTTTGACCCAGAGCCCTGTTTAGGGAATACCAGTTAGCAACCTTTGAAAGCTTTAAGAAGGAAGAAGCCATGGCCTAGAGCAGTGGTTCTCAACCTGAGCAGTCTTGCCCTTGGGGAGACTTGGCAGTGTCTGGAGACACTTGGATAGTCAGGACCTGGCTGGGTGGGGCAGGGGGCGTTGGAAGGTACAGACCAATGATGCTGCTAAACAGCTGGAAAGGGACCAAAAAGCACCAGCACCCGCCCCTAAGGAAAATGATCGGGTCCGCAGTGTCAGTGCTGCTGCGGTGTAGGAACCTTGGCCTGGCTGAATTGTGGGGCCTGGTTTCAGCCGCCTCAGTAAAAGGTGTGGGTCTGGAAGTCACCCAGCGCTACCAGATGGAAGTGAAGCCTGTGAAAGGCGTGTGGGAGGCCCTTTTCTTGCAGCTGTGGGAGAAGCTTGGATTTCATAGCCAAACACATGTTTTTCTACACACAGAAATGTTTGTGCACTATAGCTAAAGGGAGCTGTCCTCCACCCTTGTCTTTATTTTTCCCTCCCTGTGGCAGAAGGGCTGTCCATTTGTGTGTGTGTTTGCCTCTGTGGTTGGTGAGAATACATGGGGTAGCCTTTGGGGTTCCCAGCTCAAGGAGACACCTAGTGCTAAAGGGTGAACTTGGGAGGATGTGGGAACGGCCAGCAGACCCGGAGCTGAAGGGCTCTGCACTGAAAGTGCTCGTAATCAGTTTCTCAAGAGAGTTCCCGTAACTGGTCTCTGCAAAGCACGTTCAGGTGCAAAGGAGGTGGGAATCATCTGGCCCTGCTCTACAGACGATGGTGTAGAGATGTGGGCTGGATGATTTTCCTGAAAAGTGCTTCCTTGTTGTGTTGACGTTGCTCCTAGCACCTCACAACGGTGCTTTTGTTCCTCAGGTTTATTCTTTCTCTGGCCTCATGTAAGAAGTGTCTTGTCATCGATGACCAGCTCAACATCCTGCCCATCTCCTCCCACGCCGCCAGCATTGAGGCCCTGCCTCCCCAGACCCCGGTGAGTTGCCGGGGTCCGGGAATCTGGGAGAGGCTGTGTTTCCTGGGCTGACCCTCCAATGGCAGTGGTGAACCTTCTCCTCCTCCTCTCTGGTAGGATGAGAGTCTCGGTCCCTCTGATCTGGAGCTGAAGGAGCTGAAGGAGAGCTTGCAGGACACCCAGCCTGTGGGCGTGTTGGTGGACTGCTGCAAGACCCTCGACCAGGTGAGTGTGCGTTCGGAACACCCCCATCCCTGTCTGAACCACGCAGAGGGAAAAGACAGCGAGCAGAGAACAACAGAAGCCGAGTTAGGATGAGGCTTGGCTCCTCTGTGGGGCAGGGGCCTTTTCTGCTGCTCACACGTGGGCACGTAGCAACAGCATAGCATAGCAGTGTGGATTACCTCCCCCTTCCCCCATGTTAACAGTCCAGGGAGCTGGGGTCAGGGGGAGATGGGTTACGTTTAAAGAGGAACCCCTCCAGCACAGGCTGGTGGGCCTGTGCCCTTTCGTTCTCACTGAGTTTTGATGACATAAAGTTTTTGCTTATGCCTTGTTCTCGAGTGAGGAGAGCTGGAGGCCCCTAGTGTTCACCCCCGCTCCAGTGTGAGTGCTGAGGAGGGCCCTGCGATGAGGGTGCCCAGTCCACCTGGTCTCCAGGTGCAGATAGCAGGCTGGGAGGGAGCTTCCAGGGTACACTTCTGTGCTCCTGGAAGTGGCAGGGCTGGTAAACTTGGCTTCTCCGGTGGTTCTTGGATGGTGATGGGAACTGAATAGACATGGCCCAGAGACCTGCAAGCTGCCAGGTGTGTTCAGAGTTCTGATCCAGCCTCAGCAGACAAGCAGTGCAGCCCTGACGGCAATGAGCTTTCTTCCCTCATGATGGAAAACAACTGCAGTGACGCCACCCACTCGGGGCTGAATCCCAACAGGCTGGTTTCCCTTTTCTTTCTGGAAATAGAATCACCAGCTACGCAGCGCTCTCTGCGGCCCAGGCTGCAGGCTCCAGCCTGCTTTTCAACTACTTCCTGGTACCTTCTTTATCATCAGGGGGAGTGAGAGAGAGGATGGGGAAAGGGCAGAAGTGACCACAACTGGCAGCACCCCTCCCTTCTCCTGGCACCCCCTGCCCCCCGCGCTGCTCTTCATGTCTCCCCATGTACACCTTCTACTTTCACGACTGAGCAGTGACACTGAGGCCCAGGCGGGAGGGACAGGAGGGCTTGAGGAAGCTCAGGTCTCTCCAGATGGCAACACTCGGGGGGATCCAGGTCCTACTCGCCCTAACCTGGCCTTTGCTGAGCCCTGTGTCGTACCCTTTTCTTGTTTGCCCTAGAGTAGAGAAGTGAAGTGAAGCACTTTGATAAAATGTACGTGGAAAAATCCATGAACATAATAAAAGGGTATGAAATTTGGACTAAAAATGTACTCTAAAATAATATTCTAAAATAAATGAAAAACCAGTCCAAAAAAGCAGAGTGATTTACAAACAAAATAGCCAGTAATTATATTGATTTGAAAAAGTTACCTGCTTCTCTCATAACTGAAGTGGCACAAATTGAAACAATGATCCTACGTTCCCATTTAAGACTTACAAGTTTAGCAGTACCCAGTGTTGGCAAGTGTGGGAAAAGAGCACATTAGCCAAGATGGTGGTTGTCAGACCCTCTTCGCCCCACATTTTGTAAATACATGGTTATGTAACAGCTGAGCTCACTCATAGCACTGCACGTGCGCATTGGCCACAGGCCACTTTTGCTCGGTAAACATACATAAGCTTGGAGAAGGCAATGGCAACCCACTCCAGTACTCTTGCCTGGAAAATCCCATGGATGGAGGAGGCTGGTAGGCTGCAGTCCATGGGGTCACTAAGAGTCAGACAGTGAGCGACTTCACTTTCACTTTTACTTTCATGCATTGGAGAAGGACATAGCAACCCACTCCAGTGTTCTTGCCTGGAGAATCCCAGGGACAGGGGAGCCTGGTGGGCTGCCATCTATGGGGTTGCGCAGAGTTGGACACGACTGAAGTGACTTAGCAGCAGCAGCAGCATATATAAGCTCACCTGAAAAGCCTTTGCCACTCCGTTGCATCTGCATTATGGCTGTCTTACGGCTGTGTCCACTGGGTCGACCATGAGAGGAGAGAGCAGCGTGTCTGCTGCTACGGCCGCTGTGCCAGTCAGACGAGAATAGACATTTCTGCAGTTCCTATGGCTCCTTGAGTTTTCTTCCAGCTTCCCTGCTCACGCCTTGCCTACTGCAGGTTCAGCAAACAGTGTGCACAGTGAGACAGGTGGCGTAGTTGGCAGGATTAGACAGCAAGACAGCAAGGCTGCAGAGAAGAATGCCTTTCATACATGGGTGGGGGTTCCATACCTGGCATGACACCCATTTTAATGCACATGTACTCTAACTCAGCAGTTCTTCTCCTGGAAATTTATCCTAGAGATAATGCCCACCGCCGTATCTGTAAATATGGCAGGACACAGTGGTGGCTTTGACCAGAATGGTGGAGGAAGAGGATAGTGAGGAATGTGGGATTTTTATGTTTTGAAGGACAGGATTTGCTGAAGAATCGGGTATGAGGAGAAAATGGAGGCAACTTCTGGCCTGAACAGTTGGACACTAGCTGAGCTGGGGAAGATGGTAGGCGGGGGAGGACTGGGGGGACCTTAGGTGTTGAATGTGAGACGGGTAGTAGACGCAGAGGGGGCAGTTGTGTGTGGGGAAGGGTCTGGTGTGGGGAGAGGTCTGGACGGAGACGTGACCTTGGGGCTTACCAACATCTGGTTGGTGTTTAAAGCCTGGAGACTGAGAGGAGATGATCAAGGGAGTAAGAGTCTAGGTGCTGGTCGATGAGAACGGCCCCCTGTGCCCTGCTCTCCCCAGCTCCAGTTTAGCCTCAGCATCAGCCTGACTTTGTGGGGATGGTAGTAAGTGGCTGGAGATAGGCCTTTCTCACAGCTCACCCAATATGTTTCTCTTTCCATAGGCTAAAGCTGTCTTGAAATTCATTGAGGGGATCTCGGAAAAGACCCTGAGGAGTACTGTTGCGCTCACGGCTGCCCGAGGAAGGGGGAAGTCTGCAGCCCTGGGACTGGCTATTGCTGGGGCGGTGGCTTTCGGGTAAGGGGGATCCCCGTCTTCAGGCACCCTGAGCTCTGTGGGAGCCATGTGCAGGATGAGGGGTCAGGGAGGCTGCTCCTGGTCTGAGCGAGCTTCTGAGTGATTTCTCTAGATCTTGAGCACCTGTCTAGAGAGAGCAGGTTTCCCTGGCGGCTCAGTGGTAACGAATCCGCCTGCCAGTGCGGGGAGATGCGGGTTCAATCCCTGGGTTGGGGAGAGCCCCTGGAGAAGGAAATGGCAACCCACTCCAGTGTTCTTGCCTGGGAAATCCCAGAGGAGCCTGGTGGGCTATAGTCCATGGGGTCACAAAAGAGTTGGACATGACTTAGTGACTTGTTCAGTTCTTGTTCACTCACTAAGTTGTGTCCAACTCTCTGCGACCCCATGGACTGCAGCATGCCAGGCTTCCCTGTCCTTCACAACCTTCCAGAGTTTGCTCACACTCATATCCATTGAGTCAATGATGCCATCCAACCATCTCATCCTCTGTCGCCACCCCCTTCTCCTCCTGCCCTCAATGTTTCCCTCAGTCTTTCCCAGCTTCAACTTAGTGACTAAACAGCAACAGCTAGAAAGAACAATGCTGTTATCCCCAGATCCCAAAGGTACACACATATGTGTCCTGGCACACAGATACCAGGGCCTTTGTGATCACTATTTAGAGTTGAACAAACACACAAGAGTCAAGAAATGGGGGTAAGAAACTTTAAAACTCTCAGGAGATGAGCCTATGTATAACTAGCTTTGCTGACCGAGAAAAATACAGGTTTGTCATTTTAAATGATTTTGATCAATAGAAAATCTTGTTTGCATTGAGGCGCTGCCTTTGAGTGCCATTCTTTTGTCCTGGGCAGAAGATTTATGCAGCTGCCAGGAGAGCATGTGCTTACAGCTTCGCAGATACAAATAATGGACTGTAGGATTTACCATGTCCTGTATGCATGATCTTCCTTGGTTCTCCTCAGAGCAATGTTAGCGTTTCATAGGTGGATAAACCCAGGCTCAGGGAGTCTCAGTGACCCACCCAAGTTCCCCCAGGTCAGTGCTGGCTGTGCTGGGACTGAACTCAGCTCCTGACTTTGCTACTGTGGCTGCTCTAGTGGTACCACTTGGCCCTCTGCCTTTAGCATCCTTTACACTGAGCAAGGATCCCTCAGAGGCTCACTGTGACCTTCGCCTGCTCACCATGGAGCACTTTGGTTTCATGATTTGAAAACCTCTCAGCATAGCTAGTGATGAGAGTGAAACCCTCTCTGGGCCAGGGGTGCAGGACTGGGGAGCCGTGTGCCCTCTCTGACACTGAGGAAGTGGTCCCCAGAGCACCCTCTTATTGTTTAATCACTAAGTTGTGTCTGACTCACTAAGTTGTATGCGACCTCATGGACTGCAGCATACCAGGCTCTGTCCTCCCGTGTCTCCTGGAGTTTGCTCAAATTCATGTCCACTGAGTCGGTGATTCTCTGTAACCATCTCATCCTCTTTTCCTTTTCATCCTCACCCCCTTTTCCTTTCGCCTTCAATCTTTCACAACATTAGGGTCTTTTCCAGTGAGTCGGCTCTTCACATCAGGTGGCCAAAATATTGGAGCTTCAGCATCAGTCCTTCTCATGCATATTCGGGGTTGAGTTCCTTTAGGACTGACAGGTGGGATCTCCTTGCAGTCCAGGGGACTCTCAGGAGTCTTTTCCAGCACCACAGTTTGAAAGCATTTTGCCCTCAGCAGCGTGCTTTCATGTATGCTGGTAGCTAATTGCTGGGACATGCTCCCTTCAAATTGGTAACTTGTTTTCATTAGTTTGGGAGCAAAAATACCCTCAGGTCTGGAGTTGTTTTACTTTTCCTGCTCAAAACATGTGTCCTGACTTTTTTATCCCCCTGCCACTGTCTCTTGTTTTCACCTGTGTAACAGGGGCAAAGAAAAATATTTTCTTTTTTAAAATTCTCTTAACATTTCTTCAATTTCCTAATTACTTAAAAACAAAAAAATCTTCCTTTTGTTCAACAGGTACTCCAATATCTTTGTTACCTCCCCGAGCCCGGATAACCTCCACACTCTGTTTGAATTTGTGTTTAAAGGATTTGATGCTCTGCAGTATCAGGTAGGAAGTTAGGATAAGAGCTTATTTTGATTCCATGCTGAGTATAAATCCAGGTGAAGTCTGTAGAATGCAAACTTTCTTCATATTTCGTTTTGAAAGCTTGTTTCTGACGTTTGGTATTGGTTTGGCTCTTTCCCCGTCAGGAGCATCTGGATTATGAGATCATTCAGTCTCTCAATCCTGAATTTAACAAAGCAGTGATTAGAGTGAATGTGTTCCGGGAACACAGGCAGACCATTCAGGTGAGGCTTGTTCTAAATCCTGCCGTGGGACCAGTGTCCTGCTGAGTATAAATGTTCTAAGATATCTCCTTTTAAAGTTGCTTTATGTGATGTGTAATTATGTATCTTTTAGACAGTTGTTGTTGCCTTATGGTAAACCTGTTCCATATTTTCAGCCTCTTCTAAAGAAAAACATTCAAGCAAACTAATAAATGTATGTAAGCCAGATCAAAAAGTTGTAGCTTTGTCCCTTGAAAACTGAGTATGCTAATCAACTAAGAGAAATGGAATCATTTTCTCTGACATCATTTCTAATTCTGCTTAGTTATAGCAGGTTTTGAAATGATGCATCTATAGCTAGAACAATAACCTTACCATTTAAAAGAAGAAAAGGTCTTTGTGAGATGTACTTTGAATCTTTGTGGTTTAGTCAGTGGCCTACTTTCCTTTTTAAACAGTGTTTCCCCGAAAGCTCTATAAATCTCCTGTGCTTGTAAGCCTGAATGGTCTGTACTTGTCCAAAGGCTACAATTTTGTTAAATCATGACAGGCTGGCAGAAGGGATGGGGCCCCATGGGCTCCTAATGGAGTAGGTCTATTGAGCATTTTTTGGAGCTGGGCTGGGGTGGGAAGTGGGCCAGGTAGACGTGGCAGGTTACACCCTTGACCTTTGTGTATATGTCTGTCAGAGAGGTATACCTTTCATCGAAGATCTAGGCTACAAATAATGTTTAAGTGCTCATGCCTTTTCCCTCAAGGACTGTGATTTCTTTTCTTGCTGAGTCTCTAGACTGTTCTTTCTGAAATTTCTTCCTACTTTGGTCTGGTTCTCTCAGCTTCAAGGAGGAAAGGCCAGTGTTGGGATAGGGGTGAGGGGCAGGCTGCAGGCAGTGAGAATACAGAGATCTGTTGAAACTTAAGAGGAATACACAAACCAAAGAAGGGAAGCCTTTCCCTGAAATGCATGGCTCAGCCCTCGCCGCTCCTGGGGTTTGTCTTCAGAGACCCTCTCGTATTACCAGAGTCGTTTTGTCTCCAGGCTGGAGCTGAAGTGCAGAAGAGGTGACCTGACTTTATGAGGCTACATTTATGTCCCTTTGAGGCCTCTTCTTGTTGGAAATTGAGATATAGAAGAATATTAGGTTTAAAGTCAGCTCCGCCTCTCTGGGGTCTGCTGCTTTTATGAGGTGCTTGTTTAGTTCTTCTCTGTAAAAATCCAAGACATGGGGCCCCATTGAGGGCATCTATCCTACTGTTGGAAATGAGTGGGGTCTCTGCCTCTTTGATCCTTCAACTTGCAAAACAGTTACAAAATCTTATTTGTAATGAAATACTTCAAACTACAGAAAAGCAGAGACCAATGTAACATAATACTGAGGTGCCCAGCACTTAAGCTTAAGAAATGCTGGCATTTTGCTGCTTGCTGTGTTTGTTTCATATCTTAAAAGCCATTTATATTTTTGTTTTAAAGATCTAAAACCTCAGTGTGGAAGTCCCTCTTGTACCCTTCCCCATCTGTTCCCTTCTGTCGCTTCCCTTAGATAACTCTGCTCTGAGGTTGTATATCTCCTTCCAATTCATGTGTTTATATTTCCCTACATAATTATGTATCCATAAATGGTAGCATACTGTACTTGTCCTTTTTCAGCTTGCCTTTTTTCACTCAACATTTGTTTTTGGGTTTGTCCATACTGAAACTTGAGATCTGATTGATTCATTTTTAAGCACTATGTGAGTACATTACAGTTTATATGTGTCTAGAATTGGAATTGTTGGGTTTTGGAATATGCATCGATTTCCATCTTTCTCAGATTTTGCCAAATTCTTTCAAGTGTTTGTGCAGAATTACCTTCCCTCCACCACTTTCTTGAGTCCTTGTTTCCCCATGTCCTCACAAACATTGGTATTTTACTGCTAATTAAGTTTTGCCCACATGCATAGGAAGTGGGATCTCCTTGTTGTCTTCAGCATTGTGCTAATTACTAGTGAGGTTCAACACTGTTGTTTATGTTAATTGACTATTCAGGTTTCCTCTCCTGTAAAATACCTCTTCATGGTCTTTTGCAAACTTGAAAAAAGCAGGAACCACTAAAGGAACTAAGAGGTTGTTTATACGCATAAGGGAGCCAAGTTCGTGGCGAGTTTGTGACAAGCTAATAATACAAATGTGTGAGCATTAAGAAGACCATGAGTCTTAGAAGCATCCCCACCAGTGCAGGGAGACTTGGGCTTTATATTGACGGTGTCAAAGCAGGACACACAGGACACAGCGTTTTGGAGATGCTTGGGAAACCTGAAGTCTTCCACTTCAGCCATTGCTGGGGCCAAGCTTGCCTCTGGTCCACTGGCCAGAGTGAGGCTGGGGGAGGCATGAGAAAGAGGGGAGAGAAAGGAAACGGAGGCATCACCTGTCACTTGCCAGGTCCCAGGCAGAGCATTTGTGCAGATTTACTTAATTTTACCTAATTTACCTAATTTTTTTCTCAAACGGCCATCAGTATTTCCTCCATTTTCTGGAGAGGAATCTGAGACTCTGAGAGGAAGGGCTACAGAGTCAGTGGTTGAACTGTTAGGACCCAGGCATCTGACTCTAAGCTGTCCCTGCTTTGTCCTACCAGGGAAGGAAGAATGAGAGAAAGAAGACAGAGGAGGGGGGAGAGGGGAAAGAGAAGGCCTTTATGGTGACTCACCAGTGATTGCAGCCATGGTATTAGGTGGCCAAGCTAACAATGTACATTTTTCCTTCCCACAGTACATACATCCTGCAGATGCTGTGAAACTGGGCCAGGCTGAGCTCGTTGTGATTGACGAAGCTGCTGCCATCCCCCTTCCCCTGGTGAAGAGTCTTCTGGGCCCCTACCTTGTTTTCATGGCGTCCACCATCAATGGGTGAGCACCTGGGGCAGGGGCCGTTGCTCACTTTACAAGTTGTTGCCAGTTAGGTAGGATTTAGTGAACGTGACCTGGGCCTGCATGGATAGGGCTGACTCCTAAAGTTTGAGTCTTTGGGCCCGCTTCACTCTCTCATTGGCCGTCTCCTTTACCCTTTCATGGTAAACTACAGCTCCCTCTGGTGTGAGCTATAGCCCACCAGAACAGGCAACACCAGACTGAGGAATTTCATTACCCAGTTGATGAACGTCTCCTGTCTAGGTCTGACCAGGTTATAGAGAGCACATGGATGGCAATACCAGTGTCTTGGGCTTCCCAGGTGCCGCTAGTGGTAAAGAACCTGCCTGCCGGTGCAGGAGACATAAGAGACTTAGGTTTGATCCCTGCACTGGGAAGATTCCCTGGAGGAGGGCGTGGCAACCCACTCTAGTATTCTTGCCTGGAGAATCCCATGGACAGAGGAGCCTGGTGGGCTGCAGTCCATAGGGGCACAAAGAGTCGGACATGACCAAAGCAATTTAGCACACACACGCACCAATGTCTCATCCCCTAGAATTATGTGAAAACGTAGTGTTAAAGTAACTGTGTCATTGTCATAAGAAAGCAGACTCGAGAGCTTTTTTAAAATTTTGAAATATTTGGTTGTTTGCTATGGAAAAGTGAGAAAGGGAAGGTAAGCAAAAAGAAATCCGGTGATCTGACTCTCTAGAGATAACTTGTTAGAATTTTGGTGTACATTTATTTTACTTTTTCATTTTGAATAAGAACGTAAACATAGTTACCATAATGTTTTGCATTTGCTTTTTCATGTAAAAATATACTGGGAATTCCTTGGTGGTTCAGTGGTTAGGAATCTGAACTTCCTCTGCTGGTGGCCTGGGTTTGATCCCTGGTCAAGAAGCCAAGATCCCACAAACTACACAGTGTGGCCAGAAAAAAAAAAAAGAATATACTGTGAGATCTTGCCAGGTCAGTGTGTACTTGCCTTCATTATTGATTTCTACATGGAAGTCACATTTTGAAGAAATAATTCTATATTTTAGATTTATTATTTGACTGCTTTCCTTACACTGAAAATAGTTAAATAAGATGTATTTTACTTTTTCTGGTAACAACTTTATTGAGATATTATTCACACACTATACAGTTTACTCATTTAAAGTGTATAATTCAATGATTTTTAGTATATTCATAGAGTTGTGCAGCCATAGTGACAATTTAGAACATTTTCATTTTCCCGGAAAGAAACCCTATGCCCTTTAATTATCGTCCTTCCTTTTCCTCAGTTCTAGGTAATCACTAGTCAGCTTTATATATCTATGGATTTGCCTAGTCTGAACTCTTGATAGAAGGTGGAACCTTTGAATATGTGGTCTTTTGTGATTGGCTTCTTTCACTAACCATGATGTTTGCAAGGTTCTTCCATGTAGCTTATATCAGTACTTCATTCCTTTTCATGGCCAAATAATATTCCTGTGCATGTTTATGCACATCTTGTTTTTCCATTTGTCTGTTGATGATCATTTGAGTTGTTTCTCTTTTGGCTAGTACAATACTGCTGTGAACATTCACGAGCAGGTTTTTGTGTAGACACCTTTTCTGCTCTCGAGGGTATACCTAGAAGTTAAATTAGAAGTTAAATTACCATTAGTTAAATGGTAACTTTCTAACTGAAGAACTGCCAGATTGTTTTCCAAAGCGACAATACCATTTTACATTCCCACCAGTAGTGTGTAAGGGTTCCATATCTTTGCTAGCATTTATATGTCCTTTTTGACTATAGCCATATCCTAGTGAGCATGAAATGATGTCTCATGTGATCTTCATTTGCATGTCCCTTTCAGTTGACTGATGTGGAGCATCCTATCATGTGCTTTTTGGCCATAGTGTATTTTCTTTGGAGAAGTATCTATTCAGGTACTCTCTTCATTTTTCTAATTGAAAATTACAAAAATTTTCCAGTTTATGTCCTCTTTCAAGGGAAAGTAGTCATGAAAAAAATTACTTAGATGGTGGATTTGTTTAATCTTGATTTTTCCAAACTGGAAATGCTCTCTGTTCATTTTTCAAGCATACAACTTCTTATAGCAGCTCTCATTAATCGACTGTTCATCTTTGTTCCATTTCCATTATACTAAAGGCTTTGTTCATGTCATCTTTTTGGTCTTTGTTTTTTAGTTCGTAGTACAGCCTTGTGAGCTGTGCACACTAATCCCTTTTTGAGGAGGAGGCTAAAAGAGGTTGAGTTCCTGGCCCAGAGGTACTAAACAGACATGCCAGGACTTGAGCCCAGGCCTGGATGGCTGAGTTGAGCCACCATGCAGCCCAGCTTCCTTTGGGTGTTCACATGCACTGCTGGCAGTTCAGAGGTGAAGGGCTGTTCTCAGCAAGCAGGAGCCTGGGGTTTCATCAGGATGAGGAAATTAGTTCTCTGTCCCCTCCTGGAGAGGTGATTTGGCACCTTGAGCCCAACTGCCGTTGCTTTTTCTCCTAGCTACGAGGGCACTGGCCGGTCCCTGTCCCTCAAGCTAATTCAGCAGCTCCGTCAACAGAGTGCCCAGAGCCAGGTCAGCACCACTGCTGAGAACAAGACCACGGCGACGGCCAGGCTGGCATCAGGTACCCCCAGGGCTCTGGATGGGCCTGCAGTGCACAGCAAGGCACTTCACACTCTTACTGGATCCTTCCCCACGTGACATTATGGGTGATAGCAGACCTTCTGACCATCAGGCAGAGAGGCTGAGTCTCCAAGAGATGAAGTTGCTTTTTTCTGAGGAACAGCAAACCAGTGACCAGACCTCAGGCTGACCTGGGCCTTCTGGTGACTGGATTCCTGTTTGTCACCATCTCGAGGCATTGGTTGCATTGACGTAGTGAGACCTTTGGGGATTGGTGTCCAGGCAAGTTGAACATCCACCGTAACAATTTAAAACCACTCAGTTTAAATTCTTAAGCCATATTTATGTGGGTACCACGTGACAGAGATAAAGTAGAACATTTGCCTTGATCTCCTGGACAAAACGTATTTAGTCTTGTGTGTGTTCTGACAGTGCGAACCCTGCATGAGGTTTCCCTGCAGGAGTCAATCCGATACGCCCCTGGGGACGCCGTGGAGAAGTGGCTGAACGACCTGCTATGCCTGGATTGCCTCAACATCACCCGGATTGTCTCTGGCTGCCCCTTGCCTGAAGCCTGTGAGCTGTATCCTCCTGGGTTCCATTCATTCTGTGAAAGGGAGAGGGGATGATGGGAGAGTTAAACCTATGGTTCTGGCCCTTTGCTTCATGGGCTGCTGCTCTGGGAAGAGGAGAAGGTGGAATGTTCTCGATTTTCTTTCTCTTCCTTCCCTAATATGTTTCTGCTTAGAAGCAGGGCCTCCTCTTCCCAGGCTGAGGGAACCCACGTATCTAGGTTGTCCTTGGAAGTAGTTAGCATGTCTTGTTCAGGGCTCTCTTTGATTTGTTTTGGTTGCTTAACCTCAAATCCAGCTACTATGTTAATAGAGATACCCTCTTTTGCTACCACAAGGCCTCCGAGGTTTTCCTCCAACGGCTTATGGCTCTCTACGTGGCTTCTCATTACAAGGTAACTGAAAACAGCCCTCAAGTGGACTTCAGCAGTGAATTCCGGCTCTTGGCAGTGCCTTTTTACTTGACTTTTTGCATCTTTTGTCACCCAGTGGCTCAGGTGACCATTCCACTGGGACTAGAATGTCCTGATGTTGGCAGGGGCCAGGGGTCCTACTTCAGGGTTGCATTTCCCATTGTTGTTCAGGCTTGTCTTGGGCTCCAGCTTTGTATATGGAGTGTGGGATTTCTGCATGTAGCTCCATGCATGTAGCTGGAGGGGGTGTTAAGTTTCACCCATTTTAAAAGGGGTACTTATATTTCTTGCCAGTTGGCTGAATGGATGGGCTGAGATGACATAGCACTTGTAATCTGGGGGGTGCTCTGTGACCTGAGACCAGCTTTACACCCCTGGCTATTTTTAGGGATTAGTGAATGAGAATTTAAAATATTTGGAAGTCTTAAAAACTAAAAAGAACATTGGAAAGGACACTTTGTATGTGTCTAGGTAGCATTTTTATGAATAATAGCCTTTAATAGAAGGCTGAAGGGTTGTATTAGAAGCCCTGAGAGGTTTTCCTAAAATAGCAGCCTCTTATCAGGAGGAACTTCACTTCCCAGCTGTGAGGTACCTAGTGCTAACTAAGCAGTTCTCTGTCCCCGCTCTGCAGCCTCAGCGCTCAGGGTGAGGTGACAGCGAACATAGGAGGCTCGTCCCACTGAAGTCCTTATGGAGAGTGTCAGGCTGGCCAGCCGAGATGCTGGCATGAGCTTTCCTGGGTTTCAGCACTTCACTTGGCTTTGGGGAAGGCAGTTCTCTGGTCATGATTGTGGAGTAGCCGCTCGAGGAAGGATGGGATGAGGAGTGGTCCTCACTGACCGTGTTTGTGCTCCACAGAACTCTCCCAACGACCTCCAGATGCTTTCTGATGCCCCTGCTCACCATCTCTTCTGCCTCCTGCCTCCTGTGCCCCCCACCCAGAATGCCCTTCCAGAAGTGCTTGCTGTCATCCAGGTACAGTAGCTGAGGTGTCCTTGTGGCGTCGATTTGGGAACCGCTTAGGCAGTCAAGAATTAGTGGCTCAGTAACGGGAGTGCGGAGCAGAAGCTGTTGATTCTTGGGCTGGAGCCAAGTGACTGGGTGTATCCAGGTAGGCAGTGAGGGCGCAGAAGAAACCACCACCCTGACACACACCCAAAGCCCCACTGTTCATGGATGGCTGAAAGGCAGAATTGGCTTTGCTCCTGAAACAGAACTTTGTTTTCTTCTTTATTTCAAAAGCAATCCATGGTACTTGTAAAATTAAAAGGCAGATTGAAAACATGTTTTTAGTGCCTGGCATGTATTTATGCATTTCTTTATTGTTTTTCTTTTTCACAAACATGGGATCATAGTATTTGGCAATCTTTTTTTTCAATTGTATTTCATTACATGCACATACCGTGTTTAACTGTGTTTACACATGAGTCATTGTGAATTTGCACAGTTCTGTACAGAGCCATGTGACCTTCCCGGAGTCTTAATCGATGAGCTCACATGTACACCTTGTGTGGAGACCCTCATCTAGTGTGGTTTTGCTTTCTGGGCCAGGAGGATGTCAGTATTCTGCCTCCTTAGGTGACAGTGTCAGGATGCCCGCGGGACATAGTAATGAAACTTTCGTTGGAAACAGATGAGTTGGTTACAGGGTTAAGTGTGAGCAGGAGTGGAAACAGGCAGCCTGGTCAGAGCAAGGGCAGAGCGCTGGTGAGGTTCTGTGGGTGGGCAGTCTACCTGGAGCCCACCTCTCTGCACCATCCTGCTTTCCCCGCAGGTGTGCCTCGAGGGGGAGATTTCTCGCCAGTCCATCTTGAACAGCCTGTCTCGGGGCAAGAAGGCTTCAGGTGACCTGATTCCATGGACAGTGTCAGAACAGGTGAGGTGCTTTCCCTGGTGTGTCTCGGGGGGTAAGCTGGCGATGTTGGAGGCTGTCTTTTGTTGTTAAGTTACTGGCTTGTGCCTCCCTCACAGTTCCAAGACCCAGACTTCGGCAGTCTCTCAGGTGGAAGGGTGGTTCGCATTGCTGTTCACCCGGATTATCAAGGGGTAATGTGTCCTCATGCCTTCAAACCTGGCATGCTGTTGTTAGTTGCAGGCATGTTGCTGGTCACTCATTAGGCCACGTGTACTTGGTTGTTTAAATAGGAAGCTGGTCAAGGAGTAGCAGACCCAGGTGCTGTGGGCAGTTTGCCCGGGGCTGGGTGGGCAGGCAGGGTGGTTGTATACAGTTGCTCTTCCTTTTGTGAGGACAGGGCTGGTGAACCAGATCTACTTACTGTCATGACTGCCTGTCTTGGAAGTCTCCACTCAGGAGTTAGCTGGAGAGTCATCAGTTTGGAGCTGGCTGAGCCGTGAACCAGAAAGCGTGGCCGGCCGGCCTACCACTCGGGTGGCAGATGGATGGGCTAGATGGTGCAAGAGCGAGGGTCTTGCTACACGAGGTCTTGAGGGTCTCTGCTTTGACCTTGTTGGGGGGTTTCACTGGTTCTGTTTCCCAAGGGCAGTGTGAGCCAGAGTGAGGCTTTCTAGAAGCGGCACAGGGGTGCAGAAGTGCTTAGACGCTGGGGACGTCTCTGCTCCCCGCGCCCGTTTCCCTCGTGTGCTCACAGATGGGCTACGGCAGCCGGGCCCTGCAGCTGCTGCAGGTGTACTATGAGGGCGGCTTCCCTTGTCTTGAGGAGAAAGTCCTGGAGACGTCGCGGGAGATTCACACCGTCAGCAGTGAGGTAAGCGTCTTCTGGCTGGGCTACCGGTTTCTGGAGGAGACCAGGTTTTTCTCTGGGTCTTTGGGATCATCCTCAAGAGTGGTCTCGTGGCCTGGGCTACTCTGGGCAGCTGAGCTCTCTCTGGTTTTGGAGACGCTTCTCTCCCTCCAGCTAACACTTAAACTGAGGCCCTCGGATCAGCATCATCAGCCTCACCTGGAGACGTGTTAAGTCTGTCAGTCCCTGAATCGAGGCTCTGGGGTAGGACCCAGTAATCTGGGTCTTAACGAGCTCCCAGGTGATGCTGATGTACCTTTGAGCTTAAAGCCCCAGCTCTGCAGTCTCCTCCCCTCATTACTGAACCCGGACCCAGGAAGGCTCTGTCTTTCTGGATATAACACTAGGAACCGGGACGACTTTTCACATGGGTTCATTTGATATTTTTTCACAGTGTGCCTGTTCAGGAGGCGGGGAGGGCTTATGTTTAAGGTCAGGCTCAGAGGTTTGTCACTTCCCAAGACACTGGAGCCATCCGGTGGCAGACCTGCATCTTCAGCTTATCTTTAGAACCTTGCCTCTGTCTCTTTGTACATGTGTTCAGTGTTTCTAAACATGTGGCTATTTCCTGAATTCTGGGTTCTGAGGAGTGTGATTCCAGGAATGATCACTGGGCTTAGCAGTGTGTTTTCATTTTAAAAACCATGGGAACAAACCTAGAAACTTGCCCTAGTTTTCGCTGTGTTCGTCCAGAGCTTGGCGTGGCTGGGGTGCTTGGGAATGTTGCTAACCTTCCTCTTCCTCTGCTGGGTGGACATGCCCTCCCCTGGCGTCCTCCAGGCCGTCAGCTTGCTGGAAGAAGTCGTCACTCCCCGGAAGGACCTGCCTCCCTTACTTCTCAAGCTGAACGAGAGGCCTGCTGAGCGCCTGGACTACCTGGGGGTGTCCTACGGCCTGACCCCCAGGCTCCTCAAGTAAGGGTCCGCTGGGCCCTGGTGCCCCGAGGCCCCGCGCTCTGCGGGCCGCGTCTGTCTTGGGGTGACAGCCATCTGAGACTCCCTGTGGCCCTTCCCAGCGTGATTGTCAGCCGCTCCTCGAAGGCACACGCGGGGACCTGCTCTCCGTGTCTTTGCAGGTTCTGGAAACGAGCTGGTTTTGTTCCTGTTTATCTGCGACAGACCCCGGTGAGTGAGGCGTGTGGCAGAGGAGGGGCTGGTGACGGTGTGTCCTTGCAGAGCCGGCTCCACTCTGAGCAGGCGTCCCTGTGCTGCCGGGAGGTTTGCTCTGATGGCCCCCAGGGCAGCCGGCCTCACTGAGACGCCACGTGGTCACACTCATCCCCCGACCCCACCGGCCCCCAGGCAGTCTAGCGGGTTTGTGCTTGATTGAGATGGCAGAGGTGCACTTGGACTTGTTCCCCTGGTTCTGGAATCCTGTCACTGGGGGCCTTCTCGAATTTTTACTTTTTAAAAAATAGGAAGGAAAGTGGTTTCAGCAGTGCTTGCGGTAAGTTGGTATCTGAAGGAGGAATGTGATTGTGTGGTCAGCAGAGCTGTATAGAGTAAAGTGGAAGGTGAGAGAGCTAGTGAGTCAGGTCATCAGAAAAAATACTCAGCACCTGCAGTGAATCAGGCAGTGAGTAAGATAAGGAAAGCTTGTTTTCTAATGAGTAGAAATAGGCAGCAAAAAGTGAGCAAACAAGAAATGCTTAGATAGTGATGGTGTGATGAGTGGTCAGGCTTCTAGGGGTGATGTTTCAAACTGCAGCCTGAACGGTCAGAGTGGACTGGCCATGTGATGGTCCTGCCCGCAGAAAAGAGCGTTTCCAAGCAGAGGGCACAGCAAATGTGAGGACCTGAGGTGGAAAGGACGTCGGTGATTTGAAGGAGACAAAAGGCTGGTGTGGCTGGAGGACCCTTGAAAGGGTGCTGGTTCGTGGTAGGGCAGCTCGCTGCTCCAGTGGAGGGAGGGGTTAGTGGGAAGGTTCTGGGGCTGCCGTGTGGACAGTGGACCACAGTCGAGGCGGGGAGATAAGCGGATGAGAAGGGGTGGCATGACTTGGGGGGACGTAGTGAGGGGAGAGAAGGGGCCGGATGCCAGGGGTGTTCGGAAGGTGAACTGAGTTGAAGGGTAGAGATGTGGAGGATGAGTGAACAGAAGGCTTGAGGGTAGTTCTTTGATTTTTGGCTTGAGAGACTGGGTGTTAGGGGTGCTGTTCACTGAGAATAAGACTCAGTGGGGAGGACCAGGTTTGGAGGTGGAAGTGGGAACTGTTTTGGGGTCTAATAAGACCTCCAAGTGGAAGTAGGGAGTAGGCAGTTGACCACAGGAATCTGGGATTTGAAGAAGAGGCTGGGCCTGGAGACAGATTTAAGAGTCATCAGCTTTCTCTTAATAGAATATATTCCTGGGGTAAAGGATTTTGGAGCGGGTCACTGTCTGTCTTCTTCACAGCTGTAACCCCAGCACTTAATAACATCTGCTGTGTATAGCATGTGTTCAGTAAATACTTTTGTTCAGTGAATAAGTTTTTAAAGCTGTTGAAAGTAGGGGCTGGGAATAAAGGTGAGTCCTTGGATGTTCCAGCATTTAGAGGAATGAGTCAGAAAATACAGCAAGGTGGGGGGCTGAGGAGGAATAGCTGTGATCTGTAGGAGAAGGGCAGGGTCTGTGGTTTAAAGAAGGGGAGTCGTTGCCTTCAAGAGAATGAATAAGTTGAGGACAGTTGACTTATGGACTCTGGCACTGGTGATTGGAGTGAACGTGGCTTCTGTGGAGGGGTCACCCTGACAGGGGAGAGAGGGAGATGAGGACATGGACCGAATAGGTGGTTCTACACGAGGCAGAGGGGCCAGAGGAATAGGTGGCTGCAGGGAGATTGGAGTTGGGGTGGGCTCGTCAGCCGGGAGATTCCAGAACATGCTCGTCGGCTACAGGCTGTGGTCCTGCAGAGGTTGTGCAGAGACAGGTGAGGGGGGCTGATGACGGGACTGCAGGCCCAGAAGAGGCCGGAGGGCAGGAGAGATGGCCAGCGCATCCTCCGCAGCTGGAGGGCAGCGAAGAGTGTGGGCACAGAGGGCGTTGGGCGGCAGCTGGATGTCGTGCCAGGAGGGTGACGTTCTCCTGAGGGCTCTGGTTCACTGGAGAGGGGATGCCAGCAGCTCAGAGGGAGTGTCGGAGGTGTGGTTTTAGAGAATTCATGGTCAATATCCAAGGGAGATGCCCATTTGAGAGTTCAAAGCTGTACTGGTGAGGACCAGTGGGTGTGTGGCTGCTTCCACAGGGCAGGAGCGGCTGTGGAGGGGCTGGTCCTCATCAGCGAGGCTGGTCGAGCCCGGGGTGTGGCCTTGGCCGTCGACTGCAGGGAGCATGCTGGAGCCAGTGAGCTCGGCACAGACCGCGTGTGTCCCTGTGTTCTGGTACCGTGCACTGCTTACTTGTGACTTGGTGGCATTTTGTTACTTGAACACCCTTCAGTTGAAATCCGTTAGATACTTTTATGGTGTTGGGCTGTGTGGTTGTCATCTAGTAAAAAATTTTAAAACCTGTGGTCACTGTTTTAGAACCTAAAGGAGCCTGCCCTTGTGAACCTGTCGCCAACATGAGAACCCCCACCATGCTATTTTCTGGCCATGGAGTCTTGGCTGTGAGCGCCCAAAACATGTTGATTGGGTCATGTGGTGGTTAAGTTGTAATGCCTCTCGGCTCCTAGTCTGACCTGGCGTGAGCCAGGGGCTCGCAGCAGAAGGCGTGCTCCGAAGGTTCGAGCAGCTTTGCTCCATCGCGGGGGCCACCAGGACAGAGTAGCCTCTGGAAGCTGTCGTGTAGGCAGTGGGCCCTGCAAGAATGAGGGCGAGGCCGCCCCTCTCTCTGGGGAGGAAGCGAGGGTCCGTAGAGCATGCTTACCCGTGAGCATTGACAGGGACTTCATAAAAGGGGGCCTTGGTGCTAGTCAGGGGTCTGTGTTCCCCAGAATGACCTGACCGGAGAGCACTCGTGCATCATGTTGAAGACGCTGGTGGACGAGGAGGAGGCCGACCAGGGCGCCTGGCTCTCCGCCTTTTGGAAAGGTGAATATGGGGAGTGAACGTGGGGGGCAGCCAGGTGACAGGCCCCGGGTCCTGCAGACCTCTGACTCCCATCTGGTTGGACCCGCAGATTTCCGAAGGCGGTTCCTAGCCCTGCTGTCTTACCAGTTCAGCACCTTCTCTCCTGCCCTGGCTCTGAACATCCTTCAGAACAGAAACATCGGGAAACCCGTGCAGCCGGGTGAGCTGGCTGGGTGGCGGACCGGAGGGCTGGCAGGGCTTGGTCGTGCAGAACGTATGGGAGGCGGGCGTGTGGTCCAGGAGGCGGGCTAGACTAGACATGGAGGGACCAGCTGCAGGCCTGTATCCCCCGCCTCCACCTCCGCTCAGCAGTCCCTGCCCCATCCCAGGGCGTCCGTCACGCGCTGTGCCTGTCATCCTCACGACAGGACTAGAGGCGCGTGTGACTTGGCTTCAGAGACATATGTAAGGCCTGCAGCTAGTCAGTTCTGGAACCTGTTCTAAATCCCATGAGCTAGGGCAACTAGCTCAATTCTGAGGCTCTATTTCCTCAGTCATGAAATTGTAATAAGAATCTGCTGCCAACCTTCTGTAGCCAACACATAGAAGTGCTCTGGGCACACAGATTCTGTTTGAATACTTAAAATATAAAAAAGGTGTAAGGGATCATTAGTGCTAACAGCTGTGGGGGTTTTTCTCCCTGTTGGTTGTTATGTGAATGTGTGTCTCTTTTGGGATCAATTACATTTGGGTGGAAAAATCTGTTTCTGGAGCTGGGGGGTGAGCGTGTGTGCTGCCTGTGAAGCTGGGTCCTGAGGAGAAGTGACAAAGTGGGGGAAAATGCTGGGGTCCTCTAACCCAGGGCATTGATGCTCAGTCCCACGCCAACAGGAGGGTCACACACCACCTGCCCCCATCACACGGCCCGAGCTGCCTCCCCTCTGCATGAGGAGGTCGGGGCTGCCCGAGGCGGGGTGTTGAATGGGTGGGCAGGCACTTTCAGGTGGTCCTCCCCTGCTCTGGCTGAAGGCTGGTGGAGGAACAGCTGCTGGGTGCCACCTGGGGACCCTTGTGCGTACCGTGTGGGAATTCCGGCAAGGGTGTCAGGCTAACCTGACCCGTCTGGCTCTGTCGCATGTCCAGCCCTACGCCGGGAGGAGCTGGAAGCACTCTTCCTCCCCTACGACCTGAAGAGGCTGGAGATGTATTCACGGAACATGGTCGACTATCACCTCATCATGGACATGATCCCGGCCATCTCCCGGCTGTATTTCCTGAACCAGCTGGGGGACCTGGCCCTGTCTGCGGCCCAGTCGGTAGGTTACCTGCTGCTCGTGTGCTGGTTTTGTGGAGCAGTTTATATGCTGGGAGTTGGTAGGCTGCTATGACATAACTTTGAGGATTTAGTTCTTTGTGGTTCTGATAGCATTTACTACTTCATGGTTCTGATGAGGGGGTAGAGGTCCCCTTTTGCAGGTTGGGGACCCTTGGGCTCTCCAGTCGAGCCATGCGCCCGGCAAAACAGTTAGAAGAAGAGCTGCTGTCTGAACCCATGTTCTTCCACCCCACCATGTGCCTCGATTCTGCTTATCAGAGGTCCAAGAGCACTCTGTACTGTTGACACAGCTGTGAAACGGCTGTTTGCTGGGATAAGAAGTTAGTCTGGGGATTTCAGGAGGAAGGCGTGCTTCCTGGTGGATGAGCGGGAAGATTTCCCGGTAGTGCCAGTCGATGTTTTGGCCAAGGGAGAGTAACTCTGGTTCTCGGTGCCCTTTTAATGGATAAAAGCCTGTCCTGGCAGCCACTCCCAACAGATTTCCTGTCCCCCAGGCTCTTCTCTTGGGGATCGGCCTGCAGCACAAGTCTGTGGACCAGCTGGAAAAGGAGATCGAGCTGCCCTCAGGCCAACTGATGGGACTTTTCAACCGGATCATCCGCAAGGTTGTGAAGGTAACCTCAGCCGAGGGCAGGGTTTTGGCCTGTTTTCTGCCCAAAGATGCAGAAATGTTGACATTTGGTTCTGATTGCCTCAGATCCTCTCTCTCTCTCTCTCACACACACACAGAAATGGGGGGCTTCAGCTGTAACATTCTCTCCCAGAGGCACCCCTGATTGAAGTGTGACTTGTCTCCAGTCTGTTTTCCTGCTCCCACAATGAGTGCGTGGCCTCCTAAACCACGCGGAGTGTGTGCTAAATGATTTAGTAATGAGTGGTTGAGTCTCGGCTGCTCCTTCATCTTCTGCTTCTCGACCTTGGTCTTTTGTAGCTGTTTAATGAAGTGCAGGAGAAGGCCATCGAGGAGCAGATGGTGGCAGTGAAGGATGTGCTTCTGGAGCCCACAATGAAGACGTTGAGTGACGACCTGGTACAAACACCAAACGTCTTCTCTGCCCTGGAGGAAAAGCTCTCGGCGCTGGGGTCCTAGGGGTGTGAGGAGTGCACTCCCCACCTTTCCCTGCCTTTGCGTGTGCTCCCGGCCCAGGACGGGGCCTTCCACTGAGTGTGTGTGAGAGCCGGCGCCAGGCAGCTGCTGTTACAACACTTGCTTGTCCTTTTAGATTTTTCAGAGGGCATATTCTATGTTCGTATACACTTTAATAAGAGCTTCCCCTGTAGGTGTGGGAGGTGGTGAGCGCGGTGAAGGAGAGGTCTGCTGGTGGTCGTGACGGTGTTCTTCCCCCTCACCTCTGTCTGATTTGTCCCCTGCCCCATTCTGGCCACAGGACGAGGCGGCCAGGGAGTTCCAGGAGAAACACAGGAAAGAAGTGGGGAAGCTGAAGGACGTGGACCTCTCTCAGTAAGGCCCCTCGGCTGCTTGCGGGGAGCACAGAGACTGCTCGTCTCCTCTGATTCACGTCCGGGGTGCCCCGGAAGCTGTGTTTCATGGGGTTGTCCTTAGAAGCACTAAGAGCTAAAAGCCTCCCCATTCACTGTTTGCATAACTTTGCAGGGTGTGTTTTCCCTGCATCTGCTCTGCCACTTTGTAAGTCGTGACTTGCAGATGGTGTTGTGTCCCAGGCCCCTCAGGGGAGGGGGCTGCTGATCTGTGAGCACCCACTTTGAGTGGCTCCTTTCCAATGTGAATTTGAAGAAAGGGTTCTATTGCCAACATGCCAGCAAACCTCCCTTGCTCTCCAGCCTTCTGTGCCCTGGGAGTTACAGTCCTTTTCGAGCTTCAGCCACAGAGGTGGTGCCTGCCCCGTGGACTGTGACTAATGCTCCAGAATTGGTGGCCTTGGAGCCTTTTTGACCCCTAGTCCCGTTGCCAGGTCATTAGGGATGGTGGTTGGACGTCAGATGGAGGCAGCCTGGAGGTCCGAGAGCAGGGTATTGAGCTTTGCCCTCGGCTCTGCAGCTTAATTAAACCCTTGACCTGCCAGGGCTGCTGGATCCCAGAGGTGGGGCGGGCAGGGTGTGGGGGGCAACAGGAGGCTTCTCTTGGGCGGTTGGTGAGTCGGGTGGGAGAAGCCGGGCGGCTGCCCTCTGTGCCCACGACCCCTGCTGGCCCTGCTGGCCCTGGTGACGTTCCCATCCCCTGCTCTCTGATGTACAGATGCTGGCATATCTCAGCCTGGCTTTCATGGCAGGACGTGTGGGATGAGAACGTCGCCACCCTCTTGCTTTTTTTTAAGCTGTCTTTTCTTTTTTTTTTAGATATGTAATCCGTGGGGACGATGAAGAATGGAGTGAAGTTTTGAACAAAGCTGGGCAGAATGCCTCGATCGTCAGCCTGAAAAGGTGAGGGCCCGGCGTGCACCAGGAGGGGAGGCTTCTGGCCTTCTCTCTGCTTCCTTAGTGGCTTTCACTTGGGAAGGGAGGCTGAAGCAGGTACTTTGAGGAGTCCTGTCCTTTCCTTTGAGGGTTGTTACTTTTGTATCATATCTCCTACTGATCAGTTGGATGCTGGGATCTCTGCATCCCTCGTTTTCTCAGACATGTCAGGGAGCTGGGCTTGCACAGCCCTGGAGTTGCTGCTGACTGAGCACTGCTGGGAGCTTTCATGCAGCTTTCCCTTCATACTCAGGACAGCAGAGGTGGCTTTTTTCTTACATCACTGCTTTTCTTTTATTGAAGTGTAATTGATCTACAGTGTAGTATAACTGACTGACAGTATTGCTGTACCGCAGTGAAGTGACTCAGTTATACATACACATATATATATGTTTTCATATTCTCTTCCATTGTGGTTTATCACAGGATATTGAATGGAGTTCCCTGTGCTATATAGTAGGAACTTGTTGATCCATTCTGTATATACCGGTTTGCATCTGCTCATCCTAGACCCCATTCCATCCCTCTCCTGCCTCCCTCCCCCTCGGCAGCCACAAGTCTGTTCTCTATTTCTGTGATTCTGTTTCATAGAGAGGTTCATTTGTGTCACATTTTAGATTCCAGATATCAGTGATGTCATATGGTATCTGTCGTTCTCCTTCTGACTTATTTCACTTAGTATGATGATCTCTAGTTGCATCCATGTTGCTGCAAATGGCATTATTTCATTCTCTCTATGGCTGAGTTTTATTTCATTGTATATATGTACCCCAGCTTCTTTATCCATTCATCCCTGGGCATTTAGGTTGCTTCCATATCTTGGCTGTTGTGAATAGTGCTGCTGTGTACATAGGGGTGCACATATGTTTTTGAATTATAGTTTTGTCTAGAAATATACCCAGGAGTGGGATTGCTGGATCATAGTTGTTCAGTTCATGTCTTTGCGACCCCATGGACTGCAGCACTCTAGCCTTCCCTGTCTCTCGTCATCTCTTGGAGTTTGCTCAAATTCATGTCCATTGACTCTGTGATGCCATCCAGTCATCTCATCCTCTGTTTTCCATATTGACTGCACTAACTTACATTCCCACCAACAGTGTAGGAGGGTTCTCTCTTCTCCACATTCACTCTGGCATTTGTTAATTGTAGACTTTTTAACGATGGCCATTCTGACCAGCTGGAGGTGGTACCTCACTGCACTTCTGATTTGCGCTTCTCTAATACTTAGCAATGTTGGGAATACTTGCATGTGCCTGTTGGCCATTTGTATGTCTTCTTTGGAGAAAGGTCTCTTTAGGTTTTCTGCCCATTTTTTGATTTTTTTTTTTTAATATTGAGCTATATGAACTGTTTATGTATTTTGGAAATTAAGCCCTGGTTCATCACATCATTTGCAAATGTTTTTTCCCATTCTGTAGGTTTCTTTTTGTTTATGGTTTCCTTTGCTGTGCAAAAGCTTGTAAGTGTGATTAGATCCCATTTATTTATTTTTGTTTTTATTTCTACTTGGGAGACTAACCTAAAAAACATTGGTATGATATGATATTTGTCACAATGTTTTGCCCATGTTCTCTTCTAGGAGTTTTATGGTTCTATCACTGCTTTAAAGATGAAGTAATAACCAAGGCGCTCTCAGGTGTTAGATGACTTCCCAAGAAGCATATAGCTAATAAGAGCCACAGCCAGAATCAGGACCAGGTCTGTCCACTGCGAAGCCCATAGTTGACCTGCTGTCCTCTCCTTCCTCTAAGTCAGTGATTCTCAACGTTTTGGGTTGTGGACCCCAAGTGGCTTTTGTGCATGTTGGTTGTATCTATCAATATTTCCCATTTTAGAAATGAAATACTCAGAAGTTTACAAAAAAATGTTTTCTCATTCAAAATTAACAGTCATGGACTCATGGGTTTTTTAAAATAACTTTCATAAAAATTTTAGTGAGAAGAGTGGGAATGTTTTACATTTGTTTTTCCAAATCTCTTTAATATCTGGGAAACTAGGAGGCAGCTGGATTCTCCTGTCTGCTGCTGCCTTCAGTCTGCTGTGCTATCACACGGCTTGTAGCCTCTGGAGAATAGAACAATTGGGAGAGAATGAAAGTAGAAAAGGCAAATTACATATTAGGATTGTTTTGGAAATAGTTTTGACTTTGGGGTGGGGTCCACCTGGAGGGATTTTGGGGAACTCCAGGATTCCCTGGACTGCTTTTTGATAAACCTTTGCCCCAGCTACTTCTCTGCAGAGCCACATGTTTGAGGATGGCAGTAGTTCCGTGAGCTGGAACCTTCACTGGAGTTTCCCTGGGGAACACAGGGAGGCCTCCCCTGCCCTGGGCCCCTGGAGATGAGGCTTCCAGGGCTGGCTTGGGGGTTCGTGAGGAGGGTGAGTTGTTGACATTGCCATCAACAGAATCCCCTGAAGAGTTTTATTTGGAAAGAGGCCATCTTGTGACTCTAGGAGCCATAGACCCCTGAAATCAGATATCCTCTTCTGCCATCTCCATAAGTCACTGCGCTGCCTGGAAGTTTCCATCAGTGCTGGCCTTGTTTTCATGATGATCTCTGTCATGGCGCAGAAGCCCACTGTCAGTGTGTCCTAATTTCTGGTTTGGATGAGAAAGCAGACGTGGCCCAGGGCTGCTGATGGCTGCCGCCTTGACTGTGGTGGCTTTGGAACCAGGCCGGCTGTGCACCCGGTGTGTGGCAGCCTGGTTCCCGTGCTCCGCCTCTCCTGCCTTTGGGTTGGCTGTCACTGCCTGGAGGAGCCTTCTGCATTACTATCCAGCTATGCATGTGTCCAAGGTTCAGTGTTAACGTCAAAGCTTGCGCTTTTGGAGGTGAAAACACTGACTGTCATTATGTATGCATTGAGGCATCCTTTGTTTTGTTAGCAGTCATTTCATTCAGGTGATGTTAATGGTCTCTGGACAGAATTGTTCACTCTCTCCTTCTAAGGAGGTGTTTATTTCCAGGGCAGAATGAGACTGGAGGGAAATTTGTAACCTGTAAGATGGAAGGAAGGTGGCCATTTCTGAGCTATTCTCATGTTAATCTGTCAGTGAGGGACCAGTGGCCAGCTGAAGTGTGTCCCTATTCCTTTGGGTTTTCTTCTCACTTAGGGGAAAGATAACAGCACATCAAAGAGTACTGTCTGGTTTTTCTGGGAATTTCATGCTTTGTATTATATTGGCGACTGTCCTCATGGTCACTGGGATAATATGTCTGGTTTCCAGAGCAATCCTCAGTGGTAATTGATGTGAATGAATTTTTCTTGCGATGCCTTGGATTTTACTTTAAGTTTTAGGAAGGGAAATGTACAGATTTCAGGAGTTAAGGTGTAGGTTTTTTTTCTCCACAGACTAAGAGCTTGGTCAGGGCGGGAACTGGGTTGGTATGTTGTGTCCTCAGCCCCCAGCACAGTGCCCTGTAGGCCTACAGAGACCATGTCTGTGTAATTGCACATTCTTACATCAAGTTTCAGAGGACGGAAACCCTTTTTCAGACAAAGCGGAGCAATCTGAAAGGGGTAACAGATCCAGCGTGTTTTTCTTTCGACTTTTGCTTTTTCTTTTCCAGTGACAAGAAAAGGAAGCTGGAGGCCAAACAAGAACCCAAACAGAACAAAAAGTTGAAGAAAAACAGAGATATGAAGAACAAAAAAGATATGAAACTGAAGCGGAAGAAATAGTGGAGAGACACTTGGGCGTCAGCAGCTGACTCGTAAGGAAATACCCTGACTTTCGGGACTGACTCTGGCGGGACTGAGTGGCAGCTGACTGGACTATTAAAAGCAACAGGAGTCCCCAGGAAACCCAGAAGTTGGGCAGGAATTCCATTTATGGGCTGAGCGTGGCTTAAGGCAGAGTCACTTCCAAGTGGGTCTGCTTAGAACTCGACGGTTGGCACACATCCGGGCCTGTCTCTCCTCCCCCCTGTCCAGGCCTGCCTTTCCCATACGTTCATATTTCACTTTGCGCCCAGCTTTCTCCATTCCTTCCTACACGTGTCGAAGCCGTGCTGGCTTTCGTCTCTTCTCGAGCATCAAATACACAGCTGTCTGGAGACCCCGGAGGTGGCCAGGGGAGCATCAAGGCCTGTTGTCATGAACTTGCCCAGGCTCGCTGAAGCCTGGAGTCCCAGGAGCTCTAGTCCAGCTATACCGCTGTGTCAGCCACGTTTAAGCGCTGGGACCCCCACACTGCCATGTTCCGACCCTTTCTCCCCCAGCAGTGACCCAGAAAAGCTTGACTTCTCAATTTAGGGAATGATACAGTATCTGAGTCCCCAATATCTGTTATTTCATCCATTTGGGAAAAAAATGTTGGGAAAGACCCTTTTGCTAGCAGGGATGAGGGGAGATAGAGAATCTATTTTTAATAAATAACATCCTAGAAAGACCAGCGGCCTGTGCTCGTCGCCTGCACCTAGGTGGGAGTTGACTTTGCCCGTTTCTTCTGGGTCTTGGCTGCAGGTGCATTTGGGGGTGCTGGCATCAGGGCTCGGGGTGGCTGGGGCTTAGCGAGCTGGGAGCCCGCGGGAGAATTGACTGTGGTGACCCGTGCTCGCTATGGTCATACTGAAGGACTTGGTGCAGCACCTGGAAGCCAGCCAGCTGGGCCGCTCTTCATCCCTCGCTCCTGTCAGGTCGTTTGGTCCCCTCTGTCTCTTGTGGACAGGAATGCGGTGGCTTCATATGTACTTTGGGATGTTTGGTATCTTTTCCAGTCCCAAATCTGATACCATTGTTACTGGAACCTGGGCCCTGCATCCTTGGCCAGGGATCGAACCCGGGCCCTCTGCAGTAGAAGCTTGGAGTCCTCACCACGAGAGCACCACAGAGCTCCCCCTCTGCTGATTCTGTACAGTTCCCTATTCATGTCGTCACGTGCAGGGAGCGTTCAGAGTGGAAGTTGGCTCCGTCGTGCTCTGGTTCTGATCTGCCTTTCTCCTCGCCTCTGCATGTGAGTTGCTGGTGGTCTTTCAGAGCCCCCTGAGTCAGATTTCAGCTTCTGTATTTTTTCTTATTTTTATCTAAAAAATTCCTGCGGTGGCCTTGGTTACTGTTCTTCCTTGGTTTTTCATAGACTTTAAAAGGACTGTCTTCTGTGAGTCTTAAATGGATCCTTTCCTCAGCCCTGGTAGGTTATCTGGTTCCTAGAAGTCTAGTCTGTGGACAGGGAAGGAAGAGGAGCTTCTGGAGCAAAGAGGATTAAATGTGCAGCTCCCAGGACAGATGGCCACAGGGAGGGGATCAGATTCTGACCGCCTGTGCCTGGGACCACCACGCCTCCTCCCAATTAAGTACAGGAAAGTTTAATGAGATGAAAAAAAATTTTGATCCATTTTTCTCAGGTGAGTGCCTGAGCCTGCCTTTTAGAGAGGATTTTTTTTTTAAAGTTTGTTTATTTGGCTGTGCTGGGTCTTTGCTGTGAGTGCTTTCCTCTAGTTGCGGTACAGGGCTTCTCATTGCAGTGGCTTCTCTTGTTGCAGAGCTCGGGCTCTAGGCATGTGAGCTTTTAGTCTCCCAGGCTCTAGAAGAGCACAGATTGACTAGTTGTGATGCACGGGCTTCGTTGCTTCAGAGCATGTGGGATCTTCCCGGATCAGAGATGGAACCTACATCTTCTGTGTTGGCGGGTGGATTCTTTACCACTGAGCCACAAGGGAAGCCCTTCAAAGAGGGCTTTCGTAAAGAGGGTGGCTAAAATGCAGTCACAGCCTCAAATGATCTGAGCTGGATGGTGCGGTAAAACCTCTCCATCCACACCATCTTACAGGTGCAGGACCTAGATTGGCCGAGTCCTAGCTCAGCACCTCTAGTGTCAAAGCCTGTGCTCGGCTCTGTTCCGTGGACTCTTTCTGGCCTTGATGCTGGCTCTGCCTGGCCCTAGCTGTGACCTGGAGCACACTTCCACCCAGCTCTGCATGTGTGTAAACTGCAGGTGGTAATGACAGCACCTCCTTGGAAGGGCTGCTGTGAGGAGCGAACAGTGCCCGGTGTGGAGCAGGCGTTCACCAAGCCTCTCTGCGTTCTGTGGCACGTGGAGCCCCGGGGAGCTGCTCTGTTACCCACAGGCGCCACGATGGACTGAATGAGGACTGGCTTTGTTCTAAAACCACAGCCTGTACTATGGCCTTTCTCTGTGCACATGAAAAGGAAGTGAGCATTCCGCCTACTGTGTAGTCTTGGTGCTTATATTTGCAAAGTGTGTGTTCCTGAACAGGTCTCTGCACTTGGTGGTTGTGATCTTGGGTTCTCCTCCAAACCTGAAAAAGCAACGCCTCCCCCAGACCTCACCATCTGGCCTCCAGACAGAGTGACATCTGTAAAGCTCGCTGTCTCAGGAAATCTCACTTGCAAAATGAATTCAGATAGGCCGCCTATGAATGCTGTCACCAGGCTGGGAAAGGGGCCGAAAAAAGCTGAACAAAGAAGATTCCTCAGTGGTCTCATCCCCCCTCCGCCACTCCGCCGAGCCGAGAGGGAGCCAGTGCTGGCCTGCTTCAGCGCTCCCACTGCTCAGCTGTCCCCCCACAGTCCCAGAGGACCCTCAAGTGACCAGGAGTGACACAAAGGGGGCGGCTGAGGCTGGGGGAGGGGAGGAGAGGAGTGACCGTCACCTTGGATAAATGTAGGCTCATTATCTGAGGCCATCACACCAGCCGCCAGTCCCCCGGCCCGGAGGGGGTGGGACTGGCCTCCCCTGGGCCTGAATAGGCAACTCAGACTCCAGACGCTGCCCTCCATTCTCTAAACAACTGGTGAAAGCTGAAAGGTGGTGTAGATGGTGCAGAAGGCAAGGGGCTGGCGGGAAAGGCAGACGCTGAGGTTTTTCTTGGGCTTTCAGTGGTTCGGCTGAGGAGAAAGCTGTGATAATCCCGACGTCTGGCTGCCATGGGGCAACCGGCAGGAGCAGAAGGGAAAGGAAAGTATCAGGAGGGGGGAAGCCTCGGCTTTAGCCTTGGTGGCCCGTCGGGACGAGTTTCCTGTGGAGACCCCGGCCGAGTCAGCCCGGCTTCTCGACTGCCTGCAGGGCAGCTGGAGTAGAGGGAAACCACCCCCTCGTTTCCCTTGGCAGGGTCCCTGCTAAGCAGAAGTTCACCGGCCTCTCCCCTGCCTGCCTTTGGCTGCTAACAGCCTGAAGTGGGCAGCGGAGGGGAGAAGCCCCCACACTCAGCGGTGGCCGGAGGAAGCCCGGCCCCTGGGGCAAGGTAAGGTGACAAGACAGTCCCATTTCCACGCTAGTTTCTCCTGGCTCCTTGGAGGATGTCTGATTTTTTTCTAATTATTATTTAAGTGCTTGCTTTAGAACATGTTTCTGCTACATGCAGGCTTGAAAGGGGCATTGCCCCTCTTATGTTACTTTCCCTTCAATCCTCGGCCCCCTAAAAAGGAAATATGGCTGAACTCCTGTATGGAGCCAGCTGGTGACTAGACCTTGCTTCTCTGGCTGCATACTTGACTGAGGCACCTCCTGCAGGGGAGGGGGAGCTTGTAGAGAGGGTGGGCACAGACCTCTGAACGGGGAACCCCTGGAGATGGTGAGTGCTGGGACAACCCACCCCCAAACCTCCTTTGCAGGGGCCTCTGCCCAGGAGGATGGTGCCAAGGGGTGTGCCTCCCACCAGAGGGCGCCATGTATCCATGGCGAGCCCTCTCCCTACAGAGGCCAGGGCCCCAGGATGGGCCCCCCTCCAGCAAAGCCCACAGGGGGCCTTTCCGAGGACTGACTGACCCTGTGGGGTCTTCATGTTGTCCCCCAACTCCAGAGTCCTGGCCTGTCGGTCACTGAATCACAGCCACTCCCGTCAGTGTTCCCAGTGACCTCAGGAATTTCTCTTCCTGCCTCAGACAGGGAAACATTTTTAAAACCTGTATTTCTACCTGGACTTTGCACCTAAGACAAACTACCACCTACTCCAGAAAACCTTTGGGTCTCAGTCACTGGCCTCCGGTCCTCTGTCCATTAACCGGTGACACAGCCAGCAGGTGCTCAGCAAGGCCTGAAGGCGGCGGCCGTCAAGGGCCCGGCGGTCCCTCACCAGGCCCTCCTCCCTGTGCTGGGCCACACGGGGCTGGGTCGTGGAAGGATTTGCAAGCAACTATTCTGACAGCCTAGCAGTAGTTCTGCACATCAGAGCTGTGGGGCTCAGGGCACAGCAGGAAAGTCCCTGACAGCTGTCTTTAAAAATTTTATTGAAGTATAGTTGATTTACAGTGTTATGTTAATTTCTGCTATGCAGCAAAGTGATTCAGTTTTATAAATATACTTTTTCATATTTTTCATTGTGGTCTATCATAGGATATTGAGTATAGTTCCCTGTGGTATATGGTAGGATCTAATTTTTCATCCATTCTATACGTAATAGTCTGCATCTGGGATCCCAAACTCCCAGTCCATTCCCTGCCTGTATCGCTTGGCAACCACAGGTCTGTTCTGAATCTGTTTCATAAATATGTTCATTTGTGTCATAATTTAGATTCCACATGCAAGTGATATCATATGGTATTTGTCTCTCTTAGTATGATAATCTCTAGATTCATCCATATTGCTGCAAATGGCTTTATTTCATCCTTTTTTATGACTGAGTAATGTTTTACTGCATATATGTACCACATCTCCTTCACCCATTCCTCTGTTGATGCACATTTAGGTTGTTCCCATGTCTTGGCTATTTTAAATAGTGCTGTTGTGAACATAGGGGGTGAATGTACCTTTTCAAATTGAAGTTTTGTCTGGATATATGCCCAGGAGTGGGATTGCTGGATCATATGGCAACTCTTCTTAATTTCTTGAGGAACTCCATACTGTTTTCCATCGTGATTGCACTGACTTACATTGCTACCAACAGTATAGGAGAGTTCCCTTTTCTTCACATCCTGTCCAGCATTTATTTGTAGACTTTTTGATGGTTATTCTAACTGGGGTGAGGTGGGTACCTCATTGTAGTTTTGATTTGCATTTCTCTAATTAGTGATGATGAGCATCTTTTCATGTGCCTATTGGTCATTTATATGTCTTTTTTAGAGAAATGTCTCTCTTAGATCCTACTCATTTTTTGATTGGGTTTTTTTTGTTTTGATGTTGAGCTATGAAAGCTCTTTCTATATTTTGGAAATTAAGCCCTTGTCAGTTTCATTTGCAAACAATTTTTCTCCCAGTCTGTAGGTTGTCTTTTTGTTAATGGTTTCCTTTGCTTTAAAAAGCTTGTTAAGTTTGATTAGGTCCTATTTATTTTTGCTTTCATGTTTATTGCCTTGGGAAACTGACCTAAGAAAGCATTGGTATGATTTATGTCAGAGAATGTTTTGCTTATGTTTTTGTCTAGGAGCTTTATGGTGTTCTGTCTTATATTTCTTTAAGTCATTTTGATTTTTTGTGATAAGGGAGTGTTCTAACTTTATTGATTTACATATGGCTGTAAATCAGCTTTCCCACCACTTGCTGAAGAGACTATCGTTTTCTTGCCTCCTTTGACGATTAATTGACCATAGGTAAGTGGGTTTGTTTGAGTTCTGTTCTGTTGCACTGATTGATATGTCTGTTTATATGATAAGTGCCAGTGCTATGCTGTTTTGATTACTGTGGCTTTGTAGTATTGTCTGAAGTCTGGGAAAGTTTTGCCTCCTGCTTTCTTTTTTTGCAGGATTGCTTTGGCAATTCTGGGTCTTTTGTGGTCCTATCATAGACTTTAGGATTATTTGTTCTAGTTCTGTGAAAAATCTGACAGCTGTCTTATTCCTGGCATTGGGCTCCCGTCCTTCCGGTCCAGCTCAGAGCCATGTAAGTACTTCACAAGTGGGAACACACCTACCCCATTTGACAGAACAGGAAGACTCAGGCCCAGTGAGGGCTGGATCCAGACTCAGGTCCTGGGTGGGGCAGGACAGGGGTTAGAGGCTGGCCATGCACAGCTTCCGGCAGGGCTTTGTTCCGTCTGAGACACAAGGGTCTCAAGTAACCAGGGAATCAGCTCTAGGTTCTCTTCCTGGTCCTAAATGGGCTCCTCCCTAGCTCTGAACTTTGGGTAACCCTCTATAAGGAGCCATGAGGCCAAGGTCATTGTTAACAAGTGTTTATTGTTAATAAAACCATAGTACATTTACAATAAGTGACAACATTAATGTATAGTTACAGTATCATACAATATTACAGCAATAAAATAACACCTATTCCTTTGTACATCCAGCTCAAGCAGCTAGTTGAAAATATTTTCCAGGGTTGCAAACCCCCAGGGTTTTTCAAGGTGACTGAAAGGACACCTCCTAAAGTGCCTGGGGCTTCTGGTGAATAAATAGTTTCTAAGGTACGGCCAGACAGCCGAAGGGGACATCCGGCACAAGCTGTTCCGGAGAATGCCCCTGATGTCTGGTACATAAATACGACAGGGGTCCAGGCCCAGCGATGCGTCCCCACCCAGGAGAGCCTGGAGCCTACAGGATAGCAGGGGCAGGTACCAGGGAAGCAGAAGGACCTCGTCTCCCAGTCCTTCCCATCTACCCAGGCCCTGACCTTTTAAGTTCCCCAAGACCCACAGCAGTTCCCAATGGGAAGTCTGGGCCCTGCTCTCCAGTCCAAATTAAAGGACTCTGACTGGAGAGACTGGACTGGCGGGATGTCTAGGGCTCTGCCTAAGTCTAGGCTTGGGATTTCAGAATCCACCCCTTTACAGTGGCCCCTGAAAACAGCAGCAGCAACACAAGCTGAGGCCCCAGGCTCCGCCCGTGTGCCTGTGCTACCCTTGGCTCAGACCTAAAGCTTTGAAGGCGCCGGGGGGACCTAACCGCCTTCTCTACTACTCACTGAGCAGGCCGGCGGTCCCTCTGCCCAAAGGAGCCCAGACACCAAGGAAATAGACTGAAAATGACCCTCTTCGCAGGATCCCCAGGCTCCCTGGAGGCCACATCAGGTCTTTCAAAGGCACAGCCTTAAGCTCAGGTTTGTCTGACGTGACACTGAGGGAAAGCACTGGCTTTTGACTGCAGTGGCCTGGGGCCCAGATAGAACATACACTCTACATTCATAAGGATGCTCACACCCCCGAGGAGCCCCACTTAGGACATTCTGAGCTGCCCGAGGCTCCGGGGGTGGGCTAGTTAGAGCCCGGAGGGCACGACCAGGAGCTGGGCCGAGCGGAGTGGGATCGGTGCGGGCCTCCGGAGGGGCACGCGAGGGTGAGTGCATGGCAGCCCCCTGGTGCAAGCAGGCGGCTGGCGTGGGGAAGGGCCACTTGTGGCCACACCTGCCCTTGGCTCATCACTGGTTGAGCAATTGGTTAGGCTCTGGGCTTGCCCAAGTCTGGCTCCAAAAGTGCCAGTAACCAGTCTCAGCCCAGCAGGGCCCCAGCGTGTCCACTGGTCCTGGCTATGCGCTGACCCAGACACCCCCAGGAAGCTCCCAGCCTTTCTTACCCGCCGGGAGGCCTAGCGGCAGAGCCAGCCGCCCCCACACCTCACACCCGAGAGGTGACATACAGCGAGTGCACGCGCTCGGCCAGGGTGCTCTGCAGGTCTTGCAGCGGGGCCAGGCCCTGCACTTTGCTGCTGCGGCCGTAGATGAGCTGCCGGAAGGAGTCCTGCTCCAGCAGGGCCTTCATGTGCTTGAGGAAGAAGCCCTCGCAGAACAGGGCCAGTTCGGGGGCGTTGTGGATCTGGGTGGGGGGGGGGAACAGGGAGAGGGGTGAGACCCACAGCTGCAGCACAGCCCTGCCCGAAACTGCCCCAAACAGTCCTCATGGGCAAAGGTCCAGCTTCAAGCCCCAGGCCCAGGGAGGCAGGCAGGCCCTATCTCTGCATCTTAGGGCAACTGAATTCCTCATCTGAATTCTTTCCATGAGCATCTCCTCGGGTTAGACTGATCTGGGTTCAAATCCCAGCTGTGCCACCAGGGAATATCCTGGCATCTTGTTCTCAGCCTGGGTCCTGCTGGTGACAGCTTGTTGGGGGGCGGTCATCATCCCCATGGCATTGGAAGCGCCCTAAGGGCAGGGGCTGTCAGTGGGATGTGCAACATAAGGCCCAGCACACGAGTGTTCACGTGGTAAGCGCTCAGCGAACACTGAGCGCCCTCTCTGGGCCGGCACAGGCCCCGAGGCCCAGGTCAGTGATGCTCTCAGAGCTGATGATCCAGATCAGGGGCACGAGAGAAGCCAAGGAGCCAACCAGGCCAGGTGACCACGGACAGTAGTCAGTGCTCTGAGGCAGTGAGAGCGGGCGAAAGGGCAGAGGTGTGTGACTTGGGGGCACCTGGCGGGGAGACTTGCTGGAGGACTGCAGGAGTCCTGGGGTGGAAACGAGTTGAGAGACATGGGCCGTGTGGCCAGAGAGGGAGGCATCGGAAGGGGAGATGTGAGAGGGCCCTGGGGGCCTCGTAAGGGGTGACAGATAAGGGCTGGGTCTTTAGTTTGCAGTAGGAAACCTTTGAAGAGTTTCAGTGGGGGAGTGGCGGGGTCTTCATACTTTTCAAAGAGCCTTGTGGACTGCAGGGCAAAAGCAAGGAAGTGTTGGAGGCCAGGCCAACGCGATTGTCCCAGAGCAGGTCGAAGGGAGGTGAGGGGTGGCTGATGCATTTCGGGTGTGGGTGGTGACCATGGCATCTGCTGCGAGGAGGAAGACTAAGGAGGGCCAGGCTGGGGAGAGACTCGGGTAGTGTCGGGGAACTGATCTGATGCGGAGGAGCTCAGCCTTATGCCGCCCCAGGTCTCAATGCCCAGAGCGGCACAGCTGGCCTGACACCTGGGGTCCACCCGGCTCAGAGCTCGGCTCCCCAGCCGCTGTGCCGCCCCCCTGGGCGGCCATGACCTCAGGCCACAGAGGGGGCGACACTGCCCTTCAAAGCTGCCAGGGCAGAGCAGGGTTAGTGATGGGGGGCAGGGGCGGCAGCGGGCGTCCTCACCTTGGCGTACTTGTAGGTGTTCACGGCGCTCTCCACACTCAGGGTCTGGGAGCACAGGATCTCACAGTGCCGCTGTAGGGCGTCCAGCTGGAACAGGCTGGCTGCTGACAGCAGCTGGTGAGAGGAAGAGGCCGTGGGTGAGCAGGGCCAGGCCCGTGGCCCCGGCATCACGGAAAGGGAGCCCCGGGGTGCCCTCCTGACCCCCAGGACCCTCCCTGCCCACTGCCCGTTAAGTCCGATGGCCTTGATTTATTTCTACTCCAGGCCATCTAGGTATTTGCTAGGACACCTCAGGAGGCATCCAACAGGTGACAGACACTGGTTGGAATTTCTCACTTCGGGAGGCCTTCAACTATGAGCTGCCTGCTCCTCTGCACGACCTTCTAGCCAGGCACGTGGCCAGCAGCGGGTCCGTTCTCTAAGTGGTAACCTGGTAAGGTGGAGGGGTACCTGCTGCCTTCTGATTCTTTTGTACCTTCCATCAGAGGTGGCCCTTTCTAAACCTGAGGTGTCGCCCAGAAGGTTGGGTTCCACGGGTGCACCATTTCCCATGTGCTCAGAAGAGTGAGGACCTGCAGGGAAGCAGGGGGTCCTTGCAGAGGTCCCCTTCCTTCCCTCATGTCTCCAGTGCTGTGTTTCTGAGAGCGGGGTGGGTGAGACCTGGCAGATGTCTCAGGCTGGGCACAGGCATGGTGGATGGGCTCAGGGACTCCCCGCTCCTCTCCCCGGGCCCAAGCAGACGGGCCAGGTCCTCACCTCCAGGATGTCACCAGTGGGGATGTCCATGGATTCTGTTCCTCCGTAGTACAGATACTGCATCATCATCTGCAGGAAAAAGGCCCCACATGAGTGCCAGGTGGACCCGCAGCACCAGTATCCTCACCCAGCACCCCTGGAGTGCTGCTCCAGTAGCCCCCAGCCCCTCAGTGGCCCCCCCCAGAGCACTGCTCCAGGCACTCCCGGCCCCTAGATGCTCATCCCCTCTGGCCCCGCCTCTGTGTGTTGATGTCCGCACACCCCCCCCCCCCCCACTCCCATCAGACATTTTTGTGCTTCCACTGGAATGCGTATGGCGAGCTTCCTTCCACAGAGTGGATTTGCTTCAATCCTCACAACAGCCCTGTGAGCCCAGGAGCAGATACTCTTCACGGCTGGGGAAACTGAGGCCAGGGAGGGAGGCTGATGAGGCTGACTCCTCCCCCTCCTTCCAGCACACCAGGCACCTCACGACTCGGTTTCTCCTCTTACCGAAATTCTAAACATGGGGCTCTGAGGGGGCGACCGTCTTCCCTCAGAATCCCAACTCCTGGCCTCCCCGTCGGTGCTAGCCCCTCGTGGAAGCCAGTGCGGTGCTGGGGGCCAGGACCTGGCCCAGAGGTCAGCATGCCGACCAGCGGGGGCCCCTCGGGGCTCTTGAGAGCAGAGGCCCTGCGACACCACATGAGGTGGCCTGGGGAGGGGGCTAGGTGTAGTTCTGCTGGGATCCGACTTACAAGCTCTGCCATCATGCTGGAGACTGGGGAGTTTCCAGCTGGAAAAAGAAAAATGATTCTCCCTGGTTGGCTGAAGAAACGGCCCCAGCAAGGAGCTGGCAAGGGTATAAATAAACACGGCTCCAGCCGGCACAGTCGGGCTCTGTTAGGACTGGCCCCCAGGCTGGAAGAGGCACCAGAGGGTCTAGAGGGAAGGAGCCCAACCTGGGGCGGGTGGGGAGAGGGAAGAGGCCTTGCCAGCCGCCTCCAGGCCCAGGGCCTGTCCAGGAGGCATCAGCCCGCCCTTCTGCTCAGAGGAGCGCGGGCTGCCAGAGGTCTTGCACAGCCCCCGCGGGAGCTCAGGTGGAGATCTTACAGTTACACGGATGTACCTGTGTCCCACTACTCCAGGCAGTGTGTGCCTTGGGCAGGCCCATGCCTGGCTTCCTCCGCCATCCCCCACACTGGGGGCTGAGTGCCCAGGACTGGGAGTGGGGCAGCTCCCATCTCCAGGGATTCTTTCCTAGGTGTTCGTTTCAGGACAGCCCCAAGGTGAGAAGGGGCCCAGGGAGACAGGCGACAGCCTGCGACTCCTCTTCCTGGCCTAGAAGAGGCCTCCTACCGCTTCTGGGAGCTGGTCTGGGCAGGGCCCAGCTCTCGTGGCACGTGGATCTCCCTGAGGCACCTGAATGCAGATGAGCCCACAGAAGTGGGACCAGAATTGCCCTCTTGGAGCCTTGCTGGGGGAACCGGGCTGCTGGAAGGCAGCTGTGGACATTAATTTCCCACAGCCCAGCAACCCCCAGGCAGGATGTGGGTCACCCAAAGTAGGCAGCCTGCAGGGCTGGAGTGGGCAAAGGGCTGCTCCCAGTGAGGCCCCAGGCAGGACCAGCTGCAGGGATGGCCTCGCTTCCTTCTGCCTGGAGTGGGCCACCAGGAGCATGACCACTGCAGGGACAGGGCTGGGGCCAAGAGCCACGTCCGAACGGCAGGGCTATCCCCCAAAGGCCCAGGTTTAGTCGGCAGTGACCCTGGCAAGAGTCTACACCCGTGCTGTCTAATTGATAGCCACTGGCCACCTGTGACTTTTGAGTATTTGAAACATGGCTGCTCTGAATGAATATTGTGTCAAAACTGCATTTCAAACACTGTGAAAAAAATAAAACATTTCATTAAATTTTTATACGTGGAAATGATACTGTTTTGGCTACATTAAGTTAAATAAGAATAAAACTAATTTCACCTGTTTCTTTTTACTTCCTCCCTCATCTATTAGGCAATTTTACATAACCTAGGCGCCCAGCATTATCTTCCTATTAGAGAAAGCACTGCTTAAATCTCCTTGGGCCTCTGTTTTCTGTTCTAGAAAACAATGATCTCAAGTTCTCTTTGTATCGTGAGAGCCAATGAGATGTCTGGGGGCTGCTCTGAAACTTAGGCTTTTTTAGGAGGTCTTGGCCCTGGATTGCCGACTTCAGCTGCCCACCCCCGCACCCAACTCCCCGCCCCACGGGATGGCAGAGCTTTGTTCCCAGAGAACCCACAGGGCCAGGCCAGTGGCTAACATGCCCCAGGCCCACATGTGCCCTGATGTTAGAGCTGTTGTCCCTGTTTACCCCCGTGACAACCCTGAGAAGTCATCAAGGGCTGCCCAGCCTCTCCTGACACGGGCGTCATCCCCTGCTGAGCAAATGCAGCCTCAGTGGCAGGGGTCACCCTTGTCACCTCCCGCCCAATCCCTGCTGCCCTTCTCAGACCCACCTCCTGTGTCGGGTCGTGACCCCACCTCACGCTCCAACTCACCTGGACTTTGGGCTTCTTAGCCAAGCAACTTCCTAGAGTTGCTCCCCTCCCCAGGGAGTTTGGCTTGAGGGACGATGGTAAGAGGGGAGGGGAGACACCATATGCCCAACCCTGGGCCTCCTCCGACCCGTCATCAACTGATGCCAAGTCCCCCACTCTCCCCTCATCCACACCCCTCTACCCTGCTGCCTCTACCTGGCTGCCATCATCACTCAGCTGGATTTCTCACCAGCTGCTCACCTGGTCTCCTGGCTACAGTCCTGCCCCCTCCAGTCCTTCCCTCACCCTCCAGAGTGCGTGAGGTCACACAAACTGGACCATTCCACACATCCTGGCTCTATCTTCTCCAAGCTGTGTGACCTTGGACAAGTTATTGAACTCTGCCTGCGACACCTCATGGACCAAGGTGGGGGTAATAACACGTGCACCTCCCTGGTCTGTGCTGTGACGCTTAACTGATAAATGCACTTAGAACCATGCCTGGCTAAGTGACCTCAGAGTAGCTTCTAACTGTCCTTCGGTTAAAGCTCAAGCCCTTCACGGGATGGCTCCTCGGGGGCAGCCTCAGCCTCATTTCTGGATGTTCTTCTGAATGGCTGCCAGGACTTGGCCAGGAAGCATTTCCTAAACAGGTCGTGGTCTCTGGTGGTCGTGGTCTCTGCATTGCTCTGTCTACCTGGAGCTCCTGGCTGACCGCCCTGGTCCCCAGGAAATTTCCCCCTCCGCAGCTTTGGTGCCACTTCCTGCACTGCCGGTGCCTCCCCACCACTCCCAGTCACATTCATTCATAATCCTGTCTCCTGGAGGGCAGGGTCCCTGTCCTGTTTACTGCTGTCTCCGTGGTACCCATAAGTGACTAAATGCTAAACAGATGACTACGGGAACAAGAGAGACGGACTAAACCCTTTTAGATGGTGGCTCCTCACGCTTCTGTGGGGCTGTGATCTCTCCCATTAGGTCACAAGCCTGTCCCAGGCAAGGCCAGTTCCTGGGCTCACATACCAGCTGCCGCTTGGCCTCTGTCTCAGGCCCTAAGGGTCACCCCTACAGCCTGAAGACTACTTTCTACAAATGAACTCCTCACTGGGGCTCAGCTTAGACCCCAGCCAGTCCCTTCCAGACCTTGCCTGCCACTCCTGGAGGCCAGCCTGGAGCTTCTATCACACAACCTGACATTCTCCAAAGCTTAGAGATCGAAAGTCCTGACCTTGATGATCTCCCACAACCAGGATGGGCTCATTGTGATGCTTTCTGCTTGGTCAGCATGGCTAGGGTCTGATGCCGGGGAAGAGTGACGGGCCTACACCGGTGCACGTGCACATCACCCTCCATCTATTTGGGGTCTTGTTAAACTGTGGGGGGGGGGGGGCCTGGCATGGGGCCTGAGGCTCTGCATTCCCAACAAGTGCTCAGGCAAGTCTGTGCGCTGGGAGCTCACTCAGGACAAGGGCTCAGAGGTTGCATGTGTGGTGTGCGCTTGTCCTTACATGCCCATCAGGTTGCCCAGACCCCTCACCCAGTGGTTAGAGCTCAGGACCCATGAGACAGACTCTGAAGCTGCAAACTCACAATGGAAAGTCTACCTTGGCTGGGAAATGCCTAGATGCTCCAACCTGACCACTGAGTCAGCAAAACACAGAAGGTATTAGGGATGGAGGGGAAGATTATGGCCTACTCACAGCTGACTCTACCCAGATGGACCAGCCAGGGCCGGGTCCTGGGGGGGGAGGGGCACCCCTAGAAAAGCCTGCAGCGCTGAGGTACACACACCTGGAAAATGTGGTACTTCATGTCGCCTATCTCGATGGTTTTACTGCTGTCGCCATCTTGCTCTGATTTATTGGTCATCAGCGTCTTGAACCTGGAGCCAAGGAGATGAGACAAGGAAGGGCTTGAACGTGACTTTTATTCCATCACCGCGTGGCAAAGGCCCCATCTGTCGCCTGACCGGTCACCAGGGGACAGGAGCATTTTAAAAATCACTGCTGTGCTTGCAAAAGAATTTTGGGCAAGTAATGTTTTACATTGTCCTGGGCTGACAGACAGCTGGGCTGAGCCCCGACCTGTCCCAGCTGCCCTCTAGCTTAGTGACCGTAACACCTGTGGCTGGAAAACTGACATTCATGCTAGAACATTCATGTTTTATCATCAAAAGCAATGGTTTGACCAGAACAATGACCAAGCTCTTCTTGGAGAACTCTGGGTCCCCTCGTGAATGTCCCTCTGCCACCTGTGGGGTGGGTGGGGGGTCCCCTGCTCTGTGACCACCCTCTGGGGGGGCAGAGGCTCTTCTCCAGCCTGCTCGTCACCTCATATCTAAATGAAGCTATCCTTCCCCCTTCCCGGGGGTGCAGAGAATTCATTATCTGGGCTGCCTACCTGTTAGAAGCCGTCACCAGCAGGACTTTATGTGCATAAAAGAGCTTTCCTTCCACAAGGAAGGTCACATCTGACATCTCTTTGTTGTTCAAAAAGTGAGGATCTGTCGGGGGGAAGGAGAAGGGAATGACGGAGGTGCCCGCCGCCTGGGCACTTGGAAAGGGGAAGGAGGACAGAGATGAGAGGGAGGGGAGACGGGAGAGGAGGCGGGGAGGCCTCACCGAGCCTGGCCGGCAGCGTCTTGCGGAGCTCGGGGATGCGGGGGATGGGGCTGCTGCCGTAGCAGTGCGTGAAGATGGCCGCTAGCTGCTGCGTGACCGAGTCATTCTGTTGGGCGAGAGGCGGGGAGGGGCATCAGCTCGACCCCCATCTGGAGGCTGTGTGTTTACAGCTCCAGGTACACCAGGCCAGCTTCAAAAGTCCAGGCCAGGATCAGCGCAGCACTTCCCTTCATTCCCCCTGGATCTGGTCTGGCGAGGGAGGCCTGGTCCTTCCACATGGACTCCCCAGATTGCTTTCTTGGCCAGGCTCTGGCCCAGACAGACCCCTGGCTTCTGCAGTCAGGCAAGGGGGGTCCGGGCGAGGGCTGGACGTCCACCTGCGGGGTGCCTGTGTCCTTCCGTCCCTATCTGTCTGCCTGCGTGTCAGTCTCCGGGTCCGTCCCGTGGTCTATCTGCATCCTGCGGTCTGTCTGCCCGTGAGGCAGTCTCCGGGTCCGTCCCGAGGTCTGTCTGCCTGTGTGTCAGTCTCCGGGTCCGTCCCGTGGTCTATCTGCATCCTGCGGTCTGTCTGCCCGTGAGGCTCTCCGGGTCCGTCCCGTGGTCTGTCTGCCTGTGTGTCAGTCTCCGGGTCCGTCCCACGGGTCTGTCTGCCCGTGAGGCAGTCTCCGGGTCTGTCCTGTGGTCTGTCTGCATCCTGCAGTCTGTCTGCCTGTGTGTCAGTCTCCGGGTCCGTCCCACGGTCTGTCTGCATCCTGCGGTCTGTCTGCCTGTGTGTCAGTCTCCAGGTCCGTCCCGCGGTCTGTCTGCCCGTGAGGCAGTCTCCGGGTCCGCCCCGCGGTCTGTCTGCCCATGAGGCAGTCTCCAGGTCCGTCCTGTGGTCTGTCTGCATCCTGCAGTCCGTCTGCCCGTGAGGCAGTCTCCGGGTCCGCCCCGCCGCCTGTCCGCCCGTGAGGCAGTCTCCGGGCCCGCCCCGCGGCCTGTCCGCCCGTGAGGCAGTCTCCAGGTCCGTCCTGTGGTCTGTCTGCATCCTGCAGTCCGTCTGCCCGTGAGGCAGTCTCCGGGTCCGCCCCGCCGCCTGTCCGCCCGTGAGGCAGTCTCCGGGTCCGCCCCGCCGCCTGTCCGCCCGTGAGGCAGTCTCCGGGCCCGCCCCGCGGCCTGTCCGCCCGTGAGGCAGTCTCCGGGCCCGCCCCGCGGCCTGTCCGCCCGTGAGGCAGTCTCCGGTCCGCCCCGCGGCCTGTCCGCCCGTGAGGCAGTCTCCGGGCCTGCCCCGCGGCCTGTCTGCCCGTGAGGCAGTCTCCGGTCCGCCCCGCGGTCTGTCTGCCCGTGAGGCAGTCTCCGGGCCCGCCCCGCGGCCTGTCTGCCCGTGAGGCAGTCTCTGGTCCGCCCCATGGTCTGTCGGGGCCTCGGGGGCTGCCTCACCTTGCTGGTCTTGAGGATGTCGAACATGAGCGGCAAGCCCTCGGTCACCAGCTCCTCGTTGTACTCATCCTCCTTGATGGAGCTGAAATCCCGCAGGAGGCTCTGCACCACCGAGTACCGAGACTGGGAGAAGGACGTCCTCAGAGACTCGATCCAGACGTGCAGCTTCCAGGGGACTCCTGGGCCAGGAAGGGGCAGGGCAGTCACCTCCTGGGCAGAGCGCTCCCCAAAGGGCCCACTGAGCCCACCTCAGGACAGCCCCCTTTCCGGCAGGCCAATGCGCCTGATGCCTGCCCAACTGGGGGCACCCCCTCAGCCCCGCTCAGCGCAGCCAGTAAGGAAAGCGTTCGTTCACCCTGACGGGCCTCCCTGAGACATAAAAGGGTCTCCAAGTTCCCATCAGATAAGGTGGAGGGATGGCTTCAGGCCAACCGCAGGGAGCCTGAGCTCTGAAAATCCACAGCTCAGCCTGGGAGCCTTCACGTGCAGGCCCAGCACCGCACTGGCCCCACTGGCCTGTTGGGCCCCAGAATTACCTACTGGGGAGGAACCAGTAGGTATAATTATAATTAGGAGGGGTGGCCCCGGAGACTCCAACGCCGGTAGGATATGCAGGGCACTTGGGGACCCCATGCCTGTCTAGAAGCCTGAAATGAACCCTGTCCTGTCGCCGAGGGCTTTTCCCAGCGCCTGGCTGCCTGGTGTGTCTATGCACACACAGTGCCACATAATTACTGTTTACCAGCTCCCTGGAGTGTGTCACTGGGGCCGCAGAGGAATCCAAAACTACTCTGTAAAGGTCATGACAAAAACTAGCGATGTTTCTGATAATTAGAGATTGCTTCTCACTCCCCAGCCTCACTGTGATTTAAAAAGGACTGATGGCATTCCCTGGGGACATGGGGCCAAGGGTAGCATCCGCTGCCTGGTTTACTGTGTACAGGAGTGATATTCCCATTTCCTAGAGAGGAGCACAGAGGCTGGCCCGCCACCAGAAGGCCGTGTGGCTCCCGCTCCCTTGGCCCAGCGCTGGGTGTTTGTGTGTTGGGGCCCCCGGGAGAGGAGCGATGCTGTCGTCATGCACGGCACCCACGGTGAGTGGGCACCGGGCCCTGTGCTGTGTGCGACAACTCCACATGAGCAGAGGACTAGGGAACGTGGCAAGGCTGGAATCTCCCCCAGGTCTGTCTGCCTGACCAGCCGCCTGGGAGGAAAGGAGAAGTCTGCAGGCTTGCAGACCAAGGAGGTGGGGAGGCGGGCTGATGGACTGGAGAGCATCTCATTGACCAGAAATGTGGACCCCTGCTGCTCTAGACTCTCCCACACGACCAGGCCCCGACCAGGGAAGCTGGGGGCCCTGAGGGCACAGGGCTGGTGTGAGGCTTTTGAGACATGTCCCTGCGGAGGACTGTCTGAGGCTCAGGGTACCCCTGGTCCTGGTTTGAGAGGACTGAGCCCCGCCCTGCATTCTGCTGCCTCCTGGCCGCTCTGCCCCTGTGGGCCTGGCCCTCTTGTGTGTGTGTGAGTGTGTGTACGTGTGTCCATGCACACTGAGGAGCAGCACAGCATGTGTGTGTGTGTGTGTGTGTGTGTGCATACACGCACACCGCGTGGCCTCACCCAGCGCCCTCAGCTCCATGGTGATGTCCACGTAGCCGTGCTCCGCGCTGTAGTACATGGCCTCCTGCAGGGCCTTGGTGCGCGTCCGGCTCAGTCGCACGGGCCCCTCGCTGCCGCTGCCCTGGCTAGACCCATCGCTCTCTTCCACGCCCTCAGCCAGGATCTCCTCCAGGGACAGCACGTCTGCTTTGGCCTGCTGTGGCTGCGTCAGGAGCTTCCTCAGAACGTTCCTGGGGGGAAGGAGATGAAGGAGGGTGATGTCCAAGGCTCTCGCCATGGATGGTGCCCGCTGAGCTGCCTTCTAGCACCTGTGGCCCAGACAGGCCAACTACGGGGCATCTGCAGGCACAAAGGGCTCATGGTCTTCCTTTCCCAGGCAGGCTGGGCCCTCAGGTGAGTCAGAGAAAGGTGCAGAAGACCCCTCCCTTCTGCCATCTGGGTACTGCTGAGAAGTCATGAACTCTGGGGCCAAGCAGGTTCTGCCATCCTGTGTGATCTCAGACAGGTTGTTCTACCTCTCTGAGCCCTGACGGCTCTGTCACTGTAGCATGGAGACTCAGCATTGTCCTCTCCCAGTTAATGTGAGGCTCACGTGACATCAGATGCAGAGCGTGATACACAACAATCGTCCTAATAGCAGCCGGCATATTCCCACGTTGTTGTTCAGTTGCTCAGTTGTGTCCAACTCTTTGCGACCACATGGACTGCAGCACACCAGGCTTCCCTGTCCTTCCTTCACCATCTCCAGGAGCTTGCTCAAACTCATGTCCATTGAGTCGGTGATGCCATCTAACCATTTTGTCCTCTGTTGTCCCCTTCTCCTCCTGACTTCTATCTTTCCTAGCATCAGGGTCTTTTTTATAATGAGTTGGCTCTTTGCATCAGGTGACCAAAATATTGGGAGCTTCAGTTTTAGCATCAGTCCTTTCAATGAATATTCAGGATTGATTTCCTTTAATATTGACTGGTTGGATCTCCTTGCAGTCCAAGGGACTCTCAAGAGTCTTCTCCAACACCACAGTTCAAAAGCATCAATTCTTTGGCACTCAGCTTTCTTTATAGTCCAACTCTCTCATCCATACATGACCACTGGAAAAACCATAGCTTTGACTAGATGGACCTTTGCTGGCAAAGTAATGTCTCTGCTTTTTAATATGCTGTCTAGGTTGGTCATAACTTTTATTCTAAGGAGCAAATGTCTTTTAATTTCATGGCTATAGTAACCATCTGCAGTGATTTTGGAGCCCTCCAAAATAAAGTCTGTTACTATTTCCATTGTTTCCCATCTATTTGCTAAGAAGTGGTAGGACAAGGTGCCATGATCTTAGTTTTCTGAATGTTGAGTTTTAAGCCAACTTTTCACTCTCCTCTTTCACTTTCATCAAGAGGCTCTTTAGTTCTTCTTCACATTCTGCCATAAGGATGGTGTCATCTGCATATCTGAGGTTATTGATATTTCTCCCAGCAATCTTGATTCCAGCTTGTGTTTCTTCCAGCCCAGCGTTTCTCATGATGTACTCTGCATATAAGTTAAATAGCAGGGTGACAATATACAACCTTGACGTACTCCTTTCCCGATTTGGAACTAGTCTGTTGTTCCATGTCAAGGCTATGGTTTTTCCAGTGGTCATATATGGATGTGAGAGTTGGACTATCAAGAAAGCTGAGTGCCGAAGAATTGATGCTTTTGAACTGTGGTGTTGGAGAAGACTCTTGAAAGTCCCGTGGACTGCAAGGAGATCCAACCAGTCCATCCTAAAGGAGATCAGTCCTGGGTGTTCATTGGAAGGACTGGTGTTGAAGCTGAAACTCCAATACTTTGGCCACCTGATGCAAAGAGCTGACTCATTGGGAAAGACCCTGATGCTGGGAAAGATTGAGGGCAGGAGGAGAAGGGGATGACAGAGGATGAGATGGTTGGATGGCATCATCAACTCGGTGGACATGGGTTTGGGTGGACTCTGGGAGTTGGTGATAGACAGGGAGGCCTGGCGTGCTGTGATTCATGGGGGTCACAAAGAGTCAGATGTGACAGAGCAACTGAACTGAACTGAACTGAACTGTTGTTCTATGTCCAGTTCTAACTGTTGCTTCTTGACCTGCATATAGATTTCTCAGGAGGCAGGTGAGGTGGTCTGGTATTCCCATCTCTTAAAGAATTTCCCAGTTTGTTGTGATCCACAGCCAAAGGCTTTAGAGTAGTCAATGAAGCAGGAAGTAGATGTTTTTCTGGAATTATCTTGCTTTTGCTATGATCCAACAGATGTTGGCAATTTGATCTCTGGTTCCTCTGCCTTTTCTAAATCCAGCTTGAACAACTGGAAGTTCTTGGTTCACATACTGTTGAACTCTAGCTTGGAGAATTTTGAGCATTGCTTTGCTAGCGTGTAAGATGAGTGCAATTGTGCGGTAGTTTGAACATTCTTTGGCATTGCCTTTCTTTGGGATTGGAATGAAAACTGACCTCTTCCAGTCCTGTGGCTACTGCAGTTTTCCAAATTTGCTGGCATATTGAGTGCAGCACTTTCACACTTCCCAAGGAGCAAGCATCTTTTAATTTCATGGCTGCACTCACCATCCACAGTGACTTTTGAGCCCAAGAAAATAAAGTCTCTCACTGTTCCTATTGTTTCCTCATCTATATGCCATGAAGTGATGGGACTGGATGCCATGATCTTAGTTTTTTGAATGCTGAGTTTTAAGCCAGCTTTTTCACTCTCCTTTTTCACCTTCATCAAGAGGCTCTTTAGTTCTTCACTTTCTAGCATGAGAGTGGTTTCATCTGCGTATCTGAAGTTATTGATGTTTCCCCCAGCAATCCTGATGTTGCCATGTACCAAAATGGCATTTAACCCTCCCTGAGAGAGGAACCTTGGGATTCATGGGTGATGAATACATCTTGCTCAACGTCACACCGAGGGAGGTGTAGACTCAGACCCAGGGCTCCAAGCCCCAGGCTCTTCTGTTGCATCCTTGTGGCCTGGGGCTCCAGATGGCTGTCTCATGGGCAGGCCCCCAGGCCACTTGGGGCGGAGCCTTCTCCCTGCAGACCTGCCTGCCTCTCCCCCACCCCTCCCCACCTTGTGATGGAGGCCGGGCTGTGCCCCACTCGGGACTCTATTAACTCACTGAGCTGACAGAGCAACAGCAGGATGACCCAGGTCCCTCAAGGGAGTCCCTCTTTATCTCCTACTCACCTCTTCCCTGTCGCCCTTTGACCCCAGAGCTGCCTTGCTCTGGTCTCACCTCTGCCCTTCACACTCCCGGGCAGGCCTGGCCCCTAATAAGTAGGGTCCACTATCTGCTCCTGGAGCAGGACGTGATTTCTAGCAGAGCCACCAGAAGCATCTTCGTGGTGGAGCTGAAGTCTGGGTGGAAGCCCCTAGCCCTCCTGGCTGTGGCGGGAAATGGAGAAGCAGCCCAGGCACAGGAAGGGATGGGGTCCTGGGGTAGCCCTGGCTGACTGCAGCCAGAGGGTCTTCCGGGGGAATGGGAGGACCTGCCCTGGGGACCCCCCCACCCCCTGTCTCCAGGCCTCCACTCTCTGGGGCCCCCATGCCGCCTGAAGACCTGTATCTTCTTTCTGGCTGGAGTGCAGGCAGCTACCCTCTATCCAGCCCTCCCTCCATCTCTGGAAAGATCTCCAGGCCTAGCTTTTCTGCTCCTGAGAGCCTGCTTCATGCCCCACAGAACATGGGGCAGGAAGCCCCGGGTGGGTACCTGTGGCCATGGGCGGCTGAGTGGCTGAAGCAGTTCATATCCTCGTGGAGGGAGGAGGCCATGCCGTTGGCTTCGAGCATGCTGAGGAGGGGGTCAGCGCCCCGGCTAAGCAGCAAGCTGACCAGCTCGTAGTTCCCTGAAAGAAGAGACAGGCCAGGAATGCTTCCTCCACCCACATCACTGCCCCTCTGCTGGGCCTGCCTGGGCACTGAGCACCATAGAAAGACTGACGATGGAGTGAGGGGCAGCCCCCGGCGCCCTGAAGGAGGGGTTTCAAGGCTTGCCATGGGGGTCTCTGTGTGTGGCTCAGCCAGGCAGGGTGACACCGTCAGGAGGGGCAGGTGGAACCGCAGGGCAGTCAGGGACCCTGGCTGGGCAGGGCAGCGGGGCACCTACCGGCCGCAGAGGCCAGCTGCAGGGGTGTCTCCGCATAGCTGTCCTCGCCGCCGTTCACCGCCGAGCCCTCCACGTGGGCACCAGCATCCAGCAGCAACTGCCAAGGCACACGACGGGCATTGAGCATGGAGGGGAGTGTCTGGGCCATGCGCATGGGAGGCTTCAGGGAGGGACCTTTAGTTTCCTCCCGGCACGTGACCAAGAACCAGCTCCCTCGGGCATCCAGAATTGTAAAACTCTTGGTTACCTTCACGGTTCTAAGTGTCCAGAATCATCCAGAATTGTAAAACTCTTGGTTACCTTCACGGTTCTAAGTGTCCAGAATCTTCCCCTCTGCTTTTTGTGGTCTTGGACGAAGCCCCTGAGCTAGAGGGACCTCTGAGCTATCTCCTCCTTTCAAATAATTTCCTATAAACTGGCCACAGTGAAGAACAGAAGGTACATGTGTGCTAACTTGCTTCAGTCACATCTGATTCTTTGCGACCCTATGGACCATAGCCTATCAGGCTCTTCTGTGCATGGGATTCTTCAGGCAAGAATACTGGAGTAGGTTGCCACGCCCTCCTCCAAGGGATCTTCCTGACCCAAGGACTGAACCCACATCTATTACGTCTCCTGCATTGGCAGCCAGGTTCTTTACCACTAGCACCACGTGGGAAGCCCAAGAACAGAAGGTAACACCCTCCAATCCACCAGGGGAATCTGAGGCTCTTGACACAGCAGAGGTTGTGAGAAAGGCAGAGCCTTTCATCTAGAAAATGGGAGAGAGGCCTGCCTTGCAACATTGTTGGGGATTAAGTGAAGAGGTGCTCAGTTCTCCATAGGAGTTCAGTAACCAGTGGCTTCTAGGGTCCTCTTCAGAGAGGTTCCATGAGCTGCCCAAGGCTGGGCAGTGCAGGGCTGGAGCAGAACCTGGCTGTCTGGGACACCAGGTAGCCTCTCCCGGTTCTGGCAAGGGCAGGCCTTGCAGGGGACAGATGGATCAGGGCTAACAGATACCAAGCAGTTCCCGCTGGGCCAGCTGGCTTTGCCTTGGGCGGGGGTGGTGTCAGCACCACCGACAGGTAACTTCAGTCCATCTCACCTTTCCTGACTGGCTGCTCTGGAGGGAGCCGCCTTTCCCACCCTCCCAGGTTTCCAGAGACTGAGGCCCCTGAGACCGCGCTTGAGCAATTAGGCCAATCCTACCCGCCCCCACCTGGGACCAGGTGTGAGGGGTCCAGGCTGACCTGTCAGTCTCCCCACAATGTGGGTGTGGGGGTGGCTATTGGCAGCAGGCTCTCGTCAGTCAGAAAGCAGCTGTGGCAGCGATATCTGAGCCAGAGTGCCAAAGCAGCGGAGGAAGACAGAGACCTGCCCGACAGGCTGAAACTGGGCACCAGTCCAGACAAGCCCAGGGCACAGCCCTGCAGGCCGGTCTGGTCCAGGGTGGAACTCTGCTCAAGGTCTCAGGAGGAAAGTCACCAAGAAGAAGGCAGGATGTAGCAGCCAACCAGCTGACCACCAGCTACAGAATCTCTCATATAGGCCAGGGCTGTGTGGAAAGCGATGAATAGGCCGACATGACCCCTGCCCTTGAGGGACCCGCAATCCAGCAGATGGCAAGCGTGTCATGCGAACTCCCAGGAAGAAGCGCTGGAACCCTGCAGGCCTGAGGAGCGAAGGAGTCTGGGAGCCGAGTGGCAGCGTGGCCATGCCCCATCCACAGCTTCCACTTCCAGGCCTGACCCGACCCTCAGCCAGCCACAGCCACTGGGGCCAAGGTAGGCATAGTGTGACTTGGCTGACAGGTGAGCATTGCCAATCTGAGTCTTTCAGGAACTGAGATGCTGAGAGACTATGGCTGCTGACGGGGAGGGGCAGAACCAGAAGGACAGCATGGTATAAGCCACAGAATTCATGAGGGAGTAAGAACAGCTAAGGGTTGGAAGGATGCTTGGAGTAAAGAAAAGGAGCACATCTGCACAGATTCCAGCAACACCCCGAGACTCACCCACAGATGCAGAGAGGCCAGCCAGGCCTGGTATCATTTGGGCCTGCATCTTGTTCCCTAAAATCTCACATTAGAGGCTGCTCACGTCCTGCAAACTAGAGCCTACTCCTTGGGGGCAGACCAGCTGGGTCTCTGTCCTGCTGACCCAGTAAGCTGGCCTTAACCAGTGCCTCAGGTGTCTCTGATCCCACTCAACACATGTGAGGCTGGGGCGACGCTTGGCTTCAGCCCATCTGGCAAGCTGGGGGCACATGGAGCTCACCTGGACCACAGAGATATGTCCATGCAGCACAGCAAATGTCAGTGATGTCCAGTGCCGGCTATCAGGGTGGATGGAGGGGTGCCTGGGAGAGTTGCTTGGAACCTGGGAAAATACCACAAGGGATCAGTGTTTCCAAGGTGAGTGACATTCCTACGTGGGTGACACAGGGGCCTGAGCTAAGGGGGAGCCCTGCAGGGATGGTGGCTAGGGGTCAACTCAAGTGCTTTCTATATTCAACTGGCAATGTCTGCCTGGAGTACCTTGTGGACAAAGCTCAAAAGGATGCTCAATTAGTGATGTCTGCCCTGGGCAGAGAGATGGCAGAAGGGGAACTCTTTATGCCTCGGAAGGAGGTAGAGCAAGAAGTGTCTGGAGATGGTAGGGGTGGCTGGGGACTAATTTGATAAAAGCGGAAAGGGACTACAGTAACAGAATCATGGCCTTTCTCTCCAATGGACTCCGCTCTGAGCTCACTTCTCTGGCAGGAAGCCCGAATCTTGAGAAAAAACCGTCTTTGCTGACTATGATCTCTGTGTATCGTATATTTCCAGTCCTCTGAGACACATCCACTCTGTTGTCCAAATCATCACATCCGGCATGGATGATGAAGACCTTGGGGTGTTCTCTCTCTGGGTTGGGGGCCCAGTGCAGCCCTTTGGGGCTTTCTCACCTGGATGTCCAAGTTGGCTCCAGCATCAATCAACATCTGGACCATGGCTTCATCCCCAGCAGCACAGGCATACATCAGCGGCGTCATACCCTAAGTGAAGCAAACGCAGATGCTAAACTGTCTGGAAATAGAACATGAGGACACGTGTTCCATAGGTGTCTGCCCTGGAAACCAGATAGAGGTCTCCTGCTTGACCAGCTGCCCATCTGGAACAACCATGGGTCTTGTGCTGGACAGAAGGGGCTGGGCCTGCCCCTCCCAGGCCCAGGGGACATATGACACCTGAAGGATAAGTAGGGGACATTTCCATGAGCACTACAGGTCACCAGAGGGGCAAAGGGCACAGGCCCTACAGCCAGACTCCAGTACAAAGGCAATCCCTGCTGTAAACTTTGTACAAGTTACTTGTACTCCTCTGTGGCTCAGTTTCTTTATCTTTAAAATGGGAATAACAACAGTATCTACCTCACTGGGTTGTTGTAAAGAGTATGAGTTACTAGGTATAAAATGCTTAGCCCAGCTAAGGATGAGCTAACTAATTAAAATAACAAAACGCCACCATCATGGCTACCATGTTACATTGACACATCCAAATCTACCCCAGGCCCTGCACTGGTAAATCACCATGTGAAGTGGTTTACATGCATCATCTCATTTAAAGACCATACCATCCCTATTAGGGAGGTTCTGTTATTATCCCCGCTTCACAGATGAGGAGCAGATGCGGGGACTGACTTGCCCCACACAATATGTAAGAGGATGAACTCAGACGGAACCCAGGCCTGCATGAGCCGAGAAGCTCTTCTCCCCAAGGTGTCTCACACAGGGTGGAGAGGTGGACGTGAACGTCTCCTGCTGTGAGCAGTTCTGAGCTTTTCTGAAAGCTGAGGCCCAATCCCTGCTCGAGTTTAGGTGGGAGGTTAACAGAGCCGCCCCTTGGCCGGGAATCTCCTCTGTGGCCAGTAACAGCAAAGGCCGCAGTGGAAAGTGCTATTCCACAGCTGGATGCTGGCAAGCGTTTGTCTGGAGCCCCGCGATGTTATTTATTAGGTTATTTGTGTGTAGACAAGATCTCCTTACCTCATAAATCCTTGCCTAGCACACGGAGATAAAGAAATGGCCTGAGATTAATCATGGCTGAGAGGTCCGTCTACCCCACAGATCATTCTACAAACACCGAGGCTGAGGGAACAAACAGGACTTGGGGCACTGAGAGAAAATCCACCGAGACCCTTTGTTTTATTCCCCTTGGCACAAGCTTGCCTTCTTTCCTCTCCACACGTCTGTATGTGGTTCAGACTGTAAGCCAGTCGACATGTCTTGTAAGGAGAAACTACTTTTTTTTTTTGCATGTTGGTCCCTCTCCCTAAAGAGGTTAAATCAAGAGACACTGAGGAACAGATTTCAGGGATAATCATCCTATTGACACCAACAAACACGGAGGCACCTTTATGGAGCATTTACTAGGTGTGATGCAGAAGTCTATGGGGCAGGCACTGTTATCCTACAAGCTGGAGGCGAGGAGACAGGCTCAAGGGGTAAAGCAGCTTGTCCGAGCTGCCACAGCTATGATGGGAGGACTGAACTCCAGGCCCGTCTGAGGCTGGAGTCATGGGCTTCCCCACCCTCCTGCTGGAGGAGGAAGACATCTCCCCCAGGATGAAAGCCCCGGAGCCCGCGTTGACAGAGGCACCTTGGGGAGACACGACACCCAGCCTGTCACCTCCTGGAGCCCTCCTGCAGCAACTCCCTCAGCCTCGTGGTTTCCTGTCCCAGCACATGCCTGACTATCCCGCCCTGATGCTCTGGCTCCCAGCATCTCCCTTCCCTGGGATGCCTCCCCCGACTCCTCTCCGCTGCATCCACCCCCCATTCCCTCCCTCCAGCGTGACTCAGGAAGATTCCTTCCCTGACTGCTCCTGCCTGACTTGCCAAAGTCCACTCGGGCTTGGGTTCACCAGGCACCTCATTACAGCCTCTACTGTGTCACCATCTCGTCTGAGAGTGCTACGTGACCTCTACGTGACCTCTCAGCTGCCATTTAACTCCCCCCAAGCTTCCGTGTGGACTTCCAAACTACAACACCATTACCCTGGGGAAGCTCACGCAACTGCATCAAATAAAAATTGCATCTCCCACAGGCGGGGAAGGGCCTGGGGTTGGCCTGTTTGGGTTCCTCTAATCCCAGCTCTGCTCCTCATGAGTTGTATGAGCTCTGTACCTCAGTCTCTCTATCTATAAAATGGGGATGATTCCTACATCACAGGGCTGTGGTCAAGATTAAATGAGTTAATCTGTGCAAAGTGCTTAGAACAGTGCCTGGAACACAGGAAGTGCTGTATAAATGCCAGCTATTCACAGCAAAAACAAAAAAGAAAGCAGCTCAAAAAACTCCAGTTAAAGTCTCCCTAAAATTCCTCCAACACTTCCTGTCCCCTTTTCTGGCTTCATTTAATGCATCAGCACTTTTTACTAACATACTCTGCATTTCGTGTCTTTGTGTTTCTTAGTATCTGTCTCCTCCTCTAGCATGTTAACTCATGAAGTCAAAGATTTCTACTGGAGCGTGGCACACAGGATGCCCAAATACAAGTCTCAGTGATCATTATCCCTAGCTCGCTATCAAGCTGATTTCTCTGGACGTTCTCCCAGCCCTGCACCATCTGGGACAGCCTCCAGCCTTCCAGTGAGGGGAAGCCGAATGCCCGTTACAAATGATTTCCAAGGGGTGCCTGGGAAGTCTCTGAGTCGGCCATCTACGTAGATGGCGGAGTACAATTCGGGAGTAACCCACTTCTTAGAAACATAGCTGAGTGGGTGGGTCTCAGGTCTGGGACAGAACAGACTGAACCACCAGTTACCGCAGTTGCTCATCACTGCGGACTCTGGTCCTGAACCTGGCTGGCGGAGCACTCGGAACGCACCTGGTCATCCATGGTGTTCACCCCATCGGGGCCCAAGGCTTCAATCGCCTGGCTGATGAGGTCAGTCCTTCCGCAGTTGAGCATGCGGAAGCCCAGGTCCTGGTTGAATTTTTCAGTAGCCGCTCGGGCATCCAGCCTCCGGAAGGAACTGAAACAGCATTCGGGTCTGTGCAGAAGAGACCAGGTGTGTGAGCCTGGCTGTTTCTGCTAGGACACAGCCTCGCTATGAGCGGTGACACCACTGTGCTAGGCTGATGCCTGGCGTGAGGATGGGGCAGACAGGGAGGACCAGGAATTACTATCTAATCAGCTGTGACTGGCCTTGTCATGCTCAGTGACACGAAGAGCACACACTTCAGCTTTTCTATAAACACGTTAAAGAAGTGCTCTGAGCTCTTGGGAGCTGTCAATGATCAGAAATGAAATCTCCCCCAAAATGATCTCTCAGGGGACTTTCTGAGGAGGAAGAAGCTCTGGCTGGGGCTTGGGCCATACACAGTACTCGGCTGTGTATTTTTTTTGCATGGAGAAGGCTGTACTCGTTCTCGAGAATGGTCATTGAGGCCAAGTTCCAGTCCTCGATGCTCCATCCTCTCCCCTCAGTGCTTCCGGGTGAGGCCCAGAGGCACCAAAGAGATGGCAGAGAGTGGACCAGACTCCCAGGTGCAGCCAAGCCATCCTACCAAGGACAGCCACGGCCTGCAGAGGGTGCACCACGGGCTTTCAACAGGTGGCTTTTGCCTGGAGCCTTGATTGGGCCACAGAGTAGGAAAGACGTGTCACAGGACGAAGTCGTGGCATTTATAACGGAGAGGGAAGAGGGGGAGGGCGAAGCGAGGCTCTCCCCAGGGATGGCCAGGGGAACGTTCCTCTGGAACTACTTCAAGAGGCCAGTCCAACACAACAGAGGCACCCTGGGAAGGAAACTAAGGACCCAGGCTTGGGGCCACATGGGCCGGGCTTCAAATTCGGGCATGGTCAGCTTGCTAGCTCAGCATCTGTAGGCAAGTTACTGCTCCTCCTGGTCCTCAGCTTCTCCATCTGTAAAATGGGCATTTAAGCCCCTTGTTCTCTGAGGCTGTCAAAGGACTGAGAAAATGCATATAAAATAGGAGGGTTCAGCAGCAGCCTGCACCTAGGAAGTGCTCCAGAAAGTGGTGGCAACTGCAGGGAGGAGGGCCCACTCTGCTGTGTACCCCAAATAGCCTCACTGTGAGCGCTCTCTCACCCAAAAGGCAAATGGGAGTCTGCTCTGTGCCAGACCTGTGCTTGTGGAGGACACACTGGGGAGCAGCCCAGGCCCAGAACAGATCAGTTCTAAAAGGTGGGCTCATGAGGAGAGCGCCTTAGAGCATATCCAACGCGTGGGCTGCAGCCCCAGCTTTCGGCTCCCTCCCGATCCAGGAGAGTGAGGGAGCAGAGGGTTTATCCAGGCCCTCCCTGCCTCCCTCCTCCCCGGTTCCATACTTGAGCTGCCGGGGCTCGCAGTCCAGGCCGGGCAGCAGCAGCCGGGCCGCCTGCCGGATGTCGCCGCTGTCCACGGTGAGGCTGCGGCGGTGCTCCGCGTATGTGATGGCCACACGCATCCACTCCATCAGCGGTGGCAGCAGCATGAAGGGCCTGGGGGGGGGGGGGCGGCAGAGAGAGAGGGAGGTTCAGGCCTGGGCAGGGACCCCCTTGAGCACCCACTCTCAGGACAGCCATGGAGGCTGGGCCCAACCCCCATAGACCTCTGTGAGGGGAGAGTCATGAGGTGTGGAGGGGACCTGACCTTCCTCCTCAGGGAGACCCTGATCTGTCCTCTTCCACAGGAGCTCTGTCAGGACTTGGAAGGGATTCCTGTCACGGGCCATGAGCAGAGCTTGAGGGCCTTTGGTGGTCCCAGAGGAACTGGGGACTCTTGCCCCTCCACAGAATTCAGACGCGCTCTCCAGGGTGCTTGGGTGCAGAGGAAAGAGTCCCGCAGACCCTGGTGTGCCGTTGAGCGGCTTCATCACCACAGACAATACCCCAAGGCTGTTTTCTTCTTGTGAGACTAGGCGATCCCCACTTCTCAGGACTACTGGCAGGCTAAATGAGATGACGCCTATCACACTTTACATGCATTGCTGACAGCCGCTCCCTCAACTGACCCCTGGTCTGAGGTGGATTTAGTCACTTCCTGTGGCAGGCTGAGTGGCCCCGGACCGGTGCTCCAGGTCCTCCAGGGAGGGAGTTCCGGGGCCTATGTCGCACCCAGAACCCACGGCCATGGTGTGAGGCAGCTAGGAGGCCGGGAGAGGCAGTTCAGCAAGGCTTCGGAGCTAGGAACTCAGGGGGCACCTGCGGCGGGTGTTTTGTGGGCCACCAGGGGGCGCCATTCACAGGAAGGTGACCACTGCCCCCAGGTGGAGCAATATGGCGGCTCGGCCACTGAGGGCCGGTCCCTGCCCTCCCCACCAAGCTGGACTCCTGTCTGTCTGTCCTCTGCCTGTTCTGGTCCCCCACAGTGAGACCTCAGAATGCTCCACAGCCTAGCAGACCTCAGGCTGCAGAGGGGCCCTGACAGCCAGTCTTGGCTTCATGCCTGCCGCCCCCGCCCCATGCCACACCCCTCCACACCCCACTTCCTTTGATACCCTGGGCTCCTCATGCGTTAGGTCCCTGCTGTCACCATCTTTCCCTCAGACAGGCAGAGAGGTACTCTGTCCAGGAGGAAGATCGCCATCCTTTCTCCTCAGCTCCTGAGTAAACCACCTGCCAGAAATGTCCTCACGAGACTTCTCTAAGGTTTCCAAAAGCTTAGGTCAAAGTTTTTGACCAAAGTTTAGGTTTTCAAAGCTTCTCTCTTTGAGGGCAAAGGAGGCCTTTTATTTATTTATTTAATAAGATAATCAGATGGGATTTGTAAAAGTGGCTCATTTGGAAGTTATTTTGATGTTCTGGTTCTGACATTCTGAAAATATACCTAGATTTGATTCATTTCACGTGGTTAGTCACTCAGTCATTTCCAACTCTTTGTGACCCCAGGGACTATAGCCCAGCAGGTCCCTCTGTTCATGGGGATTCTCTGGGCAAGAATACTGGAGTGGATTGCCATGCCCTCCTCCAGGGGATCTTCCCAACCCAGCGATCGAACCCAGGTCTCCCACACTGGGGCGGATTCCGTCTGAGCCGCCAGGGAAGCCCAAAGTGCACTAACTGTACCAACTGCTATGATGACAAGGTGGCCATAGGTTGGGAAAGGCTTGTAGCCCTGGCCTTCAGGGATGCTCAGAACATCACCCCAACTTACTTTCTAGCCCTGACTCAAACCTTTCATCAGGACACAGCAGACCACCAGGCATTCATGGTTCTCAAGCCCACCCTGGCTGTCCCCACCTCCTCATATGACTGAACCAGCTCTCACCTCTGCCCATCCAGATCCTTTTTAATCCTTCAAGGACTGGTCCCAAAGCCACTTCTTTCTAGAAGCCTTCCCACACCCCTTCTCCAAAGAAAATACTCTTCCTTCTCCAGGATCCCTTAGAACTCTATTCTAGAATGAATATGTCTCATATTCCTGACTAGACTATTCCTCTTTATGACAAGAATGATGCCTCCACCATCCCTGGTTCTCCAAAGTATACCCAGCACAGGGCCTGGACACAACAGATCCTCAGTTAAGTCGAATACTGAAAGGATAGCTAAGCATCAGGAATGTGGCAGAATACATCCGAGTTTTCAGTTCTGGACCAAGTCTTCTTTCTGCCCAGAAAAAAAAAAAAAATGGCATATACTTTTCAAGGGCACAGTGTAGACTAGTTAAGAGTGGGAAGCCAGGACTCTTAATGGGGAGCTTGTAGAGTCCAGGAAGGAACCACAATTCACTTGTGAATTACCCTCCTCTTTATAAGATCTTCCTTGGTTGTGAATGCCCATTTGAATTCCCCCCAGATATTTCAGAATTTTACAGTTCTTATACCACAGTGCTGCAAGGCAAGCTTAGAGACATACATCTACATATCAGTCCTTCTGATTCAAGGGGAAGGCTTTATTTAAACCACCAGCACTGAAGACTGAAGGGTAAACAAAAAGATAGTTCACGGATGTGCCAGCCATTCTTCCCTATTGTGGCCAACAGCCAAGACAAAGAGCCAAGTGTGGCCACAAACACTCTGAGCAGCATCTCCCAGCTGTACTACGGGAAATCCGAGAGGGAACTCAGGAAACCGTGAAGTCTAATCAGATGGTGTCATGATTCATTCCCCAGGCTTGTGCCTCTTACAACTTGGCACGTGAAAAGACGCAGTATTGGTAATTGGTGGGCAGATACTGGGGACTGCTTCATTAAGCCTCCAATTTACCAACTTAGCTGGAGATGTAGAAAACCGAAAACTACATTTCCCAGACTCCTTTGTAATTAGACTTCACCATTAAGACAAAGCTGCATGAGATCTGATAAATGGATGTGAGGCGGAGGTCCCCTTTGTGTCTTTGCTTGTTCTACTAGCAAACCAAGTCACAAAACATGAGGTATTACTTTCCCCCCTGTAGACCATTCCAGTGTTCATTTCCCAACTCCTGAATGCTTCAGAGACAGCAGTACTGCTACTGAAGGCAATAGCAAAACCTTCTTGACTCCAGCTTCAATCCTGAATTGCAGTTTCTGGGGTTATCTCAGAGGGAGAAGCCCCCCAATAGCAAGTTTTGTATTGTTCTTGGTTGGAGTCATTCCTGGAGGTTCAGCATTAGACCTGCTCCTTGAGCCCACACAATGATTCTTTTGGCACATAATTCCCTGCATTAAATCCCTTCCTGTTTAAAATACCTAGGGTGGTTTCTATTTCCTGAATTGCACACTGATTAATATTCTCAACATACAAAAATACTCCAGGGTTAAGGGTATCACTATGCCTCTGACTGGTACCCACTTGTCCACACCCAAGGCCATTGCAGGCCCCTAAACGATCCTTTCAAGCCTTTCTCCTTGGCCTACCGGCTGACCTGTGGCCCATAGGAAAGTAAAATGACGAGCAATTCATGGACTTTCTCAGTAACATCCTTCCCTTGGCCTGTGGGCTCCAGGCTACTATTTCCTTTCAGGTTATTTCATCTAGCCCATTGGGCATGCTGAGAAGCTGGCCTGCATTACTGGATATTCTGGAAAATCCCTATAAAAACTCCCATCTGTACTGGCCACAGCTATGTTCTAACAGGGGGTGAAAGGGCTCCAGAGGAGCAAGGCTGGGAATGACTGGCTATGCACCATCCCCAGGGTCTCTCTGGTTCCCTCCCAGAGAAAAAGGTCTGTTTCCCTCTTTTTGCCTTTTTGCCAGGCTGTGCTTGGCCGCAAGCCACTGACTGTCCCCTCTGCTGGGCCTGGCACCTTGGACTACTGGTTCTCAAGTGCTTTGGTCTCAGGATTCCCTTTGTCCTCTTACAGGTTATTGAGGCCCTCAAAGAGCTCTTGTTAATGTGTGTTGTTCTACCGCTAATTACCGTATCAGAAATTACAACAGAGAATGTCAGACCTCTGAATACACAGGCTCACATCCTATCAGCCATCAGAGCGATACTGCGCTTGCATGTCACACAGTCTCTGAAAAACTCCCTAGGAACTTGTGAGAAAATGAGTGAAAGGGCAAATAACATCTCATTGTTATTGATAACTGCTGCCTTAGACAAATGCAGCCTTGACCTAAGGCAAGGCTGCTCTCAGGCGTGGGGTTGGGATCCTATCCCAGTCCAATCAATTCTAGAATGGTGTGCGGTTTACATGCAAACTCCTGGCTTAAGGATCTGAGGATTCCACACCGAATCTTCACTGGGAGAAAACCCTAGTTTCTAGAAGCCACTGAACTGAGTCTATAACCTTGGGCATATCATTACCTTCTTTGGGCCTGTTTTTCTTTTAAAGATGGGGTTAGGTTAGTGGTTTCTAGACACTTACCATCATGAGAAACCCTTTTGCTGTTATTTCACAGCCTCCTTAAGATTAAAGCTGTACCTTCTGTACCTTCTTCACCCAGACTCTGGAGAGAGACTGCCCTAGGTTGCAATCCATTGCACTCTTGATAAATTAAATTATAATCCTGTGCAAGTTATCTTCTCTCTCTAGACTCAGCTGCCCATCAACAAAATGGGTATCAATAATAGGGCCACCTCACAAGACGGCCAGAAGTATGTACAAAAAGTGCTTAGCACATGGTAAGTTCTTGGTAAAGGTTAGCTGTTACTATCATTTTAGTGTCTGTTGATAGAGAAAATACATAATAGCAGAAAAGGCTACAAGAATCTATTAAATGCCTCAGCTCCAGCCTTCATCAAGTCCAGCCAGTTCCCTCTCCACAGCCCCCAACCTTCCTGCAAGTGTAAACATGTAAAGCTTGCAAAAGCCTGCCAGCGAGCTGCCCACCACCCACTCCACCCCAGCTCATAAAACAGAGCAACAAAATGCAACCACTATGTTCAGTGTGATATGGAGACTATTTCTGGCAGTGAAGGGCCTTGGCCATCAAGAACCCTAGACGGGGGAAGGGGCAAGGACAACACAGACCCAGAGGCCACGGGGTCATGAACAAGCGAGGGGGTGAGGGGGTGGGCATGGGATACTGTGAGGGACCTGCAGTCCTTGAGTGCTGCTGGCGGCCTAACCTCTG